ATCACAAAGGGAAGAAAAACTTATATATAAATTATCCTATACGGACAATGTATGAACGCCATATATTTTTTTACTATTTATCCCTTCTTTCCTTCATGTTTATAATGACGTCAACACGATAATAACGTGCGGTCATCCGAATGAGAGAATAATTATATATATACACGTACGAATGAATGTAACAGTTAGATATTATACCAACATGTTAACAAGGTTTTATATATGCATGATTTGAGTGACAATTAAATAATTAAACCCATTTAATAACAAAAAAAGAAGAAAAAAAGAGAGATATATATATTTGGTGGAATTGATTAAAAAGAGAGAGGTTCTTTCTTTTTCTGCGTGGGTTTGGAGTTAGATCGAGGGAATATATAAAGCATTTATGATACTCATAGAGGAGAGAGATGGAGAGCCCACAAGAAGGGTTGTGGGGTAATCACAATTCACATGATAGAATAAGATGAAAAGCAAACAGTTTTTTTCTCTGTACGAACGTCTAATAGTCATCTTTCAAACTCCTTTTGTGTTTCTACATGAAGTAAAGATAAAGCAAGCCTTGTTTCTCTCTGGGAACAGCAATAGCAAATGCAATGCGTGGTCTAATCATGATGATGGGTAGAGTTGAATATAAATATAGATAGATATGCATCTATGTATGTATATATATATATATATCGGCTTTATCCAATACTATGTCATGTGACTCACGTGTTAAAAAAAACCCTTTTTTTATTCAATTCCTTCGACCTTTGATTCAATCTTAAATTTTAGTTAATGATTGGTCAATCGATTCGATTTTGGGTTTTAAGCTCAAAATTTAGCACATAATAGAATCAGCAGCTAACACATAATCTTCATCTGCAGAGCCTTTTCTTCGTTGGTCGGTAGAATACTAGAAAACTGGAATACTAGAATGCAACGCATAATAGTCTTCAGTTGTACAACATGCAGTGTTGACTATTCCTATGAATACAAAAGCAATTATAGAAAATGCTGCGACCAAATTAGCTAGTGGATTTCTTTTGGAATTTGAAAACGACCTTATTTTTATACAATTGGCATATATTGTCAATGATTTCTGTCACTTTTTTAAATTTCTTTGGCATATTTTATCTTTCCAATATATATTTTTATTTGGTGGCTGGAAAAGGGTATTATTTCTGTATTTATACACACGCATATATATATATATATATATATATGAAAAGTTATAAGAAAGAAAGGTAGATGCATTTCCAGGTAGATACAATGTGAATTTGAGGGTTTGCCTAGAGCCTCCAGAATCTTAGGACTGTCCCTTATTATAGGTAGTAGATGTACAATATATTCGTTTTGTGAAGGGACACAAATGAATATATATACACTTTATTACTGTAGTGAACAACGAGGAAAGTAATGAGCAGTAATAGAAAATACAAGATGTCCGTATGGTAATAACGTCCTAAACGTAAGAGAATTTCTATAAATATATATATTTATTTAGTGGCACATAATAAGAAACATATATGCCATCTCAATCAATCTCTGTGACATAAAGTTCAATGTTGCCTCAGTCACTGCTAGTAGTGCTATATACTATAAAGTAAAAAAATTATGAGAACTAACCGTATTTTTAACTTTTGGAGCATGTATACAATATATCTTATCTATAAAGACCACCCCCTGTTGTTGTGGTCATCAGTCATACTTAATTATCCTAAATATATAATTAATTATGATAATATTTTTTGTTAGGTAAAGAATTGCATGAACATAAGGGAAGGGTAGTGTGAGCTGTGAAACACAAAGAGGGGGTGGGGGGGCTTTCACTGCTCAAATAGATTAGTGATTATTAATTAGAGTAATTATCATCAACAAAAGACAAAACCTATTAATAGACTAGAGGGGTTTAGTGTTTCCACATCCTATGGCAAAAACAAAATCCAAATCCTTGACATCTGTTTCCATCCACAAACTCTACCTGATAGGATACAGACAAAATCTTGGGGCGCATCGCATCGCATCGCATCGCATGCATGTATAAATCGATCTCTTCCTTTCCATTCCATTTCTTCAACTGTGTAGACTGTAAGTCTGTACGTATGGTTAATTATCCACCGACTCCCTCATGAACGCGGCACTAGTTCATCTCATCTCATGCATGTATTTCAACCTGAAAATGAGTTTGCCTTTGAGGCTCATTAAATATGGGAAGACTTTGAAGATTTAAGAAAAGACAAAGTAATTAGTTTGTTTGTTTAATGAGAAATATCCTTAGTTTATTTATCCGAATATCTTTGACTCGATCAAACTTTGTATGATGGGAGACTTGATCAAACTCGATCATAGAAAAGAATGGTTTGCTGCCCCCATTTGCTGCCCCCATGTACTTACATTTTTCTTAAGTAGGGTCAATAATTTTTGAAATTGGTATTAAGATCCAGTAACCGGCCGTGCCGGCCTAATACCTAATCAATCGCCCTAGCTAGCTCTAACAGCTTTGATTGCATTAGCAGGATCGAGTTTACCTACTCAAAATCATGCAGTCCTTTGAATCTCAACACTGGTGCAATTTTGTCCATGTTACGTCTAGGGCTAAGCTCCAAAGTGTGAACGTGTTGATATAGATACCAATTTTTTTCTCCAGTCCAAATCTGTGGGGGCTAGCACATTAATTGTATCGATCCTTCTCCTCCTTTATCTTGAACCTTGATGGCATAATAATATATAGGTTTATCAATCAACACAATCATAAGATATTATGATTCTGCTGCTGTTTGTAACTTTATTTGCGTCCCAAATAGTTTTCTGCATCGATCAAATACAACAACACAGTGGAAGGATGGCAAAAATTGGTCTGCCTTTTTATAATCTATACACATATATATATATACACACATGTGAAACTAATTAACTTAAAAAATATATAAGAAAAACCCTTATCGCGAGTACAAATCACGTGCTCTCCGTGCGACTTCGATACAAACAATTTATCCCAATCATGGATGATAAAATCTGCAAGAAGATGCCTTCCCTGCAATTTAGTGTGTAAAAGGTCAAAGACAAATCTTATTAAAAAAAAGGGGTTATTACAAAATTGTTATGAAGACTCGATCGTCATGGTGATATCTCTTCTTCAAAAAACAATGTACTAGACGCATCCAAACGCGAGCCAGTTAAGTCTAAGGCTTTTTTATTATAAACAAAAAGGGTTTAGATCGGTTGGTGATGTATAGGAGTCAATTTTTAACTCCAAAACATGATCAGGTGCGTAGTTTCATACAAGTAATTCCCTTTCACCAAATCTCCAAGAAATCAACCGATATATTATTTATTTATTTATTTTCGGTTGAAAAAAAACAAATATATGATATATATATATATATACGTACATTAATTGGTGTTCTAGAAAGTTTCGTGCTCTTTGTTTGGATTAAGAGAGACTCATATTTTGTGGGACTAGGTAACTAGGGAATCTTAGCACTGTGTTTTTCACTTAATAGACTCAATTAATTTATTAATTACAAGATTGTGCCAGCAAAAACCCATTTAATTAATTATTAATTAACCCAGAAAAGCACCCGTATACAATTAACCAAGTTTAGGATCTAGCAATATATTTTATTTTAAGAGAGTGTGGATTTGGTGGCAGTTAGCAGCATGCAGTCAAGCACAAGAGGAAATTCGAATCCTATATTTTCATAAAATATATATGCACTTTTAGGATGCCAACTTATTACTAAATGTTTGCTTTGTTTGTTCTACGACATGTTCATTTGGCATGCCACCAACTTTTCTGGGTCCAAGTTACCACAAAAAAGAAAAAAGAAAAAAAGAAGAGAAAATATTTTGCCATGAATCCTAGCTGTTTGAATAAAGCTGAGGCTAGCTAGCAAAATTATGAAAGAAAGAAAACACACAGTAGCCTATAATTGTTGCCATATTGAAAATTCAAGGGTGGTGGTGGTGGTGGTGATGTGGCAATTGGTTGTTTTGTTGGTAACTGGGTGATGATATGATGATATATTATTATATCATCACATGGATTCTTATTTCGTACAAGCCTGACAGAAAGATAGCTGCCATGATGCCATGCTTCCATGCAAGGAAGAAGGCTCTCTCTCTCTCTCTCTCTCTCTCTCTCCAAACTCTGTAAAGAATCTCTGTGCATCGATCATCAACCTTTTTCCCTAGGTCTTCTCTCTCGGTGCTGGATTGTACAATCCGACCCTATTATTACCAAATGACAATGCCTTTCGGCTTCACAGCTTCTTTAAGCTTCCTTCCATGTAGCTAGCTGGCACCCTAGCACGTGCAACCCACACTTTATTACCTACTTCAAAACATCATAATTACTTGCCTAATTTTTGGTTTTCACGGGTAATTAAGATTTATGAACGAATTGCCGGTGGGATATCACTCAGTTGATTGAGCTCTTCCATCTCCATTTATGTGGGCAGAGGTTCGAAACCATCAATTGAGTTTTTAGATTTTGAGAAGAAATAATAATAATAATAATAATAATTTATAAAATGAGAGGATAATGACATGCATGCGCAGTTGTTTGAGAATTAAAAGTCCATTGAGTAATTTGTCATTATTTTCACAAGTGTATCATTTTATAGATTCTAATGGTATTATTTTTGTTAACTTCCAAAACAGCAAGATTTGACAAATTTCATTTTCAATCCATTGACGACGTGACATGTGTATATAAAATATGTGTGTCTGATTCTTGTAAGCAAATATGTGTCTTTGTTAAATGCATATACATACACACAGGGACATACAAAATCACATTGAGATGTGCAGCTAGTTATGTGTTTAATTCCTTCTCTTGCAATAATAATGAAAAAGTACAACTTTATTTCACGTGTGACGTCCTGTAGATTTGTTCCATCATGAAGCCCTTTAAAAGGCAGCTCAGTTTCTCCATCCGCACAACAGAAGACCCCAAACCCACCGCAATATATATCTCTTTTGGGCGTCTCTTCTGTGCTTCACCTTGACAACAAATTATGGCACTTGATGCTGTTGTTTTTCCTCAAGACCCTTTTGGTTGCTCCACAAACAAAGACCTCTGCAGCTATTGGAGCTCTTTTGATGATGATCATCATAATTTCGGTTTCGACAACGATCAAGATCATCACGATCAGCTCCAGCACCAAGCCTCCCTCGATTTTCTCGGCTACCAAACAGATCATAACCCTCCTAATTATGGTACTAATTACTATTCCTCAGCTCCTTTGAATTCAATGGTGCCACATTTCAACGAATTGCAGCTCTCCAATCCAAACCCAGATGTTAGTGATACTACTAGCCCAACTGATGATCAACCCGAATTTCATCAACTACCATCGGATCACACAATCACAATGGCTGACAGCATGCCTAGTACTCGTGCCAAACGGCGCCGTGCCAAGAGTAGGAAGAACAAGGAGGAGATTGAGAACCAGAGAATGACTCACATTGCAGTTGAGCGAAATAGAAGAAAACAGATGAATGAGTATCTCTCTGTGCTTCGATCTTTAATGCCAGACTCATACGTTCAAAGGGTACATACATAATTACACATATGTCTTACTTCTACTTTTATTAATTTTTATAATTAAGGTTGAGTTTATTGGACCGACTAAAAAATGTGACATTGTTTTTGGTTTTATTAGGGAGACCAAGCATCAATCATTGGAGGTGCGATTAATTTTGTGAAGGAGCTAGAGCAAGAAGTGCATTTTCTTGGTACCCAAAAGCCAAATAATGGTGTGCCTTTCTCCCAATTCTTCACCTTCCCACAATACTCAACCCGGTCCAGCGGAGACCACGACTCTGCTGCGGCGGCAGCCATGGCTGAGCTGCCTTTGATGGAGTGCAAGCTGAGTAACATTGCAGCTGACATAGAGGTGACAATGGTGGAGAGCCATGCAAGCCTGAAAGTGAGAGCCAAGAGGATCCCAAAGCAGCTCTTGAAGATTGTTTCTGGGTTGCATGGTATGCACCTCACAATTCTTCATCTCAATGTGGTCACTGCTGATGATGTTGTCCTCTACTCCCTCAGCCTCAAGGTGATTAATTTCAATTCAATTAAGTTGTTAATTTAGTGGAGAAAGTTTAGAAATTTGAAATTAGTCATCTGTGTATGTTTTTTTGTGATGAATTTTTTTTGAACAAATTTGTAAGCAGGTAGAAGATGAGTGCACACTGGCTTCAGTGGATGAAATTGCAACAGCTGTGCATCAGATGCTAGCTACAATTCAAGAGGAGGCAATGTTGAATTTGAATTGATTATCAAAAACCCCTCTTTTAATTAGTTAGTTAATCCCCTCTCTTTTAAATTCATCCTTTTACACCTTCATATGTGGTGGGTGTGTTTCTCTTGTTTTTAATTAAGGTTTCCTCCATTTCAGTTTAAGAAAGAGTCTCTGTTGTTTAATTATCTAGTTAGTATATATTTTTTTAGGACATTTCTTATTGAGAGGGGCGATAACCAACTAAACTCACACACGCACTACATGAATGTTATGACTCGAACCCAGAGCCACCTTTCCTCCAGGAACAATTGCTTCAAAGTCCAAACCACTATACTAATGGTACCTTTTGCATCTAGTTACTAATTTAATGGGCAATATCATCACTTGCAGCCTTTGGGAAAGGTTTTTGATTGATCGGATGGTTGAGAATGATTATGAGTTTCACATTGTTGATTATAAATATTCAAACAGAAAACATGTGAAGATCTGAGATGAGAAGATACAAAAAGAATTCATATAAAAGTTATAAAAAAAACATATTTCATTCGGAAAGGACGTATAAATTAGTACCAATAAACGGTATAAGTTGAAGTCAAAACAGAATGAGAAGGCAAGGCTGCCATCATGCCATTGTCATGCATGAATGCATGAACAAGTTTAGAAAAGCTCAGCTCAACTCAACTTTGAGAATTTTTATATAAAATGAAATGAATTAAAAAAGATAAATAATAATTGGCGAATTGCATTGGAGATAATATTGGGGCCACGAAGCCGTACGTTGTTCATTGCCGAATCGAATCCCTAGGTAATTTTATAAAGTGGATATACTGCGCTGGTGGGGTTTTTACATCATTTGGAAATTAAACAAGGAATTCTTGCCCTACTTGGTTACCCCATTGCTTCCCTTTTGTTTCTTTTTACTTTTTTAGGGGTCAATTTGCTTACCGATTGTTTGGGAAGAGAGAAAAGTGACCTGCGCCCAGGAAGTTTTTTCCCTTTTCTTTTTGTTGGGCCTTTGCCATCACCCCTCTGAGAGCACAAGAAAGATAGCCCATATCCGGATAGTTACCTTTTTCTGTTTTTGTTTTTTGGTTGTTGAAATTAATAAGGGCAAAGATATATAATTTCATCATTTATAAAATATGGAAATCACATTGGTCTTTCATTAGAATTACAACAAACGAAATTAACTTACAAGCTCTCTAAGTAATGCATGGATAACCACAAATTCATTCTACTCTCCTACCTAGCTGTAGCAGCACCATTATGAAATCTGTCATAGTCAAGCTAAAGAGCCAATTGTCAAGCCTATACGTATTTTCCTCTGTATTTTGGCTTTGGTTCTTTGGTGAACTTCGCATGATCAGCAGCCCCATTTGATTGTGGATCCGTAGGACTGAAAACTGCAGAATGAAGGTTTCCATCTTCTAACCATTTCAGATGGTTCTCTTTGAAGTCTAGGTGTTTTAATCTGGCTGCTTCTGCGATGTCTTCAGTGTATGGACTTGTCTTCACCATTGTCAGTAATACTCTGCTGTAACGTGAGCTCAGAATCTGCTCGGAGCTAGCAATCAGTTTGAAACATGGGTGCTCTGGGAAATGGTTATCGACATTATCATCTTCACTCAACACAGGGTAGAAGAACACAAGCCTCCCACCCATTACAAGCATCCTGCCAGCTAGGTCGAGCAAATCATGTACACACTCGACCAAGCTGTAAGATGCAGTTGATGGTATGTGGTCTGTCCTCTTGTCATCCGGAACAATGTAAGGGCCGATAACTCCTTTCATCAACTTCCGGCCACCAGATTTGCGTCCCCCAGCACGAACACCATAGGGGGGGTCGCAAATTATGGCATCAAATACCTACACAAGCGAAAATGACCAAGGAAATGAATAAGTATTAGTGCACAAAAGACCCCAAATTTGGGAATTTATATTTCTCAACAGAGAGACCAAAACGATTTAAAATGCAAAATCACCATACACATGAAGCTTTATGCTGCTGAGTTTCAATCCTTCAATTTCCAAAGTAACTATAGGAAAACTAGTAGGCTATTCAAGTCTTCTTGCGGAAAAATAGTGGAATATAAATGACCAAATCATTAGTTTTCTTTCATCCGGTGGTTCCGGACAAATGATGTTCTATATCAGCCAAACAGTTTGCTAAAGTAAAAATAACGAAGAGAACAAGGTAGATTGAGTAACCACCAAAAATAGAATAACAGTTGGGAAATAAAAAGAAAAGCACATGCTACTTAAATAATGCCATCTAAGGAAGTAAATGGTGTTCACAATGCAACAAGAACAAAAAATATAGAGAGAAAGAGTACCTCTTTCAATCCAGTACGCCAAGGAGGAAGGTTATTATCTGCCCTTAATAAAGCAACCGGCATTGGTAATCCATACTGCCAAAAAGTATGAAAAAATGAATACAAGCACTTGAACTTTCTCCAAGATACAGAAACTTCAAAGTTCGTTCCTCTCCATCATGAATGGTCTAACATATAAGTAGAAATCATTAATAGCTTTCCCCGTCAGAACTTTATACAAAGGAGAAGTCTTGATATGTTCATCATCACAAGCTTATCATGTGCTTGCTGATGCCAATTAGTATTTGAGAAATAATTCCATAGACTGCACCTTTCAAACCAAAAACTCAATCTCATAAAGCATATTCACCTGCTTGAAATTGCTCCAGACATTACAGTCAGGGCCACGGCCATCGCGTACCACCCTGATATCAATATCTGCACCCTGAAAATTTTGATCAGCCCATATAGAAAGATAGTTAACTGCATGCCTGACTTGAAGGAAAAGATTCAATTGTCACATAACTCAGAATTGGACTACAGAGAAAGAAGTGTAAACCATTGTCATGGCTCCAAAATGGGCAGCAGCTATAAGAATGCTCCCAGTGCCAACAAAAGGATCGTAGACAAGCTTCCCTGGTGTGGCCAAAGCTTGGTTTGCCATTAAGAAAGCCATTTCTGCATCCATGGCCGTTGGTCCAAGATAAGTGCGGCTTTTCAACTGATATGTAGGTAAAAGTTTTCTATCAGCACCACCAATCTCCCGACCGAAAAAGATTCTTTTTTGGACCATTGGTGGAAGACCATTGCTAGCTCCATAATCATCAGTTTCCATAAGCCAGAACTTGTGTTCTGGATTTTTCAAATTAACTCGACCCTGCAACATATTGATCAGTAGCAACCACCATCATTAGTGACAATGAAGAACAATTTGAGATCAATTTTCTGGAGCTAAACTGCAGATTTCTGTACTTGTACAAATACTTTGAGTGCATATCCTTGCAGAATCTAACCCAAACCGAAAACCGAAGTGAATAAGTTAGATTAAGAAATTAACCTTGAAAGGAATGTAGCTAAGCCCCTGAATGCGTTGGGTTTGCTCCTGGAGGCTGATGACTTTACCAAAGGTGTCAACATTAATCTTGAAAGTACTATTGGAGTCTAGGTACGGCAACTTCCGCTCATCTGGGTAATTTCTTATACACTCTTCCAGTTCCTCATAGCTACCTCCTTCTCCCCAAAGTTCATACATTCCTTTCACAAGTATGCCTAACATATAACAAGTTGAAAGCTCAAATTTTAGTGAAATGCTCTGCTCAATGAGGATCAATGAAGTACAAAATCTTACAGGCCATGATTGGGAATATGAGATTACAGTGGTTTCGATTTGAGCAAATTACAGATTTGAGAAATTCAAGGCCAGTTAACAAAAAATGCAGATGAGAGAAAGAGGAAATGGAGGAAAAGAAGTACTGACTTCGATTGGCGATGCTCTTGGCTACGTCTTCCGAAGGGAGATCGACGAAATGGAAAGGGGAATCTGGGTGGTGGAGCAGTGGCAGCCTCCATTGCAAACACTGGTATTCTTGATCTTCGTTGCTAAAGAGTTGTGCTAAAGATTCGACCTCGGCTTTCCTGTAGTCTAATAATCTGTGGAAGAACACGCACAGATACCACATCTTCTTCTTCTTCCTTGGTTTTCACTTCTCTTTTGCCTGCGATTCAGAGAAACAAACAAGAGGGCAAAACCCTAAACCCTCTGCTCCATCTAATGTTGTACTTTTGGGTACAAGTCTCTAATGCATGTCGCAGGTATAAACACATTTTCAAACATTTTTAATTTTTAATTTTTAACAAATCGATATTCTAATTACTCGAATAATATGGAGGGAAGGGAATCCAAAACTTTATCATCTTTTAATTATTTTATTTTATTTTTGGTGATAATATTCTATAGCATAAATTACCAAGAAAATATCTTAACTTAGTGGACACGTGGACCAATAAGACACAGAGTCCGGGAAGAAAAAAAAAGAAACCCTACAACCCGTTGACCCGGTTTCCAACCTACACCACACCTGCAGCCCTCTGTCTTTAGGTTTTGTGTTGAAAGCCGAAGCAAAAACCCAAAGCCTTTTTTAGCCTCTCTCTGTGTTTCTCTCCGCGTTTGAGATCTAAATCCTTGCGTCGCTATTTGCTGGTATGAAAAATCAACCCCTTCCGCGCTTATATTGTTAGGTTATGATTTTGTTGTTCTCGAATTCACTTAGAAATTTGGCAGATTTGTTCGTTCTAATTTATATGAGTTTAATTTTACCTTTGGCCTCTGCTCTCTGGCGTGTATTTGTCAATTTTTTTCTCTTTTAAATGGTTATTTTATATGTTTTAAATCTTGATGATTCGCTTCTTATGTGCTAAGTATAATTAATTAGGATCTACTATTTAGGGCCTGTAAATTTTCAAACAAAGGAAGGGCCAAGAAATTTTGGATAATTTCAATATGAGTGTATGCCTATGTATGCTTTTGTTCTTATGCTCCTAGTATAGAATTGTTTACATATGCCCAAAACCCTAAGTGGGTTTTCTTCAATTCCAGTATTAGTGTGTATTGCTATGGATTGGATATACATATTCGTACTTGTGTATCAACAATATAAGGACGTAGTGAATTTGGTGTGGGGTTCAAAGAAGTTTTTCTCGGTAAAGAGAGTTAATTGGGGGTGGGGGGAGCTCCTTTTTCCTCTCTCATCGGATTTGTTTACTTGTCTCCAGATTATGTAGTATTGGGAAGAATTCTTGTTAGTTTTTTCATAGATTATTGAATGGTTTTTACTGATTCTTTTTGTTTATCTTCCATGATTGATGCCCTCTTTTATGTAAATTTGCAGTTTAGAAAAATGTCAGAAGAGCTGGAGTATCGATGCTTTATTGGTGGCCTCGCATGGTCAACATCTGATAGAAGTCTAAAAGATGCATTTGACAAGTTTGGAAAGCTTGTTGAAGCCAAGGTATTGATTTGTTTTCTTTATGTTTGAATACAGTCTAAACGAAATGTGTTTGATTTTCATCAAGCATTTGTTTATAACTTCTTTTTCTTCTGTTGATTATTGCATCTGGTCTTTGTTTCTGAGGATGATACTGCTTGGCGGAATCAATTAGTTTGGATGACCATAGTGTCCCATGAGGGTTTGGGATTCAGAAGGGAAATTGGCAATGGCCGTGAATAACTTCTTTTGATAGTGTATAATATGGGAAAATATGATCTTGATTTGGTTTGATTGAAATCAGGTGCTAATTTTTCATGCTTTGTTCAACATGATATTATTTGATATTCCTAATACTCATCAATGGAATTTTTATGGTGAAAATAATTTAAATGACATAGGTAGTTGTTGATAAGTTTTCTGGACGCTCCCGTGGATTTGGGTTTGTCACTTTTGATGATAAAAAAGCAATGGAAGAGGCAATTGAAGAAATGAATGGAATGGATTTGGATGGACGAACTATTACTGTTGATAAAGCTCAGCCTCACCAAGGTTCAGGTAGAGATTATGACGGTGACCGCGGTCGTGACCGTGGTCGTGACCGTGACCGTGGTCGTGATTATGGAGGTGGACGTGGATCAGGTGGAGGAGGAGAATGCTTTAAGTGTGGAAAGCCAGGACATTTTGCTAGGGAGTGCCCAAGTGAAGGTTCAAGGGGAGGTGGCAGGTATGGTAGCAGGGATGATAAGTATGGTGGTGGAGGTGGCGGTGGGGGTGGTGGCAGTGGTCGTTATAGTGGTGGTGGGGGTGGACCTGATCGAAATGGAGACCGATATAGTGGGCGCAGCAGGGATTCTGGTGGTCGTTCAAGTTCTGGAAGTGATCGATTCAGTCGTGACCGCTCAGGGCCATATGAACGTCGGGGGACAGGAGGAGGTTTCCGTTCTGGATAGGACAATTGCTTCGGATAGTGGTATGTAACACAACTCTTTCCTTTCATGTTTTTCACTGTTAGTATTGTACTAAAGGAAGTTTTGTTGATGTGCTAATTGCAGCCTAGGAACCCGAGGAGCTGCTCGGCTGACTATCACTGTCTGCAATGCATCGAAGTTTCCTCTTGCTGGATGTGTTCTTGTGATGATTGTCTGGGTGGATTAATTTAGTTGGACCAGTATTTTGAAGTGCGAATCTTGCATAGATATTCACCTGTTTTTTGTTGCTAAACGATCAACCGAATGTTTTGATCCGATGGAATTTTATGCTTGCTTGAAAATGATATTTCAATTTGGCCTTGTACTCTGTGAATTCCATTACGACTGGTGGTTGTCTATGACTATCATGCATCGGTGACTGCAAATGCTATGCGTCCTGTCTGTTCCTGTTCACTCTTTTGCTTGGGCCATTGAAATATTGGAAGGTCATTTGGTTCCTGTTGACTGTTTTGCATGGGCAATTGCGATATTGGAAGGTCATTTGGTGTTTGGTTATTTCGGAGAATAGATTGTGAGGGGTCCGCTATTGGGAGTTTGCTTCTTGTTACTTGGAAGTAGAAGTGGTCCTATAAGTAGAATGTCCATTTTGGCTGCCCTGTTTTCGGTATCTTACTAATAAATGGGAGTCAAGCGGGTAATATTTCCTCTTATAAGTTACTTTGATACATGATATCTCCTTTTTTGTCATTCCTGCTATATTGATATGTTTAACCTTTTGGCAGGATCTGGTCTCTTTTTCGACCCATGATTGGGTTTGTGTTACTAATTGGACATGCATTGTTTTAAACGTAAATATTTTGAAAGTCTTTTCGGCCAGAACAAGCCATCTGCAATTTAACTCGAACATAAGCCCCCTCACCTTCACCACAGCACTGGTGGGAGAGTTCAATTCTGCGTAAACATGTGCGGGTTGTTGTTTGGAAGCTCTTGATGAGTTCAATAACTGCTCCATTGTTTTGTCCTCTGGGTCTCCTTATCACATTGCACATGGGGGAAAGGTTGTTGGTCTTGCCTTGTTTTTCTGTTCCTGGCCGTGGTTTGTTTGCTGAGACAAGAGGATGATCTGTTTCTTTGTTCCTGTTCCAAACTGCTTTTTTCTCCTAAGGTCGTTAAATGATGCAATATTACCAACTCTACACTTGATAACGTATCTTAGCATGTGGTTTTCTGTGTACATCTATTTTTTTTGGGTTAATTTAAATCCATTATCGTTCTTATATTTCTGCCATGGAATGCTACCTGCATAATAATTAGGGTTGTTCTAACGAAGATGGGTTGTGGTTAATGGCTTTCAAAGTGCTGATGTTTTTTCTTGTACAATTGCATGGATGCAAACTATCGAAGTTTTTCTCCTGTAAAAAGTATGGATGATAAGACAATATGGCATCATACGGTTTCGTTTTGAAAGTGTTGTAATACTAGTGGGTTGGAGTCTTGGGGAAGGAAAGTTAGGTTTGTTGGGGGTCAAAACTAGAAATTAACTGAGAGTTGGTCTGAAGAGCTGGGTAATGTGTACAGCGATTTCTTTAGTCTTGTATGCATGCGATGCAGAGAGAGAGAGAGAGAGAGAGAGAGAGAGATGGTGCTTAGGATTTCGAACTCTCTTGTGTTCATTGCGTCTGGAATCATGAGACAGGGAAGTGCTGTTTCGAAAGTGGCATATGCATTTTGCAACTGAACATCAGTGAGCCGACAACTAACCGTCCTCTATGTTAGGAGAAAAACGTACATGTCCCGGGTGCATACATCTCGTTTGTATAGCTGTGCACACATCACGTCTCATGTGCCGAACACGTGTGTCATGCATATAGTGACTCTCGATCAGTGAGTACAAGCGCATGTACCAACCCAAATATAGTTGTGTAGACTAATTATTCGACGAACACAAGTTGGTACTATCATACTAAAATTTTACATTCTGCCTCTATGCAGCTGCAATCACACCACCAGCAACATCATCAAAAGGGAAAATGACAAGAAGATATAAGAACACAATGACAACAAAGGCATAAAATTTAATCACATTTCCAGACCATTAGACCCAATTAACTTGGTGAGTCCGAAAGTAATAGCCATAGCCATCCATCCTCCAACGAGAACTCTGGCACAAGATTTCATCATCGATGTCCTTCCCAGCCTCGCTCCTACTCCTCCGAACACAACCAACGCCACGCTTGCCAAGACCACCACAACTGCTAGCCTCACCTTGTGCTCACTTATAAATGCAGCTCCTAGCAAAGGCACCACGGCACCTATCGAAAATGCAATGGCTGAAGCCATGGCTGCCTGTGCAGGATTTGGCAGCTTCAGCTTCTTCTTCTTTGCCTCTTGTGCATTCTCCGTAGCAGCACCATTTGTTCTCATCTCATCTCGTTTCATTTGAGACACCTCTATGTCGTACTGAGTGTACACAGAGACAAACTCTCCTATCGCCATGCTGCAAGCCCCGGCCACCAGCCCTGCAAACCCTGCAAGCAGCATGGCTTTCACGTCTTGCTTCACAGCTCCCACGCCCATCATCAGTGATGCAACCGAGACCAGCCCATCGTTGGCTCCCAACACCGCGGCTCGAAGCCATTGTGTCCTCTGGGAGTAGTCAAAAGTCTCATCTTCTTCATCTTCAGGCCTCTGGGATTGTTGTCTTGGCTGATCGGCAACATTTCCATAAACTGGAATCTCAATATGGTTCGTGGAAGCTTGTTCAAGAGCTCCTTGGGCAGCCATTTAGGAAGTTTTAAGTGAAGCAAATTAGTATGAAAAAGAAGCAAAGGGATTTGAATATTGATTGCTTGTGGAGGACACACGCCCTGTTATGGGGTATTTATAGACAAGGTTTATTAAATTATGGAGTGGTTAACTTAGTGCACATGTTGATGGAAGGCACTAACCATAATCAAGGGCTGCTTTTGATTTACTTAATCAAAATTAATGGCTAACTAAAATATGCCATTTTTCATTTTTGAGCTCAAACACTTGAATCTCTAGTGGTTGCATGCGTATAGAGAACCTTTATTTTCTTCTTTCTGTATCTGTATAAATGTATCTAATCGATATTATGACATTCCAATTTCTTCCCGATACCTACCAAGGAAAATTCCGAATTGTATCTCAAATTGACGGGTTAGTGTGAGCTTGTTATGGTGGTGGTGGTGGCTTAAGTACTATAAAATTGTTAAAATGCAGAAAAGTGTATGAAGTGTGGATTGCGCACAAAGGCCACCAGCAGAGTTCCGATTAAAGAATGTATGATTTTGTCCTCCCCAAAAAAATTATATCTAGCTTTTGTAGATTTTGGTAAGAAATTTGAATAATCAATTGAGTGGAGGGTGCATTCCACACGAAAGCTTGTGGCCCTTGATTATTATAGTTCAATGAATAAAAGATGCACACTTCATTCTTTCTGTGTGATCTCTATCCATCTTGGACAGCTTGACCAACTCCTTTTTAAAACTTTCCACTGATTAAAAAGCAACACCAGTACTTATAATGATGTTTAGTTTTTAATTAACCCACTAATTAAGGATACAAAACGATAATACATGAAAAGCAAAACCCTTTTGAGAAAGAGAAGTGATTTAGGTTGTGTTGTTGTGTAGTAGGATCATATATTTTTCCATGTATGAATGAAGATTTCGTAACGTAAGTTCTGCTCTGCATAATTTGTCTGCAAAGCATGAGCTGCACTTCAAGTTTCGTGCATATGCAAAGTGGAACGTGTTTTTCTTTCTTTTTTTTTGAACAATTTTGTTTTTCTTTAATTACTGTTATGCGACTTCCCTTGCATTGCATGTAAATATGTCACAATTCCAGTCTGAAAGACATTTTCGGTCATTTGAAAGAGTTGGCAAAGTTTAGAATAGATTATTTCAGGGCACGAAGCCTCTGACTTGAAACACCACAACATTATAATTTATATGATGGAGCAAAAAAAGGAGCTTGTAGCTCAAGTGGTTAAGGGCAATTACCTCAGCACCTGAGGTCATAAGTTAAATTCTCCCCTCCTCTAATATCACTTGTATAAAAAAAAAGAAAGACATTTTGGGTCGTTTGGAAGACCGCCAGATCATTATATGATGGAACGGCAAAATAATTTATTTATTTATTGCGGTATAATGGTAGTATACAACCATTCGTAGTAATATTACTAACACAATTACATTTTAATAGTTCCCAGGATCTTCCTAAAATGGGAAAGATAAAAAATAAAAAATGCAAAATCAATGGCGCTCTCTACACATCTGAACCAACAACATTTGGTACTTTTATTCGTATCTGTGAGAGAAGCTCTTCCAACTATGCATCATGGGTCCATGAGATTCATTCATCCACTGCCAGTTGGCTACAACCTGCCATTCATGAACCGTGATCGTATTTAGTGGTTAAGTTGTGCAGACAATGAAGAAATGAAAGTAGTAAGCATAAATTTTGGATCAAAATATCCGCTAAAAGTTTTCTTAATCTTCAACTCAGAAGAACTGTTTAAGTTTGCATTGTTTTGAGTGTCATAAAAGTTGATGGCTGAACAAAAAGTGAGACACTCTCACCTTGCGAAGCAAATTATCAGGTATCATGATAGGTTGGTATGGGCACCCCCGATGCTTCTGTCAGCTCCTTGTAAGCATTCTGCAGTGTTCGAGTCACAGGCCCCACTTTTCCATCTCCAACTAGACGGCCGTCAATCTTCACAACCTGGAAAACAAAATCCCATTGACCAAGTATTGGTTCTTATGAAGAGGGAAAGATTACAGCGTTGATGAGCGGAAGCTGGCATAATTACAACCTGGTTGGACAGGTTTTATGGACCTCCTCTCATAATTAGTCATATCAAACTTCAAACTGTAGCAGATGGTTGTTCATCTTAGCAAGAATTCCATTATTTAACTTGTTGAGCAAATGTGTTTTGTCAAATACAGGCTATAACGTTTACAAGATTTAGAAATGAACCAAATTGTATATGCAGGTAGTCTGCAACTGAGATTACAATGTCCATAAGGCACTCACCGGACTGAGTTCTCCCATTGTTCCTGTTGTCCATACCTGCAGGGCATCCATTATAGTTGTAAGCCTATTGTCCATAGAAGGAAGACCATGTTGGAAATAATAAATATATACAAATTATGTGACCATCTATATATATTTATGTAAGAAAACCTCATCTGCAGTATGGAACTCTGATAGGCTGATCCTTCTCTCCTCTAAGACCAACTCCTCCTTCACCACAAGGTCCATAACCTGAAATCTCAAAAAATAAGTAAGTCATTGGAAGACCAAGTGCAAAGTATTCTTCACCAGTCATTGCACAAATGTAAGTTCAATTCATAAAGTTTGATAACAGTTGTCATAATAGGAGGGAAATCTACACAACTTACAGTTGCTCGAGTCACACCAGGAAGGCAGTAATCAGCATGAGGTGTCAAAACACGGCCTTTCTTCACCAAAAACTGTGAAATCAAACACAGGAGTTTATTTACAGTGTGGATGTCATATAAGTTACATGGACCGGAAGGAACTGATTTCCTTTAATGAAAAGATTTCAAAGGAAATGTTACCCATAGGTAACTGCTAGGACACAATAATACAATATCAATATTTTATATGCCATTGATTACTCAAGGAGGAGGGATCGAAATTTTGTGTCCATTACAATAGTAATAGTCCCTATGCCAGATTGTAAGTTGATCCAGCGATCTAACATTCAATTCATGATAGTTTACACGGAGGATTTCGACACTTTCTCAATAGAAAGTTGGAAAAGAACAATGAAAAACTACATATGACAAATGGAACCTAACTACCAAGTTTTCATACAGCACTAAAACCTGACAAGCAAAAGCACAGGCTTACAATGTTCGTAGCATTTGTTTCGGACACATAACCATCCTTGTCGAGCATGATTGCATCAGCGGCACTTGCATTATTGCCTTCTATCTGCACTATTAGCAGAGTTCCATAACATGAGTATGTGCATTATAAAAAATTTAAAATGGGCCTGAGTACAAAATAGACCGCACAAAGTTTTATGGTTAAAGGGTGCTTTTTTCAGCAAAGACTTGCAAAAAGAAAACAGATTATATCACACTAACAGACCATTAACTCGTCCAGTAGTTAACTTAAAACCAAATCTGCATAGTTAAAGAGCTATTTGATTATGTGAATAGAACAAACCTTTGCAAGTATATTGTTGAGTAGGTTATTGTGGTGAATCTTTGAATCCAAATTCTGGTAAAAACAAAAGGAAAACAAAAATAAAAGTCAATGGACTGAAATAGGAGAAAATATCAATCAAATCAGGCCTTCTGGTACAACGGAATATGAATTAATCTGATTGCTCTCTACTAACTAATTTAGGTTTTACAGCATTTTACTGTTCAAATTTTGATAATTTTTCTTCATTAAATATACATAATAATTGATCAAGTTTGTTGGTTTACCACTACTCCCTAAAGCTTACATTTGGTGAATTACGACGAGTGGTAGCTGTAACAAGAGTAATACCACTTGTATTGTCATAGACAGGGGGTTTCCATTCAGCAAGGACTGCATGTTTAAAAGAAATAGCAAGTGCAGCATAAGAAAGACCAAATGTTTCACTAGTGCGTTAAGTAGTCAATAAAGCAATTAGTATATTACATCCAGCACAATTAGGTTTCCGTGTCCACATAGCAACCTCAGAACATGCATTTCAAACAGAATATAAACATTCGCATGTCAGGGCAGAGGATTAAGAATTTTGTTTTACCAATTAAGGTGCATCCATAAAGATTGAATGCTGGGCTCATGCCAGAAGTAACCTGAAGAAGATGAACGATACTAATCACTACTAGAGGAATAAAGACTGCACTGAACAACTACACTCAAAAGAATTTCAATCTAAAACTTGCCATGGCAGGGCAGTACCTTTTTCCCACGCGTCAGACTTAATCGGATGTGTGAATTGTCAAACATTCCATTTCGAATAAGAGTACTAAAGATGGCTTCCTTAACCTGCAATGATGAGATACAGAACTATAGGCAAAAGCTACTGAAGAAAAGATCTCCTTGCATAAGACCCAATACAATGAATTGAAAAACTCTTTACCCCTTCGCGAGTAGGAACATTGTTAAATGCCAAAGCCTTTGCTGAGTCAAATAACCTGTAGATATCAAAATAAAGTTTACATTAGGGACTGCTAATAAAAGAATAAAATAATAATAGTAAAATAGGAAATTGGGTAATTCATAAATTTTATAGGAGCTTATAGAAATCACAGTTTCATAACATACAGGACAGTAAAAAAAGGTCTGCTCCTAAAATCTTTAGCAATGACAAATTTGGAGAATAAAGGCTAATAAATGAATTAAACAACTAAATAATCCTTGTTTAAATACTTGTTACTCTCTCTTAGCAAGCAATACGATGTCTTCTTGAAATCAACATGTCTATCAAAGATTCAATATTACAGATCAAATCTTTCCAGCGAAATTAAGTATCATCAACATATTATACCAGAATATTCAATCATAAATTTTCCAATTAATCTATAGTCACCAAGCATCAATCTTGTTGAAACTTTAACCTTTCTTCTACTTACCTATCTAAATGTTCATCAAGCTTAAATATCTTGCCATTGTAAACTCGAAGACCCTCCCAAACTGAATCACCGCCTTGGACAACCGAATCGAACACAGAAACCTTAGACAGGTTACAGGATAGAAATAAATATCCTTAGATGGCTAAGCATTGAAACAAAAGATTGGAGGGATGATTCTGTCCAGTGGAGATCATCAAGTGACCCATGTACAAGTACCTTTGCACTCTCGCGTGGTACAATCTCATCACCAACCCATGCAAGTAGCTTCTCATTTTCTGGAACTGGAAGATCGGGTTCAGGCAAATGAGACTTAAGAAGGCACGATGTCTGCTTCACATGGCGCCTAAGAAAGTTGTAGAAAGGTAGACTTTGCTCAAGTACATCATACAGAGACATAGGGAATGGCTGAAAAACACACATGGAGCATTAGCTCAGACGAAACATTCTGTCATGTCATAAGTTCAGTTGTCATTATCAATCTCATGATACAAAATTTTGTGAGAAAAGACAAGAATAAGGTTTAAAAGGCACAAATTTATGACTTAGAAAGAGATATTTAACCAAATTAAGGAGTACTTGTTATATAACCTAACTATATCTATTTTCAGATAATCTTTGTGTCCCTTGTTTCCAAGCAGGTGATCAATTTCTAGCATTTAAATTAGAGTTGAGCACGTTTTGACACAGAAACCAAACTTTGATTGCTTATGATCCAGACACATAACAAAGCTGAGAATGAACATCAGTTCAAGAAAAAAAAAGACTAATTCTTTGATTAAACATACAACTCTTAAGGTTTCAACTCTAACGTTACGTAATGCATAAATAGCATACCATGGGATACTTTCTTGGTGGTTGAAATCCTGTTGATTTGTGCACTGTTTCGTACCACCATGGGGCCCAAACACCATCTATTGGCTTTGGACCAGCCAAAAAATTTCATTGGAAAAAAAAAAAAAAAAAAAAAAACTTGAAAAAATCCACATTTGTCTAAAGAAACTAGACTAAAACATTTTCAATTTCAAATGGAATAGCTTTTGCATACTTAAGCATTGTGGACTGAAAAGGGATATCCAACTCTTCACAAAGACCACGTAATGTAGCCTGCATTATCAACAAGATGAGGTGAAAATAAAGATAAAAAAAGATAGAAGATTGAGAAAGTTCTCCAGAAGAGATTATAGAAAAACCACTGAACAATGGCAGACAACTGGATATGAAAACTTAATAACAATTACAGAAGATAAATCGACAATTTGTACAATTAACGATTGTCAACATTTAAAAAAGCTCTCAAACACCTCAGGATCTACTTGAAGCTCTGCTGCATCAATAACAGGAGGGGGTCTCCCCAGTTCAGAGAGCTCACTGTATATTGAGACCAGATCTGCCAAACCTAACTCAAGAAGCGATGGAGGCACAACCTTGTCAAAGGATGGCTGACAAAACATCCAACAAAGAAGTCAGTAACTTAAAGCAAGTGATCTGAAGCATAGTCTAAACACAAAATATTTAAAGATATAGTGAATTATTAAACATGCCAATATTTGCCAGAAGCAGGTAAAATTACCAAGACCACGAAAGAGACTTCAATCTGTTTATGAAAGTAGACTCTTACCAAGATATCAAGGGGATTCCGGGTCAAAATGACGTGCTTTCCTGTCTTCATTAAATCAATTGGTAAACCAGGCACACGTTGCTTGGCCATATGCTGGAGATCAATTTAAAAAAAATACTGATAGTATTATAAAACACAATTAGCAAAGCCACCAACGCATAAAAAGCAAGTTCTGAGCTCTGATCCATTTAATAGCAAAATTCTCATAATATAATAAAGGAATTGGTGATCAATTTCAGTTTCTAGGGTCCTCATCTTGTAGAACGGCCGATGGGAAAAATGCAAAAAATCTGAAGGGATTTTTTGTATTAGTTTATCAAACATTTGATAGCCAGATAGTATTCTTGCTCTTGCTAGTTACTTTGTCAACCGGTTGCCTCTTTTCATCTATATTTCTTTTGGGCATAATTCTTAAACCTGAAATTAATTGACCTTTACTGCGAGTGATATATTTTTAGACAAGTATTTACAGTCTTATTAGCCATTGGTATGCTGTGGAGTTAATAGCTAGGGGGAAAAGAATTCACAACATAACTTTGAAAGGAGAAAGCTAAGCTCAATATTTATGAACACAGACATTACTTTGCTCAACCAGGGAGGGTATTGTTTATCACCTTACAGAGGCGATACTTCTTTCTTCCTGGACCAAGAATGATATCTTTTACAACTTTATTTCCATCCGGTTCCTGATACAATTGACACAAAACATTCAAAGTGAAGAGTGAGGATAAAGAGAATCATAGATGATAAAAACAAATTGTGAAGGTTACAATTTGAAACATAACATTTGTATAAGGCAAGCGTGCTCGTATAATAACAGTAGTAAAACTAATTATATAACCCATGCAATATAGCAAAGTTTGCCAAGCGCAAAACTTTGAAATAAACCAAAGCATAAAAACCTGTGTCTCAGAGAAAAATATGTAAAGCTCATCTTTATGAAAAGAAAATCAATAGAGATCCTCCTAGCAAAGCTGATTTTCCAAATCAGCCTGAAAAGTAAACTTGTAAAGATGAAGACATGGAAATTTACCATTTTGGACAGAACCTCCTCCCTGTAGGGCCTATCAAAACCCGTCACCCGAAGGAAAGTTGCATAGAGGGGTTCATCAAGCACTTCTATGTCATCCCTCTGAAACCAAAACAACAAAGAAGCTCTGGAAATCAATACTGTTTAGTACATTAAGTTTCCCCAAACCTAAAGTTCTGGTAAAAGGCTTGTCAGAGTTTGGTGAAGAAAAAAAAACAGAATCTTTAGTTTTGCACTTTCTTACAGAACCCAGAAAAGAATATTAAAGAAAATGGAGTGGCACCTGAGCAAAAGAGTACATGAGGCTGGTACTCAGTGATCTTGGAGTAGCCCACAAATGAATCGCTTCCACTTCAACCTCTGCTTGGTTCTTCAGCTCATTCATGGTGATGGGTTTGGATTGAAATTTACAACCTTTAGTGAGATTGATTGGGTTTTGTTTAGAGACTGGGAGCTGAATGCATGTATAGCTGACAGCTCTGCAACTGAAAACTGAATGATTTGGATAACTTGGATTGCTCTAGGTCTACCTCGTTATTGTCACAAGAACAGACACGAAAGTCAGCTCTTGCATCAATCTCAATGTTTCTCTGCAGTGAATCTGGTCCAGTGAGATTTAACAAATAGTATTTACTATTTTTCTGATATTAAACTAAACCATTTTGAAATTTCTTTCTTCCTTGAACCCAAAAGAGAAAAGTTAATCTCTTTTGGCCTAGAGATAGACAATTGTTATACGATACGATCATGTTTTCCGGTGTCGTAATAAAAGTAAAAGAAATGGGTGTCCTTTGGGATTTTGACCAATCCAAAAATGACCCTTCACGTTATGCCAGCGTTAAAGTTGCTGATATTTTTCTTGGATGTGTAAAAAGCGTTGATAAATAAGAGAAAATAGGACAAGTTTAATGTGTGCATGAAACTTTTTACCATGACATGACGTGTTATGCATTTGCAATTTCATGGTAACAACTGTCAACTGTCAACTGTCAACTGTCATCAACTACTGTGTAAAGTGAAGGGGCTGTCACCACCACCACACATGGGAATATTGGAGGACTCGTGTAGTGACAAGACTGGCTATCAAATTAAGGACCCATATGGTGCCTTCCTTCATTGCCGCTGTTTCATCAAAACAGAACAAAACAAAAAAGCAGCACGATAATGCGGTGGATGAGCCGTTCGGTGGGGCTTTGGTTTGGAGTCTTATTTTTGTGGTCACCCTTTGTGTACATTTTCGTGTAGAGATCAGTTTGCTTTCTTTTTAACTAAAGTCCTTTACACCTGTTCTATTGAAACGTGAAATCAAAGTAATTAGTTTGGCCTATCAAAGACGATTCACAATTGGTAAAATCTTGATCTCTGGATGCGTATGGTTTTGAATTTTGTGTAGTTGTGGAATTTCCACAAGAAAGAAGGCAGATCACCAATGCTCATCCCAATTTGTGTGCGAAGAAGAAAAAAATCATACAACTTTTGAAGTACCTTACAAGTCTAACAAATCTTAAAACTTTAAAGAGTGAGAATTGCACAAAGCCTATTTGCATGAGATGGCAAATAGTCGTACACCGGTTCGATCATATGAGTGCATGTAGGGAAGCAAATTGAAAGGCCTAAGTGAATCACTTAGGTCTTTGATGGTAAGGTTAGCCGAGTCTATCAAAGCACAGAATTTATCGAATGTCTCAATCTTGCGGATCACAGTAGCGATAAAAGCCATTGAGCCTTTCTTCAATCCAGCATTTGTAGCACCGTTTTCTGTTCTTTTGGGTAGAAAAGCTTGGAATTTATCACCATTACCAGCACTCCCTTGATGAGTTCCATTGACCTTACCATCAGTACATTTACTTTCCAATGAAAGGCCTAGGTGATTACCACTCCCCTTCTCAGGATACAATTTCTTAGGGTTTAGTAGAAAGGCTAGAATTCGAACAAGATGAGGGAGGCATACAGGGTCGTATATTACATCTGCACCCAAACTGTTGAACGAGAGAAAGGAAATTAGAATAGCTTTCAAGCTTCATAAGACTGAAAAACAGATTAGATAAAACTGCAGCGTCTGTTCACAAACTAACTTTATCTCATATACTCACATTATGTCTGGCTTGAGTTTCTGAAGCTCACTTTCTGAGACAGATTCCCAGGGCATATGAAGGCATTTAACCTGAGATTGTAAGATTATTATAAATGGTATTGCAAGTCATGCAATTCTAATGCACCGTCATTCATTTCTTTACCAACTAGAGTAAAATATTGTCAGTTACCATATTTGGATCTTCAGTAGTTTCTGACATATCAGTTTCAATGCTGAAGTGGTTCAGTCCCAGATTGACCTTCATGTTTGCTAAAGTTGACAGGTCACCATCAGTTAGTATCACCTATATCAAATACAAACTTTATAAAGTGATCCACAATCTGAATACAGACACCATTTGCCTGATTGAAATTAGTGATACATATGTCTCTCTTTGTGTGCATGCATTAAAAATTGAAAGTTACAAAACTACACAAAGCATGGTTAAATCACCCTCAACCCTAACACAGAAACAAATGTCAGCTACGAGCGTGTTTCATCCAGTTATAACAATTCACATACTTGTGGTAAAAGAACACAAATTCTCCAAGACCTTCTACTGATTGAAGTAAAATCAATTTCAGTTTGATCCAATGATATTGTAAAGGGAGACGGTTTTACATTACTTGTGAATTTTGGATAATACCTTGGATGCTTTCACATGGGCAAGACAGATGCCAACCAAACCAACGCCCGAGCCAACCTATTGTTTAGTTCATCGTAAATAAAACAAAAGTGTAAAATGAATATAGGCCATAATAGTGGCATCCACGTGAATAAAGATACATGGAAAGATAAAGAAAAGTGCATTACAAGAAACGAAAACGTAGTAACCAGCATAGTAAGAACTAGTGATTTTTACAGACATCAGTTGTACAAGGCAACAGAAAAGTCGGCCAACTCTTGGCTTACATGGCTACATTCTTGTAACCAATAACATCTATGTCCAACTAGATTGGATAGATGCTTGAACATATAACTTACCTCAAAGCATGACTTATTAGAAAATAATTCTGGAAAAGAAAGTATACATTCCGATAAAAAAAGACTTGATGGCCAAACCGAGCACCTACATTAAAAAAAGCCAATACTAATTTAAATTAGCATACTTCATACCAGTAACTCTTAGTAAAAACAATATGAAGTGATTAATCAAACATGTAAAACGCTACAGCCTGTCAAATTGTTGTATGCTGTACAACTAGAAAAGGTATCAAAAAAACAAGGAAATTGCCTCTCTATGCAGACAAAGGAATCAACAATCTGGTTTAGTAGATATCAACAGTGAAATATACCCTGTATCTCCTTCAAGCATGTTGAGTGAACATTGCAGGGGTGCCATCAGTTTCCTCGACTTGGGACAACTCGAAAGTTTAGAACAACCTAGAGGTACCAAGTCGTTAAAACAATATGCTAATCAAGAATAAGAAACTCCACACACGAACATCACATGAATTAAAACCATTACCATCAGGAAAAAGAAATGAAATGCATTTGAAGACCCTTGCATTTCCTTTTTCAAAATCACTGTCCTAATCAACAAAACAGCTTGTTAATTCCAATTTAAAACAAGTAATTAGCTTAAATCAAACAATTTCATCAAACAGCTGTTCCTTAATTAGCTATAGTACCTTCAAAGAAGCCATGAAATGAGCATACTGTTCGTATAGCTCATCCAGCACATCACCGTGGTTCAGCTCAACTTCAGCAATGAGCTTCTTCAGAAACTTCTTCAGGTAAGGCGCATGCAACTTCCCGGCCTGCATTTACCATTCAACTGAACCAAACTTCATACTTGAGAAAAAAATACCAAAACCGATAGAAATTGCATTTAAGTGAACTGTGCATAAGCAGAGGCCATAAAAAGTTTACATCTTTGGCTATGCAATGGTCCCAAACAAACCTCTGCACTTCCTCAGTAACCAACCCTCCACCGCATACCCTACACAATTCACAAATACAAACCATGATCAAAGAAGAAGGTGAACTTGCTAACTTGCGCCATCAGACGCTAAAATGGGCCGACCAGCGTGTAAAACTCAAGAAGTTGTTCAATTGCATTTCTCATTGGATGAATAGGTTTAAAGTACGCGGCTTTGTGCTAACGTGCGCCGGGGAAGTTACCGGGCCAAGGCGATAAGAGAGTCGGTGGGCTCCATAGAGAGGAGAGCAGAGAGCAAGTGGAGACATGAAGGGATTGATGGGTGGAGCTCCTGGTCCGCCATGGCTGTCCCTTTGCCGTTGAAAAGTTTTCTAGGGTTTTAGCAATGTCCAGTAGGCTGGGGACACACCGCCATGGCTGCAAAGGTTTTATTTTACAAGGTAATCAGGAAGACGACGCCGTTTCTTAAGTGATTTTTTTGTAGCCAACGACAACATGATGCGTTAGTCTTGCCATCTTTAAAAAACGACGCGTCGCTCTGTCACATACTGGGTTGGGGTGCGAAGCTATAATAAAAGCCGGTAACCTAACGCTACCTCTTGAAGTTTGTTTTGCACTCTTTTCAACTTTCATTTTTCGCGCGTAAAACCCAAAGTACTCTCTCGATCTCTCTTGATTGTTTGGTTGCCTAGAAAATGTAGGGAACTGCAGAAAAATCTGAGATTCGCTACCTTTATTTCTTCGATTTCTATTTTTCTCTTTGAATTCTCAGTAGCCAAACAGATTTCGAAGCTCACTATTCACGAATGCTTGAGGTCGACTCTTTTAGCTGTTTGGCTGCTGAGAAAATGAATCGACATCATTTGAATTTCGAACGTATTTTCACATTCTAGGCTGATTCTAACACAACCGTTCAGCTCAATTTTTAAGACTTCTCCAGATATTGAGCAACCAAATAGCATCAATCTTGTATTAGAAATCTGATTTTCTTATAATTTATCGTCAGCCAAACAGTCATATGAGTTTGTCTTTATAATATAAGAACCGACGCTCTTTTTGTGTTTTATTTTTTTGCAGGTTTGGATCAAATTTAGCATTTTAGCACGGTACAATGTCGAGTATGACAATTTGTGCTCGTTTCAGACCTTTGAGCTCCAAAGAGAGAAGAGATCACGGCGATACAGTCTGCATTCGATGCATAGACGCTGAAACTTTCCTCTTCAAGGTTCTTTTCTTTCCATCCATGGAAAATTTTCCATTTCTGAGCTCATGCATCCATGTATTCCTCAATTTCTTAAAATTAACTCTGCTATTTTTGTTTGGTCAATACGTTGTGTGTTTGAGAAATAAATGTTAAGAGATTTGAATTGTTGTACGCTAGGATGAGAAGGATGAAGAATTTACATTTAGCTTTGATAAGGTGTTCTACGAGAAATCCGAGCAAGCTCAAGTTTATGAATTTCTAGCTTGGCCTATTGTGAAAGGTAAAAATATTGTGGATTGTTAGCTCTTATATTAATGGATACATTGTGGATTCTCTACTTAATTCCTAAAAAGAGAAAGAAAAAACGAAGAAGCAAGAGAGTACTCCTCATCTCTCTTCTTAGGTTTTCGTAGCAGCCAAACTAGTAAAGGGTTTACTAATTGGGACAATCTAGTTTGGATTATTGATTTGATGTATATCCAACTCAGTTATGCTGTGCTCTTTGTTCTATTTATGTTCGGTGACCATGATACAGATGCTGTTGACGCAATCAATGGGACGATAATCACTTATGGGCAGGTAGGATATCGTTGTCTTACTTTTCTCCGTATGGTGGTTGCCTGTATGTATGTGTTCACTTTCTGTCTAGTAATTGCATGTCTTAGTTATTTTGTTGGTTCTAACTTACAAACCTTTTGTAACCAATGACAGACTGGAGCTGGGAAGACATATAGCATGGAGGTGAGGCGGGGGTATCACAGTATTCTTGAGATGATTGTTAATAGATATTGAATTAATTAAACTCACGCCTAGTAATGTTTGCATATTTGGTGCAGGGGCCTAGCATACTGGTATGTGATGAGCAGAAAAGAGGATTACTTCCAAGAATAGTTGAGGGACTGTTTGATTGCATTAAATCTTCAGGAGGAACAATGAAGCACTCAATCAAATTGTCAATGGTATTAAGATACGCTTACCTTTAGGGGTTATAAACACACGTTGCAAGTTGCAATGTCTCTACTGATGTCATTTTCTGTATCTGTTTGTTTCTCTTTCAGGTAGAGATCTACATGGAAAAAGTAAGGTATGTAGAAGTGGAATGACTCAAGTTGACTCAAATACATTCTCTTTGGGGTATAAAGTAAGCTAAATATGGTGGAACTCTGGAAAGGTTCTAATAACTACAGTTTCAGTTAGTGTTAACTACACTTCTTACTCAGGGACCTTTTTGATTTATCAAAAGACAACATACAGATTAAGGAGAGTAAATCGCAGGGGATATTGTTGAATGGAGTAACAGAGGTATCCCTAGCTTTTGAAGAAATATATGCATAATTGTATGCCCATGATATCAATAGGAGTAATTATAGAGGCTATTTTCATATAGGTTATCATGATACTATATGCTAAATTATACACCTATACAAGCTGGCAACGTTTGTTGGCAGCAATGCAATAGGCTTGATTACCACCTTCACTGGTTCATTTCTACTAACATGCATGTGCACACACAAGAGCTACTGAGGCTTCTAATGTTCAATCTGTCCACTTTAAATCTTAGTCTTGGGTAATGGGGTTTGTCCTAGAAGTGAAAAAAGTTTCAATCAATCCAGTCATGTTTCAAATTTTAATGTTTTGCTTGCTCAAATCCTTTTGACACCAAGAAAACTGAGATGACTACAGATTGAATCCTGGTTGTGTAGGATTTAGACATTTAATATTCCTGCAATATATGTCGTGAATTGCCTTAGGACTGAGAAATAGCTTGTAATTTTCCCTTCTTCCAGATCTCTGTGTCAGATCCTGCAGAAGCATTACAAAGCCTATCTGTAAGATAAACTTACTTCAGAAATCTCTGTCAGTTTATAGTTTATGGTTTACATTTTAACAGTGATGTTTATAATGCAGAGTGGCATAGCTAACAGAGCTGTGGGGGAGACCCGTGTCCTTTGCTTTTCTTTTTCAGTTCTGGTTGTTTCTTAATTGCATAGTATAATAGCAGCATTCTTTTTTGGATGGGAATGTTATCCACTTTCTGTTATTGTGTTCAAAACTTAATACAGACATAGAAATGAACATGGCCAGCAGCAGAAGCCATTGTATTTACATATTCACAGTTCACCAAGAAGTAAAGAGAGATGACAGGTAAAATTTCTGTATTTTATATTGGTGTAAGTCTTTGGCTTTATGATCTTGAACATTTTGAATCTGTGGATAGGTTGAAAACTGGCAAATTAATTCTTGTCGACTTGGCTGGATCCGAGAAAGTAGAGAAAACTGGAGCTGAGGGAAAAGTTCTTGAAGAAGCCAAGACCATCAACAAGTCCCTCTCAGTCCTTGGTAATGTGATAAATGCTCTTACATGTGGTTCACCAGGCAAAGCGAACCACATTCCGTTTCGTGATTCCAAGCTTACTCGGATTTTACAAGATTCACTGGTCAGTTTCCTCCCTTTAGTCATTTTCACCATAGTATTATCAGTTATTTGTATTGAAGATCTACTGGTCCTCATCTTGCAGGGAGGAAACTCCCGCACTGCATTATTGTGTTGTTGCTCACCAAGCCCTTCAAATGCATTGGAGAGTCTCTCCACTCTTCGCTTTGGGATGAGGTATATATTATTCAAAAACCTATAATGCACGCCATTCAGTATTTTGTTTTCTTATCCTCTTGCCCTCAGTCCCTAATATAGCTTGATTGAGCACACAATAAGGATGTATTCTCTTTGTTACAACTTCCCCAAGAGCAAAACTTTCATTATTGCATAAGATATATTGAGCATCTAGTTCTTCTATAGAAAAAGAAAATCAATTCGATTAATTACGAATTAGGACTCAAAAAGAAAATTTTTGAATTGACTTTTAATCTTACTTCCATTTTGGATATGACATTTTGCCAGGGCAAAGCATATCAAGATGTCACCACGTGTCAAGTGTAATGAAGATAAATGTGCTGAAAAACAGGGACCTGCATCATCTCCAATTAAACATGAGTCATGCGAGATAATCCTTGACAAGGTTAGATATAATTCTCTTGTAAAATTGTCAATGTGAACTTTTATTATAGTTCTTCTAACACAACCTCCGTGCATACACATAGTTGAAGGAGAGATTTGATGCTGAACATGTGAAGTTACTTGAGGAGTTGTTCACATTGAATGGCATTTTGTTTGATCCTTGTTCATCTGAAGAGTTGGATTCAGCATTCGAGGATGTCACTTCACAGACGATTGTCTCATTGCAGCAAGCAGTGGAAGAACTTGCATCCACTGTCGATGAGGTACACGTTACCACTGAATTAGCTGAACCTTATTGATAAACAATCTGATCTAGTCCAATAAGTTGTCTTGAGTACCACTTTACTTTGTAGTGAGAATGTTGGCAACCTCATATACTTGTCTTAAAAACGAGTTTTATCGCCGATTTTATGCTGTTACAGCTTAAGAGAGAGAATAAGGGTCTGAAGGTGAGATTAGCAGCTGCTGAAAGATCTCATGCAGCAGGCAAAGAGGCTGGAGATAATAATACTTCAAGTCTTGTGCATAAACTCCCAGGAATTCTCAGCTCCTTTGTGTCTTGGGTGAGGTCACTCTCCTCTATCAAGTTGTTGAATTGTGAGGTCAATTGAACATTGCTCATATTCTCAAGCACAGCAAGAGCCCTTACATCCATTTTGTACAGTTTGTGCCAGAATTTGAATTCCACCTTATTTGGAGAGAGTTAAGCTTCTTGCTGTGGGTTGCTTTACATGCTTTCTAGCTTGGCACACGCACATGAGGCTTAGTTCCACGAATTTATCTTAAACTGAGTAAAATTTGTGATTTTTAACACGTCCTAACTTAGCTATATAAATTTTTTGCTAGAGGAGTTTGTGCCCATCAAATATCCCATGTCTTTGATCTTTGGCCAGGGGGGCTTTTTTCTTTGTTTGGTCAATGCTATGAGAGGTTTGACATTGACTCCTATTTGGGCTAAGGAAAAGGAGATATCTGGGTTGGTCTTGACTCTACTATTTGGGCTTTAATAGTTTTATGTCTAGTTGAGCTTTGACTATTTCAAATGTGCTGCTTCTTTGCTTTTGGGTTTGAAATGGAGGTGTTTCGGATAAAAAGCCCCATTTCTTCTTTTTGGGTAGAAGAAACCCAACTTCTTTAAATATTGGTCTACGTGGAAATCGTTCGCTGAATCACTAGTGACAGGAAAATGAAATACAGTAATTGGCAGACTTTCTATAATCGAACCCCAAAAAAATGGAAAGTTTTGTTAGACGTGTGGTGTGGACGTGCAAACGTATAAAAAAGCCAAGATTCGTCTAAGGAAAATTTTGAGTCCTTGCTTGCTCTCCGGTGCTTCATCTTCGTGTATTTCTTGCTTTAAGAAGTAATTTTCTGCAATCCCGAATATGCCCCTTCAAATTGTATACACTAAGCAGAATAGACGCTTACAGCTTAAGCCAATATAAGATGGTGTTTGTTGGGATCTATGGTTGTTGGTGTACATTTTATAAGTACATTAGTTGTGAATATACTTTCCCTTCAACTAATTAAGGTATCAGATAGTGAATAGTTAAAGGGTAAAACGTTAATTGAACAAATAAAACTTTACTTTTATGAAATCATTCAACATTTCGAAACCTCAAAGCAAACTTTTTTCTTTGAGTAAAAAAAGGAAATTTGGCATTTCACCAAAACTTATAAATAAATTAAAAATAAATAAAATAGAAAAATAGAAAAATAGAAAGTAAAGGACACTCGGCTCCAAGGACGGAACCACATCCACGACTAAGGTGGACTGTAGCCTAGGTAGCTTTTGAAGGAAAAACCTATATCTATATTGGCCAACAACAAGAAGTCTGCTTCCTTTTGGGGAGTTTTTGTTAGCGAGATCCTGCTTAATTAGGAGATTTATTTCCTAGTTTATTAGGACTCTATTTCTTTCATAGTCTATTATGACTCTATTTCTTTCCTTTTTGTACAGATAGTGTAATTAAGATTTTATTTTATTTCCTTGTATAACCCTACTAAGATTAAAACCTTGTATCATATATACCTCTTTTTGGATATATAAATATATTTGAAAATATTCTATCCATATTGTTTGACTATTTTTGAAGAAAAAACAATCTAAAATGGCCCATCATATGTGATTCTCGAAGGCATTTTAATTTTGTTTTCTGTTATTTTAAACCAATGACTAGCATCCACGTGTAGATCATAAACGTGTAAGCTTCAGTTTTGATTTTTTGCTTCCTTTTTTTTAAAAAAAAAAAAAAAAAAAAAAAAAAAAATTTTAGAGTTAAATAAATTTAAATAGCTAAATTTTTTTTAATAACTCATTAAAAAATTCCTATTCCGCTCTTGCTTTGGCTCCTTAACCTGAATCCTGATGTCCGCTGGATTTATCCCAAAAGTGATGATGCATTAGCGGTTAGGTCGCCTGTTACAAATAAAGAGTAAACTTATATATGCTTGTTTATTGCTTAACTTTTTGTCAGTGTTCAATAGATCAATAAAATTTGCAGCTAATTCTCTCTCTCTCTCTGTCCCTCTCTCTCTCTGTCCCTCTCTCTCTCTCTCTCTCTCTTGTGATTCTGTGAAGATTAAGCTTTCATCCATGGCTACCAAGAATTCCGTTCTCCAAATAATTGTCATCTTGCTTGCGATTTTTTTACCTGTCGGAAAGTCAATTAAATTCAACTATCCTGCAGTTTTCAACTTTGGTGATTCAAACTCAGACACAGGTGAGATGACTGCTGGGCGTGGCTGGCAACTTCCCCTGCCTTATGGACAAACCTACTTCAAACCTCCATCATCATCTGGGAGGTTTTCTGATGGTCGTCTGCTCATAGATCTTCTCAGTGAGTTCATTCTCATCCTCACTCATCACATGCCCTATCGGAAATCAATATTAAATCATGAATGAATACAAGCATGTGTGCAATAAAATTTTAAAATATGCACTTATTTCTAAGCATGTAAATATTAAAATACTAAACCATGCATATAGAGAGCTCATGATTTGTAGTTTTATTTTCAAATCATTAAACTATATAGAGAGCTCATATTTTGTAGTTTGGAAAAAAAAAACTATAAGCGGGCCCTTACAAATGCGAGTAATACTAATTGGATAAGATAGTGTGTCCGGCTCTTTACTTTCAAATTCGATCCCCGTTAACCGTCCTCATATATTAAAGTAATTTAGAATGTCATTTTATCAAAAAAAATATAAGCAAAATTCTAAGATTCGTGTCACAAGTAAATTTAAAATCCTTGTTTGCTCTATGGTGCTTCATGTTTTAGCTTAAAGACTTCCGTCAATTTTTTCTGCAATTCCAAAGATGGGATTAAAATAATATTCAACACAACGGAAACTACCGCTATCTTTGTCTTATGTACTTGTTAGGGTTTCTACCTTTGTAGTCGTAAATATACTTTTGGCTAAACTTGGGCATTGAGTGTGTTCAACAATCGAAGGGTAAAACAGTAATTGAACAAATAAACTTTGCTTTTTGGCTTCATTCAGCCTTTCCAAGACTCAAAGCAAACTTTCACCATGTCCCCATATAAGTACTTCCAAACTTGGCACCATGTGACACATGATATTCGGTGGTTGCTACATAACGCATCCGTGAAGATTAAGCTTTCATATCCATGGCTACCAAGAATGCCATCCTCCAAATTTTCTCCTTACTTTACATTTTTCTACCTATTTCAAAGCCAAAGTTCTACTACCCTGCCGTTTTCAACTTCGGTGATTCAAACTCTGACACTGGTGAGCTTGCTGCTGGCCTTGGTTTCCAGCCTTATGGACAGACTTACTTCAAAACTCCATCTGGGAGGTTTTTCTGATGGCCGCCTCATGATAGATTTTCTCAGTAAACTTCTCACATTTTCTGTTCAAAACTTCTCATAATTTGTCTAATTATCCTGTGGTCATATATTTTTACGTAAAAAATGTTTCCATTCGGACGGAGGTATTTGAAAGAAATAATTTTGATTGAACAATAATACTAGAAAATGTTATATTCAATATGTTTAAATAATTGAATATAATACATTCAGAATGGTATCCAAATCTTGGCATACATGAATACGTTTATAATATATGAATATATTGCAACTGACCAAGAAACACTTCCGTCTTGGGGCCTTTGGGTTTCCAGATGTGAAAGCAAACCAACACTTACAGATGAGCCCCACTTCTCACCAAACAAGAACTTTTCATGAAAGGTTTCATAAAGTATATATTTTGCTGTTGTTTGCACATACAAGTGAAAACTATAGGCCTAAGAAGTTGTTAACCTCTGTTTCACTTTCCAATCTCCATGGCTACCAAGACCCGTATTCTCCAAATTCTCACCCTGATTTCTATCTCTTTACCTCTTGCCAAATCCATTCACTTCGACCACCCTGCTGTTTTCAACTTCGGTGATTCAAATTCTGACACTGGCAATCTTGTTTCTGCTGGCATTGAAACCCTCGTCTCTCCTAATGGACAGATTCATTTCAAAAACCCATCTGGGAGATACTCTGATGGCCGTCTCATCGTTGATTTTCTTAGTAATTTTTCAATTTTGTTCCTCTAATCTTTGTTCTGCTGCATTTAATTCATATATATATATATATGTATACATACATACATATGAATTTGTCCTTATGTCTCGAGTATAATGTTTGCAGTGAATGCAATGGAGCTTCCATTTCTAAATGCCTATTTGGATTCAGTTGGCTTGCCAAGTTTCAAAAAAGGGTGCAATTTTGCCGCTGCTGGGTCAACTATACTTCCAGCAACTGCAACATCCATCTGCCCATTTTCATTTGGGATCCAGGTCAATCAGTTTCTTAGATTCAAAGCCAGGGTTCTTGAATTGCTAGCTAAAGGTATGTTCTCGAATCTTCTTAAGACTTGATCTTTAAGTGAAAGAAACATATGAATATTAGACAAGATATCCAACTATTTCTTTCTTTTTGGTTATCTAGGTAAGAAATTTAGCAAGTATCTGCCTACAGAAGATTTCTTTTCGAAGGGGCTTTACATGTTCGATATAGGCCAAAATGATCTTGCTGGTGCATTTTACTCTAAAACATTGGATCAGATTCTTGCTTCAATTCCAACAATTTTGGTAGAATTTGAAACAGGACTAAAGGTCAGTTCAGTAACACAACAAGGCTGATTGATACTTTCAGTTTAAATTATCAGCAGCACAAACTTGTATTGGATAAAAATGACACCAAACTCTCATTCTTTGTTTTCTTATTGTGGGTTCTTTCTTTTCTATTTTTCAGAAACTATATGATCAAGGGGGTAGGAACTTTTGGATACACAACACAGGTCCTCTCGGATGCTTGACTCAGAATGTTGCCAAGTTTGGAACTGATCCATCAAGGCTTGATGAACGAGGATGTGTCAGCTCCCACAACGAAGCTGCAAAACTTTTCAACCTGCAGCTTCATGCCCTCACTAAAAAGTTGCAAGGCCAATACGCGGATGCAAATTTCGTATATGTTGATATCTTTTCGATAAAATATGAACTCATTTCTAATTATTCCCGATATGGTTAGCACATCTCAACACCTCTGAGTTGTTCATATCTTGATTGGCAACGTTTCTGCTTTAATAATCTCATATTTGGTTTTTATGATTTATAATCTGCAGGATTTGAACAACCTATTATGGCTTGCTGTGGGTATGGAGGTCCGCCGTTGAACTATGACAGTCAGATTACCTGTGGACAAACAAAGACCTTGAATGGAACCTCTGTCACAGCCAAAGGATGCAGTGACAGTACTGACTATGTTAGTTGGGATGGAATTCATTACACAGAGGCTGCAAATCAGTTTGCCTCATCAAAGATACTCACCGGAAAATATTCTGATCCGCCTTTCTCAGACAAAATGCCTTTCCTTCTGAAGCTCAAGTTCTGAAGTCCCAATATGTTATTCTTATACATATTAACATTTGCCTGAAAACTCTAATGCTAAGCCATTAATGTAACTGCAAACCTATGTTCTCACAAATGTATTTGAAGTGCACAGAAGCCAGTAGAACAGCAATTTCATTACATCATTCGTTATTGGATGAAGACTGTAAAAACTGAGTGTGTTCTCCTGGTGAAAATTAATCTTATTCATTAATAATGAAGAGCATACTTAAGTTTAAAAACTCCCCTTCAAGCATGCAAGTCTTAATCTCTATAGAAAGTAAAATAATGCTGACACCTTACGTTAGTCATAGGTACAACTTAATTCCATTATAAATTTTTACAAATATCAACAAGACCAAGGATCCCCTCTGATTGCAAGTCTCTCAACAACCATTTTAATATGATCATTTGTATAACTGCATGTTATACATGTTGTTTCGAAATTTATGGGAAACAATTGAAAGACAAATCTAACTGAGCAAATTCCACCCTTACTTCCTTGAGACATAAGCATAGTATTGCGCCATAGGAACAACAAAGGCAATCACCAGCAATCCTCCAACTACAAGAGAGAATTGTCCACGCTTTTCGTCCGTCTCCTCCTTGGTTTTGAAATTGGATTCGCGTTTGTTTTCATTAAGCTTGGGGCCGCCGGGGTCTGGAAGCCCATCAATGGCAGCAACTAGCCGTTTGGCACTGCTGAAAATAGCTTCATTGTACTTTTCTTCTGTAGCCAAGACTGCAATCACACATCCAATAAGCTCATCAACTTAGCTGCAAAGTCTTAGAAACTAAAACGGTAGTGTGTGTGTGGCATATACAATAAAATTCATTGCTTGAAACAAGAAATAGTAGCAACCCAAAAAAAGAAAGTTGCTTGAAGAATGAAAACATTGAAAAGTAAAGGCATGGTTACCAGGAAGGTTCTCTGATACAGTTGCATCAAGGATAGTTTCTCCAACAGCTTGGACAAATGCAGGGCCACCAGTGATTGCTCCTTCTTTTTGACTGGTGACAAGCACCACAATGCCCTTATTGTTGCCCTCTTCAACAGAAGGGTACCAGCGCTCCAAAACTTGGTCAGCATACTCAAAAGCATCAGCTTTGCTCTGCAACCAAATCATATCATCATCAAAACTCAAAAGGGTACCCCAGAAAACTCAAAATTCATAAAACACAATATTTAAAATAAATAAAAAACTGAAACAACTTACAGTGAGCTTTCTAACAGTGATGAAATTGATGTGGAAGTTCTTCTTATATTCCAATTCCGACATCAACCTCTTTATATCCGACTTAGTCACCCGGCTTAGCACGCCTGCATCATCAACAACATAGGAATCTTTGGGTGGTCCCTCATTAAGAACATCAAACTCAGATGCTAGTGCATTGCCACTAGGCAAGAGTGGGCAAAAGTTTAGTGCTAAAGACAGTGCAAGAGCTGCTAGTCCTTGCTGGGCATAAGAGAACCAGTCCTTGGGTATTGGCAAAGATATTTTGAGTGATGGAACAGATTGCTTTTTGAGGCTTGAGGTGATAGGTTTTGTGAGGAGGAGGGACTTTGAATTGGGTTGGAGAGAGGGGGACAAAAGCGTCTTAGGAGAAGAAGGTTTTGGGTTGAAGAGAGGAGAGAGTGAGGGAGAAGAAAGAATGGTTTCCATGGTGAGCAAATAGAATTTAGAATGGCGAAACAGTGAGAGGGAAAAATGAGTGATTCTCTACATATTTTTTTAACTTCTGTTTTTTGGGTGGTTTGGATTTCTTTTGTTTTGGATTGGTTGGCTGAATTTGAATGTGGATAACGCATAGGCTCTGTTTGTTTCAAAGGCTCCTGGTGAACACATCACCATTTTGGTTGATATCTCTTGAATTCTTGATAAAAAGGAAAGGAGAAAATTGGACTTTCCAAATGAAATGAGCCAAGTGTGTAACTTTTTGTGCCACATCAGTGGGAAAGCCTCTAACTTTTTGACCAATTTTAGTTCAAATAACCAAAACTACCCTTTCCATTGATCCAAATACCTAAAGCCAACTTTCCCAATCCTGACATACAAAAACCCCAGGTCATGTCCCCACATTATCTCCCTCCAAATTTTCAACAGCCATGAATGCCATCCTCATTCTCACATGGCCATTCTTCTACTCTCCCTCCCTCCCCACCCACCAATTCCTCCCAAAAACCCTAAACCCACCGCCCCAAAAGTCACTCCACCACAGCCTACGATCGCTCTCACCGACTCTACCACCTCCAAAAGACGCTTCATCCTCAAAAGCACTTCCCTTTTTCTCATTTCCTTGACCCCTCAGCAATACCCAGTTGCCCATTCTTCACCAGAAGCTTCAGCGCCTCCAAGACCATCCCTTTCCGGCATCGCTAACACGAAATCTTGGTTCCAGTTCTTCGGTGATGGGTTTGCCATTAGGGTCCCTCCTCAGTTTCAGGATGTTTCGGAGCCTGAGGTACATGACCTTAAAGCACATGTATTGTGTAAAAATTGTTTTGTTCCTTATAAGTTCTAGTATATGTTTTGATTACTAAGTGAATGGTTCCAAGTTGGATACGTTTTGGCATCCATTTGTTATGCTTAATTTTGGACTAGAGAGAGATGTTTGACTATAAACTTATTTTATTGCTATAGAATGAAATATATCAGTGTTATCGTTGTAATTGTCTGCTAAGATGTTCTACCATGAAAGAAATTATTGCATTAGTTGTTAGGGGCTTTATCCTTCATTGTCAATTTTAATTGGGAATGCACATAAGGGAAGCTTTCATTTCTCTATATACTTAAGGTTCATAATTGGTAAATCTAATGCTTTTTTTGTTTTGTTTTTGGTGAATGTAAATCTACTGCCTTTCTCTCATTATTGACCTACTCTTGTTCGCTTTTGGGTTGTTACATTATTGCCTTCCTCTCATTCACGATTTTCTAATTGGCTGCTTATATGTTTAAACTCTAGGATTACAATACTGGATTGTCCCTTTATGGAGATAAGGTAAAGCCCAAGACCTTTGCCGCACGTTTTGCATCTCCTGATGGGTATGCTATTTTCATAAGTTCCCTACTCTTGAAAGTTTTTTATAACTTGTTCGCCTCATCATGGTTTAAATTTACATCTTCGAAGCTTTTTTATATTTACGTGAAGCAAACTAACAATACAGAACGTGCTAACAAATAATTTTGTTTTTGGATGCTTTCCAGTGATTCTTATTAGTTTTAGTATTTATTATGTTTTTCTTCTTGTTATTGGTTGATGCAGATATGAGGTTGTGAGTGTTGTTATTCGCCCATCCAATTCACTCAAGATAACCTTTTTAGAGGTTTGTAGTGACAATCATGGACTTTTTAATATAATTTGTCCTACTCCTATTCTTATTTACTATTAGCTATATTACTAGCACATGTGCGTGCACACACGTGAATTAACAACAATAACGCGTTAGTTTAGTGGATATTGTGCCTTTTTCTCATTCTCTCTTGAAATTTTTGGTTTATAACCACTATGTCGATTGAGGTGGTGGTTGGCCAAATGGAATGTTTGATGGTTTTATTGCATAGGCTTACTGTTATGTTTTCTGTTCTTTGTGTGCGGAGAATGATGGAATCTGGTGGTGTTGAGCTTCTGTGGTTATATTTGACATGCTTTAGCTCCTCTTAGAGTGGTTTTTTACTGAGCTTTTGTCATCCAACCTTCTCATTAGATGCATGAATTTGGTTGATAGTTATGTTTTATAATTAGCTTTCTTTCTCCCCTCTCTCTCTTCAGCTCTTGTATCATGGGTGACATGACTCTTGCATTTATAAAATATGCACTTATCAGAAATGTTCTGTTGTAATTCTTGCCTTTGGTTCCCTGTCAACCCTTCAGACATTTTGGCTTCTTAAGACATAAGCATTGTAATATATAGATATCTTAGAGTGAAGTAACCATCTTATTCATGGCTGATCAGGTTTTAGAAGCATAACAACTTCCATTATATCGTGTATGAACCCATATTAGGTGATTCTGTTATGTACTCTTTCTAAACTGCTTGATAAATACTAATGTACAGTTTATCTAATATATGCTAACTTGGACAGGCCAAAGACATAACAGATTTAGGTTCCTTGAAGGAGGCAGCAAAAATCTTCATTCCAGGTATATTGTGGCATGATTTCTGTTTTCTCATCCTCTCTGATTCTGTAAACCAAAAACTTCAATATATAACTTTAATTTTCTGTAAGCGTTGATCTAGACTAGATATACATTCTCTTTGTCCTGACAACTCATATATGGAATGTGCATGGGCCTCTAGTTTGCGTCTCTCCGTATCTCCTCCAGTTATATATGGTATTCATTCTTAATCCTAATAATTCTGAAATTGCAGTTGGATCAACTGTATACTCTGCTCGAACTATAAAGATAAAGGAAGAAGAAGGTTTCAGGTAAGTTCAGTATCTCTTCTTTTCTCTCTCAAGAAAGAAGCCATGCTTGTTATGCTATATACACCCTTCTACTTGTAAAATTATAGCTGTTGGAACATCATATGGAAGCAAGCATAACTTCTTTTTGGCCGCTTTTGCAAATAGGATTTTCAAAATCTTTCCTGATACATGTTGTCCCAATGCCGTGACACATTTCAGGACTTACTATTTCTACGAGTTTGGTATACAAGAACAGCATGCAGCACTTGTAGCTGCTGTTAACGGTGGAAAGGTTTGTCAACACATACTTCTAAAACACTGCTTACTTGTTTCTTGTCAAGAATCATGGATGAACAAAATATATACCAGACTTGCATAGCAAAGATTCTTTATCAAATGTCCCATGTCATAGAATCATTCATGCAAGTGGTTTCTATGTTTATGTTGGATAAGTTAAATCTTTGTCTCTTCTTTGTTCTGTTACAGACATACATTGCTGGAGCAACTGCCCCGCAGTCGAAGTGGAACGATGACGGCGTGAAGCTTCGGTCTGCTGCCATATCCATGACTGTTCTATAGTGTCTTTTTAAGGAGGCTGAATTTGAAAGGCGGCGGCTTGCATTGCACTGCAGCTTAAAATTTTGAGATTTGACGAGGAGCACCTTCTAATTTCCAACATTCTTGAACTAACCTCATTTAAATTCTTTTGAGAATATATTTACCCATTGGTCCTTTGCTCTTTTATTAAGCCTAAGCTGCGTTTTGTTTTGTGAGGCATGCGTTTTGGACTTTAAGTCATGGAGGCTCATTTGAGTTTTGAACTGGTTGAGGTTTGGGTTTGCGAAATCTTTTTAGCTTAATGGGCTGATCAATTCCTCAAATCTGATGTTGAAATTGAAGAGATCGATGCTTAAACTAGGGCTGATCAATTCAAAAAGAAAATGCTGGAATTATTTAATTTAATACCTATTTAAAATTAAAAGGGTTATGGAGAAGAAGTCATGGAAATATATCATTTTCAAATTTCACATCACATCCAAAATAAGCCCCATGTGCACTAGTAAAAACCTCGCATGTGGTCCGTCGCCCTCGCACTAGTAACTTAAATCCTTAATTCCAGATTGTAATACAGATATGGTGGCCTGGCCATGTTCGATCGAGCTCATCATTAACAAGTGTTTTATTTTCTACTTTGTAGAGCATCTTCCTTCCCTCCCTCCCTCACCTCAAATCCGGAAATTATTATTTGATCTAAGAAAATCTGAGATATAATTAGATCTTGACTTTATATGATTTCCATGGTTTGAGATTATTTAAATAAATCTCAATGATTTCATTTTCCTTGTCCCCTTGTAAATGGAAAAAACGAACAAACAAATACCAACTGTTCAACTGTTTTTTTAGTAAACTCGATACATTGATCAAGTTAATCATGCGTGCTCATTACGTCTTTTACTTATCAATCAATCAATCATCATCAACTTTATGTATTTGAAGGAAATCAGTATAATTGAAATTGGACCAAAAAGAAAAGGAGAGTCAAGTATATATTTAACCAAACCAACCAGAGTCCAGAACCACTTAATTAGACGAAGAAGCATATTACAAGTCAATTGATGGCAACTTCATATCACATGTGATTTGATTTCACTGAGTTCTTCTAACTCGATACTCATACTACAATAACAACAATAATAATTAATCATCTGGAAAATGACCCCAACTCAATGCTTCCATGGTGGCCTACAAAGACTTTGACAATATATATATCCATTCATCACCCCCGGACTCCAGTTGTAGAAGCCTTTTAGCACACCCAAAGAAATTATAAAAGAAAAAAAAAATAGAGATAGATCTAATCAAAGGTTTGAATTGATTGGAACGTGTCAAGAGCCACGTTTGTCCATCTGTGTGGAGCTCAACTGATGAGGAGGCTTTAGAGTTTTTTTTTGTATTTTTTGGGTCAAGAGGCTTTAGAGTTTTGATGCTCCCATCTTTTTGGTTTTCTTTGTTTCGGTGTGTGTGAGTGGCTGAGTGAGGTTTGGTGTTTAATGGTGACACATAATTTAAAGGGAGGGTGACTCAAACTTGGCTACTGAGCGCAGACTCATTGTTCTGACCAATTAGTCTAACCAACGTTTACCGTTTTAGCTCTTTTAACTTAAATACAGGAAGAAGAAAATAATAAAAAAGCTGCCAAACTTCTCCTTAATAACATACAATACTATGAAGATTAATTAGTCTCCAACTAAATGGGCACACCAACTTCATATGTGAATCATTAATTGCCCTTTTCAACAGGAGAGCTTTCTTAAGAATTGTAAAAACTGATCCCATCCAATAAGCCAATGAGGGGAAGAAAGAGAAACCAGAACAAAGAATGACAAGCAAACAAGTAGTGCCACTTGACAAACTGCAGCAGCTGAAAATAGATTTCATTGCAGACGATCCAAACCCCATCATCAACTACCATTCTTCCCTCCATTTTTTTTCTGGTCCACTCCTGGTCTTAAATTCAAAGCCAAAACCAGCTACACAACACAAGCCTCAAAGTTGTAGAAACTTCATTCTTCTTTTCATGGTCCAAACTCTCTTTCTCCTACCATATTCTCTCCAACTCTCAGAACCGACCAGGTGAATGCCCACCAATTCAGTTGCAAAAGAAACCCAAAAATGGCAGCTCTTGAATCCGTACAGTCTCAGTTGCCACTGCAAGATTCCATTTTCAGCACCAGCACTGTTATTGCACTATGTGTGTTCTTCACCCTCCTCTGCGCTTGCATCATAATTGGTCATTTGTTGGAAGAGAACCGATGGGCCAATGAATCCATCACTGCCCTTTTTTTGGTGTGTAAATTTGTACCCTTTGTTTATGTCACATAGTTTTTCTATGCAATTTTATATGTATATATATATATATATATATATTTGTGTGTTGTGCGTGTTGTTGGAAACAGGGTCTGGTTGCTGGGCTTGTGGTGTTGCTGGTGACCAAGTTCCAGAGTTCGCGTATTCTGATCTTTAGTGAAGACTTGTTCTTCCTCTATCTACTTCCCCCAATCATTTTCAACGCTGGGTATGAAGAAATCTCAATTCTATGCAATTCCAGTTTTTCAGTTTCAAGGCTCCAGTCCTCTGCAATGCTCAATGAAGCAACATAGATTTTAATGTGGGGTTTGAAATTTCTTTGGTAAAGATAAATTTCAGATCTTGAATATTGTATTTTGACTGCGAAGCTTGAAACTTGTCACATGGGTTCTGATTGGACATGCTTGATACCTAGTTTCTTCACCCAAATCGGTTTTGGATCTCTTATTTTGATCGTTCTTCAGTTTCCAGGTCAAGAAAAAGCAATTTTTCAAGAACTTCACCACAATTTTGTTATTTGGAATAGTTGGTACAGTAATTTCTTTCTGCCTCATATCATTAGGTAAAGACTTGCAATCTCTCCTCCACTTCCACTATACATTTATATACTGACAATATATTTGAACACTAACTCCTCCTTTGCTCCTTTTGGAAAACTGTGTAGGCGCCTATTTACTTTTCAAAAGATTTGGTTTCACAACTCTGACCCTTCAAGATTTCTTAGGTGAGTAAAAATCTCCCTCTGAATCATTGTCTTGATATTAAATGTCTCTGTTCATGGCTCTATAGTGATCATTTTGTGCTTACTGGTTCCTTTGTGTGCAGCTATTGGTGCCATATTGTCAGCAACTGATTCAGTTTGTACATTGCAGGTAATTTTATAGTCTCATTCCAAACACATGTTTCTTGAACTGATGTCTAACTTTGACGCCTTATCTTCTTCTCATGTTAAAGGTTCTTAATCAAGATGAGACGCCCTTTCTTTACAGTGTCGTTTTCGGGGAGGGAGTAGTGAATGATGCTACCTCCATTGTGATTTTCAATGCAGTACAATCGCTAGACATTAGTGACATCGATGGTCTTACAGCCTTGAAATTGTTGGGGACTTTTCTTTACCTCTTCTTCACCAGTACTGCTCTTGGTATAGCAGTAAGTTGGTTGCTGGTTGTTTTAGTTACTGCACAGAATCATTAGTTTATTGGCATCTATGTTCTAACTTTCTTTTGTTACAATGTTTCAGGCGGGCCTACTTAGCGCTTATATCATAAAAACACTTTACTTTGGAAGGTATGAGCAAACACTTCAAATTCTTGTGAAACTTGCTTCTACCAATTTCCCTGAAATTGTGATTCTCTTTCCAACAGACATTCTACAGATCGTGAATGTGCCCTCATGATGCTTATGGCTTATTTGTCTTACATGTTGGCTGAGGTAGCTAAACAAAGAATCTCAATATGAATTACTCAAGTACTAGTCTTGTTTTCTTTTCCTCTTTTCTGAAAATATTGAGATCTCTGTAGTATGTAATGTTTAACTGGATACGTTGTGATCTCAATATTAACAAATTTGTTCTTTTGCAGCTTTTGGGTCTCAGTGGAATTTTGACCGTTTTCTTCTGTGGCATAGTTATGTCCCACTACACATGGCACAACGTTACAGAAAGCTCAAGGATAACAACCAAGTAAGAACAGAATCCTCTTTTGATTTCCTTCTGACTGAGGAGTCCAAAGATAGCTGGTTGTAAATTACTAATCTCGAACATTAGTATGAGAACGAAAGGAACTCGATATATATCGTAATCTTGTATTGTTTGATTATTTCAGACATGCATTTGCAACAATGTCATTCATTGCAGAAACCTTTATATTCCTTTATGTTGGTATGGATGCCTTGGACATTGACAAATGGAAAGCCAGCAAGTCAAGGTAACCTTACTATTCTCTTTCACACTCCAGAGCTTGTAGTTGATAGGAAGATTTGTATATGAATTTAGGTAAAAAGTTGCAAAATTCAATTTTAATGTTGAAACATGTTATGCCTGACTTGTAACATTCTCTTTGGTTCAGTCCAGGAACTTCAATTGGTGTCAGTTCACTGTTGTTTGCACTCGTATTAATCGGAAGGGCAGCATTTGTTTTCCCAATTGCAAACATTACAAATTGTTTTAAGAAAAGAGATGGTACGAAAATCGAGTTCCGTAACCAGGTACTAATCTGAAGCACCTAAGCGCTTGGGTAATTGTTAATTCAACTGCTCTTCCAAATTGACTGACTCTTTTGAAAATGCCAGTTTATTATGTGGTGGGCAGGCCTAATGAGAGGTGCAGTCACTATTGCTTTGTCATACAGCCAAGTAAGTTGATGATGTTTCAAGTCCTAACATATCAAGATGTATTTGGGTTCTTCTCAAGTTCTGACTTCCACAATCTACTAATGCAGTTTACAGACAGCACTGGTTCGACTTCGACAAGAGATAGTTCCTTGATGATCACCAGTACCATAATTGTTGTTCTATTCAGCACAGTGGTATGCCTGCTTCTGTCTCTGTTACTTATATTGCACTAAGCTCCATTTTGTGCTTGGTCACTGAAATTGGTTTTGGCAATCCAAACAGGTATTTGGCTCCATAACAAAGCCATTAATCTCAGCTCTGCTGTTGCAACATGCAAAACCAAACACTTCAGATGCAACTGATATCCCAAGTCTAGAAGACTTAAGGTTTCTGTTCCTGGAACCAGGTGAGCCAAGTGGGGAAGGCAACAGCCAGCCAGCCAGAAAGGGAAGTAGCTTAAGGCTGCTGATGACTCATCCAACTTCGACTGCTCACTACTTGTGGAGAAAATTTGATGACAAGTTCATGAGACCGGTGTTCGGTGGACGGGGTTTTGTTCCATTTGTTCCTGGTTCACCAAGTGGTGCAGCAGAAGCTGCAGAACATACTCCTTGAAATCAAAGGCTAAATAAATATACAGTAAAAGTAATTATTCTAATTATTTTTTGATTTTTTTGATGCACAAATAAACTTATTAGGAGCTTGTTGTTCTTGTCTGTATGTAAAGTGAGAGAGTGGGGCAGGTGCTGTAGTTAGAACATTTGAGCAAAGTTTCCTCCCCTTTCTTTCTTAAATTTGGAAATAGAAATGCCAGTAGTTTTCAAATTGTATTATAGTCAATTTACTCACAATATAAGTGCTTGAACTTCCTTGTGCATATTGTATGATGAAGCAAACTATCTCCAATTTCTCAGAGGTGCCCAATGACTTAATGATGTTTTCTAAGTGAAATTTCAAAAAAATGAAAAAAATGATGAGAAATAAGATATAACTTCATTTGAAAAAATAAAAATAAAAATTGGAGTTTACTCATTTCCTCTGTCAAAAAAAAAGAATAATCTTTTATTTTAAAATTTTATTTATTGAAAAGGGAAAAAGGAATCAACCCATGATATTGGTACACTGCGAAGCACCGTATAATTCCTCCTTAAACCCTATTAATGAAAACACAAAACCTCTCTCTCTCTCTCTCTCTCTCTCTCTCTCTATTGTCGATCTCCATGTTGTTGATAGAAACTCAAATTGGGGTTTCGAAGATTTGTGATTAATGATGGCTTTCAGAAGCTTACACCAGATTCGAGCTCTCCATCGTACGGCTCAGATTTCAGAATCGTCCCATCTGTGAGTAGAAATGATCGGTTAATGCCCTGCTTGGTCTCTGAGAATTGAAAATTTTACTTTTTATTCAAAGCTTGAGATGACACAATGGAAGCAAAATGGAGGGGAATTGAAAATGCTTCTTTTGATTAATGAAATTGGTATTTATGCGGCAAAACCAGTTTTAAAATATGGTATTTTTTTGAACTTTTCAGGCTTGGAAGCTCAAGAAGCTATGCAAGTGGTATTTCAACTGGTAAATTTCTGCAAGAGGCATTCATGAAGTAATTTCTCATTACTTTATTGGGTTTGCGTTAAATTCTTTAGCAATTGAGATACTTTTCTTTGTCATCAGTCCCTGAACTTTATTGCCGGAACAAGGGCCATGGAGCCCTTCCTTGGACCTTCGGAAGTTCTATCACATTGCGGTCTGCAATGGTGAGTTTCTAAAATTATAACTTGAATCAGTTGGATGCCCATGCTCATTTTTTTTATTATGTATCTATAACGCTTGGTAAATGTTGCAATTCATTGAGCTTCCCTTTTTATTATTTCTTTATTTTGAATTTAGGCTGTTGAGTTACCCATCTTCTTGAATGACACAAGGTTGCTATCAACACAAGTAAAAGCCCCTGCACAAGCAAGACAAATGGTATGCTATCTTTTTGCTCAACTGTTCATACTGTAACTGTTCCGGTTCAGTTTATGTGGCTGGTGGTTAGTGCTTTGCTTCTTGTTAATATATTCCATTTCTGCTTTACTGAAGTATCCATTTTTACAGGTTAGAGTTGTATCTGTCATCTTGTGCTCATAAAAAAACAGCCCATGGAATTCTAATTTTCTTAGTCTGCTCGTATGCAAGACAAACCATAATACCATGTGTGGTTGCCTTATGATATGTGCAGGGAGCTCTTAAAGTTGCCATGTTGAGTCCTGGGTTTATCTACGAGCCTTATACAACTCGTGAAAAAATCTCATTTCTCAAGAGGTTAGTTACTTCAAAAGTGAATTTTATTGATCTTGTAGATTGTGGTAATTAGAGTAGGCCTGCATACTGATGGAACTCTAGTACTCTACCAAGAGTCACTCACTAGTAATCATTGAAACTCTCCCAGATTCAGTTTCCCTAGACAACTGTTAAGACTTGATTACTTATATTTTTGTTCTATAATATCCTGTCCTTGTATATGAACATTCTGATGTTTTATGTATCAGATGGTTCACCAGAAGTGGGTGGAGAAGAACAAAAGAAGATATAGTTTTAGAGGTGAAGATTCAGAGATTCAGCTTAAACAGAACTATCTTGTTTTATTGATTCAAGCCATTGGTTAATCTGTTGAAGCTTCTTTCTTCTATTCTTTCATGGCTGTCCTCCATCCCCCATATTTTGATTCTAAATTCCACTCCTTTTTATGTTTTGGTTTGATGCATAGACTACTACTAGGATGGCTATCTGATGCCATCCGCTGTGTGTTAGAGGAATGTAACTCATTTTAAATTTAGAATGCAGAAGTTTATATATTTATAATTCAGTCAATTAAGGCTAAATATTCAACATCTATGTTTGAGATATTTCTGTTTTTCCAATTTTCAGCTCAAAAGTGCATATGCCATTACTAAATTAAGAAAGAAGGGCTATTCCAAGAATTTATTCTACAAAGAAGCGATACAGTTATATAAGGAGGTATCTTTGTCTTTTCCTACGTAGTTTCTTCTCTCTAGGTTTTATGCATTCTGTATTTTATAAATAGTTGTAATAGTGTAGTGCCCTTTTAACTTTTACTCCCAATTTAAATGAAAATTTCTTATGTTCTAGTCTAGCTGTTTTTTTTTGGCCTTTCAATTTTCTCTTGCCTCTTTCAGCTGCACTGTCTGATCTTCTTCCTGTAGCTAATTTATTCACCTTCTTCTCCAGATAAATACTCTAATGGCAAATGGGGACAAAAATTCTTTAAGGAAAGCAGTTACAGAGAAAATGTTTTCCGTATGCTTCTGTTCTTTTTAGTTTCAGTTTTTGCTGTAGTTATGCTGCTTTTTCTGATGTAAAGGGATTGCTATTGAGGTTCTGAGACATTATTTATTATCTTTTCGTTTACAGGAACTAAAGAATGAAATAAAACAAAGAGACTCCATATGGAATAAGGTCTACTGGGAAATGGTGGAACCAGTTGTGAAAATACGAACTTTGCGAGCACGACTGGTAATTGCTTGTCTAATTAGAGTATAAATTGAATATTTCCCTAAATATTTCCTTAAATATTATTACACCGGGTGCTTAACCAAGGAAGGTTACTCCATCCTGTTCTTACAGAATTGAATTAGGATGCTTTACCAAGTAAAAATTGTAACAATTGAATATTTCCTTAAATTTTAGTACACCAGGTGTCTTATATGGAATGCCTTTTTCCCTCTTTTACAGATTGGTGTTGATCGGAACGATCTCGAGAAGGTGTTCATACAGCTTACACTTGAGTTTCTGACAAAGCAGGTATATGGGCGGCTGGACTCAGGACTCATTTTATCATGTTATCCTTTCAATGGTGCTTTCTTTCACTGTCTGCTTGAACTGAGGACCGCTTGTATCTGTTCATAACTTACTGCTTTTAATTCAAAACTTTCATCCACTGAGAATACTTCTTTTTCCTTTTTCTCTCTGGCAGAAGTTCGAAGCATACGACTCAAATGGTTCCATTGTTTCGGGAGATAAATCAAAGGAGGTAAAATGCATTAATATCTTTTGTAATATGGGGTTGCTGACTAAATTTTTCCTCTTGTTCTGTGACTTACCCCTCCCCCCTTTTCTGTGATGCTAATATGCTTACTGCGCTCTGTAGGTCCTTGTCCGTGATATCTGGGTATTTGAAAAATCTCTCTTCCATGATAAGGCTTTCTGGCGTCTTTGTGGGAGGATTTCTCTCTAAGCAAACTACCATTCACCTTTAGATCTACTGTACCGTGTTAATGACGAAATAAATGCTGTTAACCAATTTTGTAAACTGAGCATATCTCAATTTATCGTACTAATTATGTGTATGTAGCTATGTTTTTGGTTGCTAAATTCAACTTTTAGCTTGAGTCATGCAGGAATATAATACTTAGAGCATTCTAGCAATTATTTGTTTTCATTATTTTGCAATTCTTCAGAAACTGTCCTTTTGCCTTCCAAGAATTTGCAAGGAGCTCATTTGATCTCACATTGCAGCATGACGAGCATGCAGCTCTCTCCAAAGGGAAATGTCAAATCTAAAACATCAAATTGAAATTTGATAGTTGACATGGCAATTTTATGTACAATATATTTTCTCATTCCACCCGATATTTCTTTGCATTTAATAAAGTAAACAATAATTGGTTAAAAAATTATTATCATTGAGGGAAAAAAAAGTATTGCTTTTGATTTGTTAAGAAAGAAACACTTGACAAATGGACACGTCTTCATTTCAGTCTAAACCATCAAGGATAAGAAGGTCTTTTCACCACGGTAAAAGTACTATAACTATCCGGACCCGCTTTGGGCCATTCATAAGGCCGACTCCGTGGTTTTCCAATCAAAGCCGAGGGGCTAGGGTTTCTTCAGACAATCAAGGCCCAAGGTTAACATTTCTCTAGAAATTCAAGGCCCGAGTTTATGATTTGCTAGAGAAAATTGTGCGTCTGTCTTTTTCTAGGAATTCTTTTTTACTTTCGCAACTATGACGACGATGCTGGCTTCCTGAGAATTACTAGCATCGTTTGGGTTTAGGGCTTTTCGATGGCAAAGGAGAACGAAGTGGCTTCGCAAGCCACCGTCAATGGAGACGATACACTCACGAGATCTCTACGATGTCGTCCATAGGGGGGAGCGCCGTTACCCGATCTTTTTGTTGGCACATTTTTCCTGTATTAATTCTAGGTTTTGGTATTTAGATCGGAAGAGGATGGGTTTTTGCTTAGGGAAACACATCGAGAATGTACGAGATCTCGATGCTGCCGTCCGAGGGTTCCTCATTCTCGGCGTGATGATAGACTTGTGTTAATAAGGGTGAGCCTCTTTGCCCTATTCTTCTGTTCACACCTTTTTCTTGTATTAAATCTAGGGTTCCTTTGCGTGATAGAAGAACGCTTAGGGTTTCACTACACGCGGTGATACCTGATTGGCTCTAAATATAGTAGTTGTAGAAATAATAGCATTTAAACAATAAATGAAGTTTATGGAGTGGAGTCGAATTAGGGTTCTTCAATGTAGGTGTGCACCAGATGCATTTTTTAAAGATTTGGGATCACAGAGAGCAGAGAGCGTTCTTCCGATCACCAACTTCATATCTTCCCATATTTTGAGGACAAGAAATTGGTGGTGAAAAAGGAGAGCACTAATGAGTTTTCCTTTTCTATTTTCTGTTTATATTTCCAACTTTATCCATTTCTATTAGTTAAACTTTGTGCTTTTCAAACATAGAAATCAATCATATTTTGAGTATTGGATGCATAAAGGTCTCGATTATCAATTTCCAAAACAACCTTTTGACCGTTGGTTCAACTAGTAAAGGTTCAGGGTGTGGTGGGTCCAGGTCTTTCCTTCGAAGTTAAACGATTGCAATTGGAAGAAGTATCCTATGAAATTTCTATACTTAGCCACATAGGTTTTCATTATATTCTTTCAAACCATGTTGATATTTATTTGTATGTGTGTATATCTGTTGATATTCTCATATCCAATGCTAAAAAATTAAGCATAATAAGGTTACCAAGTATTTTACCCTTAGCTTCTCATTTTCCAGGAGCTTACTCAACCACTATGGAGAATTTATTGGATTGGATTCCAAATTCCTAATAATCCTGCGGCCAGTCAGTATGTAGAGGCTTTGGCTAAAGCTTGGACGGAATTCAATAACCCAAGGTTAGAGCTGACACAATGTCTCATTTGTTCCTTCTGCTGCTGCCACTTTCAGCGAAGTGAATAAAGGTATGGTTAACTCCAAATATATGTGCAGGGCGGTAGTCATGTTTGTGGTTCAGGCTGATGAACGCAACATGTATGACCAACACTGGCATTCTGCTCCATTGAAAGAAATATATCCTTTTTACCATACAACAAGCTTTATGTTGGAGGAAGTGGTATCTCTAGGAAAATGTGTAGTTACAGTTATATAAGCTTATATCTTTGATAAGACGCTAGTTTACAAAATTCATAAATAGTCATGTTCCTTAACTGTATAACACACATAATGTATCAACTCTTCAGAAAACATTGGCAGAAATTGACGCAGAGGGGGAGCTTCTACCAGATGGAACACTTGCTGTGTATGTAGCCGTATTAGCTGTGGAAAGTTCATTATACTAATCTAGATTTGTGGATCTAGCATGTTATATCTTTGACTTTAATGTCTTGAAATGCCTTTAACTTGCAGGGGTGGCCAAGCAATTGCAGTTGTGTTACACACCAAATGATTATCCTACTGAATCAGTAAGCAAGTCTTACTTTCCTGCTACTCAAATACTGATTCTTTTTCAAGAAGAATGTGACATTCTTCCTTGTAGTGATGAGCTTCTGTTATTCAGTAGCAGAAAATGCAGTTACTTATCCACAAAAAGGGTACAAAGTAGAAGAGTAAATCTCAAGTCCATAAAGGCATATGTAGATCTGTTCTATATCTGTTGGGTGTGACTTTGGTGGGCTAATCCTACATGTGTTTTTATTTGTATGATTGGGCATGTAAGTGTGAATATCTCTTGGATGTTGTTCCATACTTTTTACGCACACGATCATTCTTGTGCTTGCTTGTGTCTTTATTTCGTTAGCTTGACTTGAAATATGCTTAAGATGATACTTAAAAGGCTACTTATAAAAGAAATATGATACTTCGATTGCAATAATGTGTCCTCAGAATATGATGTCTATTGTATGGCTTTTAGTACCATGTTTTTTTAATTTGTAGGAGTGGATAGCAAGGCTACTCATGGATTTGAGTTATTCAAATAGATCCTATCTTATGTGGCGCCAATGGGTAATGGGTAACACATTGCCCATTGCCCATCCCTGCCTGCTTTACAAGTGGCGCCACAACACAGGGACAAGTATGATTTGATGGAAGTGTAATTTTCAAAATTCATACGAATGACCAAAAAATGCTGGTCTCTTTGCATTGCAGGCTCCAAAATATAGCAAGGAATTCTTCATGGGGTCTTGGACACACCCAATCTGCAATCTGGGTTTGATTTACTTTTAATGGCCTTGAACTCTCTCCAATCACAAATTATGTTAAACCTTCTATATGATAGAATTTTACCCCTCATCTTTAGGACTGTATTACTAAATGGACACTGCTGACTTTCGTGATCTGCAGAGATCCGTATCTGTGGTCTTCTTCTTTTGTGTCTGTGAATGCTCAAACGTCCGGTTTCATATGTGATATCAAACCTTAGTTGATTGCATAACATGAATTTATAGTAATATATTTTATTAAATTCCTAACATGATTTTGAGAAATCTTGGGTTATGAGAAGACTGTCTTTTGCAGCACTGGATTAATTCATAGTTGTAGAGCAGAGAGTCACTGCACCATGATGTCAATAGACTGTTTTCTAACTGACTGAGGGTTATCCATTTTCCTTTATTATTTGCCCTTTTTTAACATTGTCGGACTTGTAAACTGACTTTGCCCTTGCAGGGATATGTGAGTTGCAGAATCATGGTCATATCCTCAGTTTGATGTCAAATTTCTTCAAATAGAATTAAAGGTTGCTGGGCGATTTATTTGTTGTTTCTTTTTTCTGTGCATGGATCCACTTCCTATTAGATGTTATATTTAGTCAATAGGTCTAATTTTTGTTATTGGGTGGAAATTATAATCTGCGTATGGTTTGCTGAAATGCATTTTCACGGGTTGGGCCCAATAACTACAATAGTTGGTCGCTCAATGGTTGGAATTTCTGGACCCGCACCATTATCAATTATGGGCTTACGTGTTCGGCCCGAGAAAGTATTTGCCCCTTAACCGTTCAAAGCAACCCAATAACAGTGAACGTGCCCTAATAGCTCCGACATTTGCCCCCGTATTTGTTTGTATAATTTTGACGACAATGTAATACCATTTATGGCCCATAAATGTCGAAGTCAGCCCAAACAATGACCCATGAACGATGTAATTCCGCTCCACAGGCCATTGACGACAAAATGGGCCCCTAAAGGTCCACTGAATGCTCAAAAATGACTAACTAGGCCCAATGAAAGGTACGGAAACAACAAAATGGGCCGATTAATGGACACTAAACAACAAAATATGCCCAAGGAAGGCTGATTAAACGACAAAATCGGCCCCATAAGGTACAAAATAGCCCCAATGATGGTACACTAGAAGACAAACTTTGCCCAATGAGGGCACACTAAAAGACAAAATAGGCCCAATTGAAGCTCAATAAACGACAAAATAGGCCCAATTGAAGCTCAATAAACGACAAAATAGGCCCAATGGAGGTCACTAAACGACAAAATAGGCCCAACTGAAGCTCAATAAACGACAAAATAGGCCCAATGGAGGTCACTAAACGACGAAATGCCTATTTTGTCGTTTATTGTCCTTCTGGGACCTATTTTGTCGTTTATTGTCTCTCCTTGGGTCTATTTTGTCGTTTACTGTCCCTTCTTTTGGGCCTATTTTGTCGTTTACTGTCCCTTCTTTTGGGCCTATTTTGTCGTTTAGTATGTTTAATTGGGCCTATTTTGTGTTTTTGCAGTTATTCATTGGGCCACTTTTTGTCGTTTAGTGTGCCATTATTGGGCCTATTCTGTCGTTCAGTGAATTTTATTGGGCCTATTCTCTCGTTTAGTGAAATTTTATTGGGCCTTTTTTGTCGGCTAGTGGCTCTTCTTTGGGCTTACTTTGTCGTTAGTGGTCCTTCATTGGGCCCCCGTTGTCGTTTAATGACAGTCAGTCGGGCCTATTTTGTAGTTCGGTGGCCCTTAATTGGGCCTACTTTGTCGTTTAGTGACATCGGTCGGGCCTATTTTGTAATTTATCGGCCCCTTATTGGGCCTTTTATGGGCTTTCCAGTGGGTCTTTTTGATCGTTTGTGGCTCATTCATTGGGCCAATTTTGTCTTTCATGGGCCTTTAAGTGGTCCTATTTGGTCGTTTATAATATAACCTTAAACTTGACGACGCCGAATTTAGTATTGCGGGTCGCAATCATCGATCCAACAAATCTTTGGGCCTAATCTATGTTCCAAGTGGCTAGCAAAAGAAAAAGAAAACCATGCATACAATACAAGTAATAACTACAATCCGCAGCACTCAAAAAAACAAAACGGAAATTTGAGGCGAAATCCTGGTAGCCTCTGGTTTTAGATATCCTGGGAAAAAAAAACAGTTAAAACAATTAATAAAACAATTAGAACCATCAGAAATAATAACAATTGGAATAAGACTGAAATAAACCAGATGGTCAGCGTGCAAAACAATAAGTTGAACCGAAGCAGAACTACTGAATGTGCAAGTGTACGACACAACAAACAAACATCATTGCATGTCTCTAGAAGAAACATCAATACTCAAAAATTACCTACAAAATAAAAAGCTAACAGTAGCAGACTCCAGCGCTGGCATTTCAGGAACGAATAATGTCTTTAAAATGTGGACAAACTTGAAAGGTAGTAATACAAAAGCATATCCAAAAACCCATATAATAATAAAAAAAATTAAAGTTAAAATGCAACAAGTGGGAAAGATAGGAAGAACAGTTCGTTATGTCAATAATAAAAAGAACATAGAACAACAGGTTCTTTTATTTGGTGTGGGATAACCACTGAATGTTAAAGATCGCAAACCAGAACACAACATCCTGAAGAAACATTTTAAAATACTCTATAACTATATTTGTCCATTCATAACTTCATTTTAAACAACATTTTACTACCAAAAAGAATACCTGCCAATACACGGAAATACAATTAACATAGAAATTATATATGTTATATATCTTCCAGCTTTTACACAATCCAACAGTATAGTCAATAGATAACAAAAAAATGAATGATAAACAGCTACAATGAGAAATTATATCAAATTAATATTGATATGTACCAACTATAACTAGGAAATATAACAGAACACCAGAGAGAGAGAGACTGAATAGGCTTCTACATTTATACCTGCCAATCTATCATCGATATATATTTGACAATGTGGGCAGATAAATTTTAGTTCTATGAAATTTACTGCTTCAAATTTTATTTCCATGGTAATAACCTATAAACATTGCTTGGGTGCATAGATGCAAAAGAAAATACTGAGAACTTCTGAGACTCCTTGCAATCTCATCCTAACTTGAAAAGTTGAGAAGGAGAGAGTCTAATTAAAACACTCAGATTACTGACATTGCCGAGAACATCGTGTATGACAATATTTGAATAATGCACTAACCCATTTATGATTTTTCACTTTCTAATGTCTTTAACCTCATGTTACATTGAAAGTTAGAGAAACCCCATCATCTGATGTTCTCTTTTTGTCGGAACATCAAGTTGTCGAACAGTCTAGTTATACATGGTTATTAGACCATCCGATATTGCTACAAATGCTTACTTTTAAATTCACCACGCCACCGTGTATCACTGATGTAATGTCACAATGTTCCCGATTCCATATGGAAGGTACCGAACCCCACTCCCTCATATCAGAATATATCATTCAACAAAAATATGCTATTTCAAAGCGCTCCCATAATGTGTGCCAATTTTGTTTTTATCAGATATATCGTTCAAGTTTTCAACAATACTATGCTATTTACCTCTGGAAACTTATTTTGTTTCCATTTAAAAACGAAAAATGATATCTTACAAAAGAACAACATACATCCACATGCTGAATGAGAAAGGAGTAAAACCTTAAAGATAAGGGAAGGCCCGCTGTCAGTGCCTATCAATCCACATCGCACTCTATCGCATCTTGAGCAAGCTGACAGGGAATGTACCTGGAATGGAAGCAAACAGCGAACGCATTAATGCATTGAATTAAACCCCGACCTACTAATTAATTCCCCAGCCATGTCGCTCCATCAAATAAAAAACAATGATCTCCGTAAACCATAAACCTAAGTAAACCCTAAATTTCAAAATCAACTTTGACGGGTCCTGGAAACCCCATACCTAGCCCCATCAGATCTCTGGTCTTGGTGTTAATTACTACGCGATTTCAACAGTGAGCTCTTGAACGGATCCGATCGTGGATCAATGGCGGCCATCGAGGCGTTAAACCTCGCAAAACAAGAATCGCATTGGAGGAGCTTTTCTTCATGCCCCGCCGTCTCTCTCTTTCTTCACGCTCATGTCTCTGATCTCCAACGAAGGCTCCGATCACAGAGCCAATGCCATTGTTAGGGTTTCCAGACCTTCTCTCTGTTTCTCATCCCTCATTTTCTCAGATCTGCTCTCACTCTCGTCCGGGACTCTGAGGGGCCGAGGGTTTAGTTAATGTTTTATCATGTGAGAGATCAGGCGCTCTTTATGGATGGGAAGGTTTTCTTCTTCATACGATGTCGTTTCCTTTTGTATTTTAACTTATAATTTAGAATTTACGAGTTAGTGGACTGGACTGGCTTGCTTAATTGCCTTCACCTTGGACTTGGCGCGTGTCCTCACTTTCTATTCGCATTCGCCCATCCTCTTGTATTAGTCCCGTGATTAATGAAAATTATTATACATAGCACTTCACTGAGTTAAAAAAATAAAATGACCAAACCAAACATTGTTGGGTTGCATAAATACAAACCTTTTTTGTCGCAACATTCATCATCCTTTTCACTTTTCTATGCATAATTTATACATTAAGCATATGACTTGTCTTGGAATTAAAGATTAAACACACTCCATTTATCACCTAATGTTTTTTATTTTCTAATGGTTGCATTGGATTGCCTACTTTGATAAGACTTTTTTCATTTTATATGTATCTTGATCCTCAAAGTAGGTCTGCATAAATGAATAAATCTTTTGACCCAAAAAAAGGGTAAATCCGAAAAAGGACAATCTAATATATTGTGATCAATGCATTTTTCTTTAGTACACTTGTCATAATTGAAACCGTTTGCTTTCTAAATTACCACCATATATGGAAATATGATGGAAATTCCATCATCTTTGAAACGTTCATTGTGTGGGTTTTTGACATCTTGAGATAGGTGCAAAAATGTCCTATGGAGATGTTCTTATGTCCTCAACTGCAAAAGGACCAATCGGCAATTTGCCAATTTCTTCTTCTTTCTCTCAACTCGACAATTAAAATGCCTTCCTTAGGTATTCTGTTGTGCTTCATTGAGTTTCAGAATAACTTTCGAAAAGGACAATGCCATTTTTGGCATTCTTTCATTCCATTAAGTTTCTCAATTTTTCAAAAAAAAGAAAAAAGAAAGAAAGGATTTGTTATCTCTGTTTTTAAGAAACATAGAATACCTTACTTCAAAGTTTCAAATTACAACCAGTAAGAATGGTATCCACAAAAGCAAACCATTCATCCAGAATTCCAAACCATGGTCTCTCCAGTTTGCATTCATATTGCACACTAAACAATTATTTTAAGGGACAAAAAAAGAAATCAACAAATGGATGGGAGAGAACAACATTTTCAATCTCTGAGCATTTGCCGAAGGCTCTACAACATCATCTCGAGAAGCCTAGCCTATCAAACCGTCAAGACTGTCACTTTAGGCCCTCCAATGAAGCAAGGCTTAGCCCAACTGCACGATGAATCAATGCCTCAAAAAACTTCGGGTAACAATACTTCAAACAATTTAGCCCCCTCTTTCTCCCTTGGTTGTTCAGCTGACCATGCTGATGTGGACAATGGTTTCTATGGTAATGCAGGAAGGACACCAGAAGAGGAAACACATGAAGCAGCAACAATTGCACAGCAAGCAAAACCTCCAAAGAAAACGGTTAGCATATGCGACAGGGTAGAGGATATGGAGAAAGCTATGAAGTTAAGACGAAGGAGCAAATCGTTTGAAAAGTTGAACTGGTTAGAGCTAGCAAAAGAGGAACTAAAACAAAAACCTTTAAGATCAATTCTGAAGGTTGGTTCTGGTTTGAGCAAGAAGATGGCACATGTTTGTGAATCTTAACTACATCAACTCAAGGCCTTGTAGGGTTGTGTTACTTCTCTCTGTTGTAACTTGTAAATGTAAATATACAATGTAACCAAATGCGCTCATGCTACAGTTCTTCAACTAGCTAGCATAGGCAAACATAATTGAATTATAAAAGTTGAATCAGATATAATCATCTATTGTGTATATATACCTGATGGGAGATTCTTCAATAAGTATTTAATGTTAATGATTGGTTACATATTTTTAACCTAGATAGTTGGATTGCATGTGTGTTGCATATTAAATCTACCAACACATTTAATGAATTCAATTCAATAGTCGAGATTAGAAATATGTAATCACTCCTTAACTTAAATACTTATTGGAGAATTTCCCTATATCGGATATGGTTATGAAAGAATATGATAAAGTTTTTTGTTTTCCTTGCAAAAGTTTAATTATGATAAAAGTTAGTGGTGAAACTTTGGGGTTTAAGAATTTCTTTCTTGCAAGAAAAGGAAAGAATATGTCCCCAAAAGCATCTAACAACTTGGTGTAAAATCGGCATATGAGGACAATTATTGGATAGATATTGGATATGCCTCTGTCCCTCTGCCAAATTCTAAAGTCACTTTGTTTGTAAAGTTTGTCTTGCAAGTTAAGGGATTGTGATTCTATGTTTCCTATATCCATACAGAGAAACTTTTTTATTATTATACAAAAGCGATAATTGTATTCATAAATTAGGCACAAAGACCATAAGCCACAGTGACAAATACAAATGCCTACAAAGGGGTAATACAAATATGGAAGCACAGTAACCACATAGGGTTAATCCAAATATAAACCACAATTAACCAACTAACAAATGTTGCTTACTAGATCAAAACATTGATTTAAATTTGTAGGGAATTTTCGAAATTTGTAACTTTTGCTTTTCATGTTCTGATTAGGTTTCTGGCTTACGCTAGAATTGAAATTAGTAAAGGGTAACAAATTTGTAACTTTCCTTTTTCCTGATCTGATTAGGGAAGAAATTGTGCTTTGTTTTCTTCTGTGAATGAGATGTAACATTAGACTAGATGTCTTTCGCAGTTTTTCACTGACAAGCATCCGGCAAAACAATATACAAAGTCATATGAAACTTCCCTTCTAAGCTACTACTTATTCAGTCGTGTAACTCCCCCTATATAAAGGTTTGAAGCCTCAGTTTCTCAAGCGCCAAGTTACTGGCTAGCATATAATCACATAAGCAAAGCAACCCCTGGTTCCAGAGAAGATTTTTGGAGAATGGATGCAAGAGAAAGCCAATCCTTATTATCACCAGGAATTTTCCACAGGCTCTTCATCTTCTTAATGAAAATTTTACGAGAACAAGCGCTCAAGACTGTGACTCTAGGCAGCACATCCTATCAGCCATGCTGCAGCCACACCAAATCCAATGCCAAGACGATGACGCCGCTGCGGCCGACCACGAGGATGGTGCACCAAGGTGGACAAGAAATTCAAAATTCGTGTTTGGAAAGCCAAAACATTTCATAGTTTAATTGTAGTTATATTTCATAGGACTGCCAAAATATTTCGTAGTTTGATTGTTTCATATTTGACATTATATATTCGCGTGTTCATTGTAAAAAAATTTAATTTTATACAACAAATTGAATTACAGGTCCCGTTTTTAGACCTGGAATTATATTTCAACTCCCTTCCAGAGTTTCTTCTTGATGACGGGCTGCTTTGGCACAATGCATAGATACTGGATTTAAAAAGATCAGGACAAAAAATAAGCTAGATGCTGAACAATATGAAGTGCCACAGAGGAAACTTGATAAAATAAATACAATATGTAATAAATGGTTCACTATCAAGAGCATTGATGCTGGTAGTAATAAGCTTTGGATTTGTCCCTCTAAAATCTTAACATAGTATTAGAGTGGGTCAGTTTACTCGACCCGATTGAAGTTGAAAAAAAAAACCCCAAATTAACTTGAATTGAAATTCAAACTTACATATTGAAACCTTGACTCACTAAAGAAGTAGAGATGTGGAATTGGTTGCATGTGTGACTCACTAAAGAGCGATTCCACTTCTAATAACATACAACAAATAATGAATGACTCCACTGCTAAAAACATACCGATATTTGAAGACAATATGTTAGTAATAGTGATTGGCCACATATCCGAGCTTGTGAAATCTTAACAGTAAAAAGCATGTGGATACCAACTAGTGGAATCTATTTCATTCATGACGCAAAAAGGGCTAAAATTGGTACCGAATTTGGACATCATTGTGGGAAAGAGTGCCATTGCAAAGGCATATGGCGATTATGCATTGAGAGTTTAAAGCCGCCTCTGTGGTCACCACCTAAAAGGGTCAAACATGGGTGCTTCCTATTCTTTATGCTCTCATTCCAGTACCCTCTCCACTCACACCCTTCTGCACTCACATCCCAAAGCCACTGCCTTTTCTCATATAAGACAATCTGGATTACCAAATCCATCTTTCAAATTGAATCCAACCAATCAAATATTCCAGACCCATCTCAGGATCATGGCCCAACCCTCGCAAGTTTTGCCTCTCCAGGGTGGGAAAGTTGAAGTTGGGGAGACCCAAGAGGGAAATGGCACAAGACCCTTGTTGGATTTTCATGGGATTGATCAGGAATTGGTTGAGAAGATTGTGTACGATGCTCTTGTTTGGAGCTCTCTTCATGGGCTTGTTGTTGGTGACAAGTCTGTTCAGGTCAGCAGTACTGCTCAGCTAACGGTTTGTTTGGTTTCAGCTGATGAAAATGGAAAAAATTGAAAATTGAAGGTTTTATTTTCTTTCTTAATTTTCGTTTTTGTGGTCTGAGAAGTCTTTAGTTACTTGAAAAATGAAACACTTCATTCAGCGTATGATTGTTGAAGATTAGATTGAGATTTCCTGAGAATCATATTCAATTTTTGTTTTTCATTTGCTTTTCTTTTCTACCAGTTTTTAGACAACCAATGGTAGAAACATGTTTATTTTCTACGAATACGAAGTTGTCGGGTTTGCCTTTCTGATCATATGTATAAATAAATAAAAGTGATTCGAGAGAACAGCTTACCTCGGTTTTAATTTTTACATGGCACCCAAGTGCTTGTTCCGGGTTGGCAAAAAGGAAGTGCTTGCTCCGGAATTGTTTTCTTAAAGCTATAGTTCATCTTTGTAATTGTACGTGAAAAAAAAAGGCTCTACTTTTAAACAAATGAGCAGACTTTTGGTTACCAGAAGCTATTGGAAATTATACTCTACGATGATTTGTCAGTGTATAACTTAAAATCTGAAATTTGATGTTGGATGCTGTAAATTACAGAGATCAGGAAAAGTACCTGGTGTAGGCATGGTACATGCACCGTTTGCTTTATTGCCGATGCCGTTTCCAGAAAGTCATTGGAAGCAAGCGTGTGAGTTAGCCCCCATATTTAATGAACTTGTTGATCGAGTGAGTTTGGATGCAAAGTTTCTGCAGGATTCACTGTCCAGGTATTTTTGCACATAGTATTTTTAATTATGTATGTGATTTTGAAAATGAGCATGCTGGCAATTTAGTTTAAATTATCCTAGGAAAGCCTTATCCAATCTGCTTGACTTGGGTGTGTCAAATAAGAATAGTTGTGGTATATCTGGCCGGCTAGGCAGCATGGTATAGAGCTTGTCTTGCACTTAAATTGTGCCTAAGAAAGAATGTTCAACCTCAGCTAGGGATATACTTGTCCCTAACAAGGTTACTTTGAACTTTAATGGATTGGGTATGGGGATAAGATAGAAAATCAACATACATGACAGCTACAGCTTTTGTCTATTGTCTCTAGAGATTAGAGCTCATGAACTAATATAATCTTCATATCGCAGAACGAAGAAATCGGATGCTTTTACATCTGGACTTCTAGATATTCATTCCAAGATGCAAGAGATTAACAAGAAAGAGGTAAATGGTATATGAGTACAACATGTGGAAACTAGTTATTGTGAGAGGAGAACTTAATCTACATTGAATGTGATTTAGTTGAATATCTCCAGATTATGGTAGTGTTGTTCGTATAAATTTTCTGGATGATTTTCTTATAGTTGCCTATATTACAAGTTATATGAAAGATACACATACTCAGAATATGATACAATGGACAGACAGGAGTATTACAGTATCTAGTTCTGGGCGCCACTTATATGTTGATTTTATTTGATTTTCTTTAGGTCCTGTTTGGTGTAAGTGGATAACTTTTTTGTTCGTTGGTGGTGAAGATGCTAAACTATTTTAATTTCTTAAACAGGATATACGCTTGGGTTTACATCGCTCAGATTATATGCTTGATGAACAAACTAAACTACTCCTTCAGATAGAGATGAACACAATTTCATGTTCATTTCCAGGACTTGGTTGTCTTGTCAGTGATCTTCACAGGTTAAGTAGTAGGAGATCTCGTAATTAATATGTATTCATTGATTCGCTCATGAATTTCTGACTAGTCAATGTAATGCTGGGTTCAACTTATGAAATTATTCCTGTATGTTAAAAGTCCACCAAAACTAGAAGCATATTAGTGGTTTTTGTATGTCAGATATTGCAGTAACGGTGAAAATGGCCCATCAATTTTCCATATCATAATGTGTTTATATGTGCTGTTAAAAGTGATATGCATTCCAAAGACTTCCTACAGACTGCAAACTTTGTGCTTGTCAAACATAGAAATCAATCATATTTTGAGTCTTGGATGCATAAAGGTCTCAATTATCAATTTCCAAAACAATCTTTTGGCCGTTGGTTCAACTAGTAAAGGTTCAGGGTGTGGTGGGTCCAGGTCTTTCCTTCGAAGTTAAATGATTGCAATTGGGTCCATGTTGATATTTATTTGTATATGTGTATATCTGTTGATATTCTCATATCCAATGCTAAAAAATTAAGCATAATAAGATTACCAAGTATTTTACCCTTAGCTTATCATTTTCCAGGAGCTTACTTAACCACTATGGAGAATTTCTTGGATTGGATTCCAAAAGAGTTCCTAATAATCCTGCAGCCAGTCAGTTTGTAGAGGCTTTGGCTAAAGCTTGGACGGAATACAATAACCCAAGGTTAGAGCTGACACAATGTCTCATTTGTTCCTTCTGCTGCTGCCACTTTCAGCAAAGTGAATAAAGGTACGGTTAACTCCAAATATATGTGCAGGGCTGTAGTCATGTTCGTGGTTCAGGCTGATGAACGCAACATGTATGACCAACACTGGCTTTCTGCTCTATTGAAAGAAATATATCCTTTTTAGCTTACAACAAGCTTTATGTTGGAGGAAGTGGTATCTCTAGGAAAATGTATACTTATAGTTATATAAGCTTATATCTTTGATAAGACGCTAGTTTACAAAATTCATAAATAGTCATGTTCCTTAACTGTATAACACACATAATGTATCAACTCTTCGGAAAACATTGGCAGAAATTGACACAGAGGGGGAGCTTCTACCTGATGGAACACTTGTTGTGTATGTAGCCTTATTAGCTGTGGAAAGTTCATTATACTAATCTAGATTTGTGGATCTAGCATGTTATATCTTTGACTTTAACGTCTTGAAATGCCTTTAACTTGCAGGGGTGGCCAAGCAATTGCAGTTGTGTATTTCAGAGCTGGGTACACACCAAATGATTATCCTTCTGAATCAGTAAGCAAGTCTTACTTTCCTGCTACTCAAATACTGATTCTTTATTAAGAAGAATGTGACATTCTTCCTTGTAGTGGTGAGCTTCTGTTTCAGTAGCAGAAAATGTAGTTACTTATCTACAAAAAGGGTACAAAGTAGAAGAGGAAATCTCAAGTCCATAAAGTCATATGTAGATCTGTTCTATATCTGTTGGGTGTGACTTTGGTGGGCTAATCCTGCATGTGTTTATATTTGTATGATTGGACATGTAAGTGTGAATATCTCTTGGATGTTGTTCCATGCTTTTTATTGGATGTCTTTATTTTGTTAACTTGACTTGAAATATGCTTAAGATGATACTTAAAAGGCTACTTATAAAAGAAATATGATACTTCGATTGCAAAAATGTGTCCTCAGAATATGATGTCTATTATATGGCTTTTAGTACCGTGTTTTTTTAATTTGTAGGAGTGGAGAGCAAGGCTACTCATGGAGCAGTCATCTGCCATCAAGTGCCCCTCAATTTCTTATCATCTAGCAGGGACCAAAAAGATCCAACAAGAACTTGTGAAGCCTAATGTTCTTGAGAGGTTATTTCTGGATTTAAGTTCCATCCATTGTTACATTGTTATCCTAACAGTTTTAATACTCTGTTTTTGGAGCTGGTAGCTAGAAGTGTAGTGAATTGTATGAATCATATATTTGTTTCTTTGAGATAATGAGAAGCTCAGTGTGTGCTTTTCTTGACTTTAAGAAAGAATGGTTACTGTTGTTACAACCACTAACCTCAAAGCTTTCTATCATCTTCATGTGAGCAGGTTTGTTGACAATAAAGAGGACATTGCAAAATTGCGGAAATGCTTTGCAGGATTGTGGAGTTTGGATGACTCGGATATCGTAAAGGACGCAATAGAAAGGCCTGGATTATATGTTATGAAGCCCCAAAGAGAAGGCGGAGGTCCGCATTCCTAAACTTTACTCTGCTGTTGTAGTAATGACAAGTATTATTAACGATTAATTATTACACTTCAGGGAACAATATCTATGGCAATGACGTGAGGGAAGCCCTCGTGAGATTGCAGAAAGAAGGATCAGAAGCAGATGCTGCTTATATCCTAATGCAGAGGATATTCCCTATTGTTTCTCGCACACTTTTGATGCGCAATGGCATTTGTTATAAAGATGATACTGTATCTGAGCTGGGGATATATGGTGCTTACTTAAGGTATATGACTAATTTTTGGGGTTTTTGTTTCATTTTTCTCTTTATTGGGGCCGGGTCGTTCCATCAAATTGTTCTGTTGGCATTGTTGGTAAGGTGCTAACAAAGCTGTAGCCAAAGTTATAGAATCATAGTGCCACATTTTTCATATTTGCAGGAACAAAGAGAAAGTGATCTTGAATGACCAATGTGGCTACCTGATGCGGACCAAGGCTGCTTCATCAGATGAAGGTGGAGTTGCAGCTGGATTTGCAGTCTTAGATAGTTTATATTTAACCTGAGGAATCTGGCTTCCTAATTCTGCTTAAATGGGTTGATTCATAGAGCCAAATACTTCACGGTTGATTTATTTACTCATAATAAAACATACCACAAGATCCGAGAGGTTACTGAATTTTGACAAGTCAAAACACATTTTTCATGTATTTGTTCCCATTTTCGCTTCATTTATTTACAAAGAGAAGAGAGTAGTAATTCCATTTGTGAACACTTTAGCACGACAAATTTCTCCTTACCCCTACTTTCTTAAAATATATGGGAATGATAAGATAAGATGGATAATACAGGCCCAACTTCAAAATCCTGAAAGTTTCATTCTCAAAACTATAAAACATTAAAAGCCTGAAAGTATTCATATCCGCAAGAAAGGCCTCGAAGCATTAGTTGTACGTGCAGTCTTGCAAATGAAGGCCAAACATGACCAAGTTGAAAAACATAAAACAAAAGAAAAATATTGGTAATGCCTTGATTCAAGAATTATCTGTCCATCCAAGCTCCCTAGCTCGTCTCTCCCATACTTCTGAAAGCCTAAGCTCTTCTACAAATTCTGCTTGAGCCCTCTCCCTTGCTTCTTCGCATGTTTCAACTCCTGCATTGCATTTTTCTGCCTCTTTTGGTAGTGCAAAGAGACTCTCCTTGCACCCATCAACAATGCATCGGTCCGTTGCAAGGTTTCATTCGCTACAGTATGCTGCAAACTTAGCTCCTCCGACATCAAGGCTATGATATCCTTCTCCATTTCCTCTTTCACTTCTGGTTCATGTTTACCACAGTCTGCATTACAAAAAAAAAAAAAAAAAAAAGAAAAAGAAACATCAACCGACAATGTTCTTCTGAAACAGGAAAGAACCGAGAACTCAAGACAGGGTTGAACTGACCTGAAAATGAGCTATTGATAATATCTGGTAAAGTGACATGAAAAAGGAGGTTAATATATGATGTATTTCCACAAATAAGCTTAGCAGAATATCATATCTTAATGTCAACCTAATACAAAACATATATGGAAGTCGGAATATCATATCTTTCTATGTAAACTGACATAGAAAGATAACCAATTTAATATACTTGACCCAACGAACAGCGCCCAAGTACGCTTCCTTATTAGAACCTCAGGCTTCGAACATGAAAATTATAGAAATTTAAGACTAATTTAACAATTTGCTCTGCAAAACCAAAAATAGGAACATGCCTTCGAAAACAATTGTTAACTCAAATTGAACCAACATTTCTATATTTGATATGACTGCATTAACAATCATTGAAAAGTGAATCTCACCTACAGGTATAGGGTCGAAATATTTTGAACAATCACAAGGACACTGAGGGCATGAACCTTTCTCCTTCAAGCTCCAGTGCAAAGATGGACGTATAGTGTACCCAACCAAACACACTGCCACTAAAACAAAAACCAGCCTCACAACACCATTAGTACAAAACCCGTGGTCTGGTGGATGAGCCATCTATTTCCCACCCAAAATAAGAAGAAAAAAAGGCAAAACCCAACTTCGGTTTGTTTGTCTCCAAATTTGCAGAATGCCCAAAATCAGATATCAAAAACTCATTTTCAGGATCTGGGTTACATACTCATATAATATGAATAAAACTCAGAACTTCACAGCAATTTTAATGAATTCTAAGAATGTGCGCAATAATGGCATAAATAAATTAACAATATCCAATCAAAGATGCCCACTTCAAGATCTGGGACCTACAATGAGAATCTGACTAACTCAGTGACTGAAGCACATTCAAGAACTTTTGCTTCAAATCAGGTGAATTTTATATCTTTGTGTATGCGTGTGAAAGACAACCTCTGCTTTTTCCGCCAAAATAAAGGAAACCCAGATCCCGGTAAAGTATAAAGGACTGATTTGAAGAATTTTGCAGAGAGAGAGAGAGAGAGGGTGGCAGTGTGAGAGAGAAGGAAAGATTCGGTTAACGAGTTTGGGTTGAATAAGAATGTTGCTTTGATGATGGTGTTTGTTTGAGAACAGGAAACCTTTCTTTTGTGAAAGATCTTATTTGGCCAATGTTGGCACAGTACGTGTCATTCTCTAGACACACCCAGCCACCAGTCAAATGCTCCATTTCATTTTTCACGATCATCCTCGCGCATTATGTTAAAGCAGGTTGCTCTGCTCTGGGTCCAAGTGGAACAAACAAGTAGTTTCCAGCTTCAGTAGGCCATTGCTTGTGCAAATGGAGAGAGAGGCCAATTGTGCTAGTTTGCACCTGAATTTTTCGGTTTTAATTTAGCCCTTCAAGAAAAAGCAATGGAGAGAGAGGCCAATTGTGTGCGGCTTGAGCCCAAACTAAGGAACTACATGTTTGATTAGTTTGCCATCTAAAATGTCATTTGATGCCCATTTCGGAAAAGCCCTGTTTGCCATGCATTCACATCCATCTCCTGTCCAAAATCAGTCAAGCATGCAAATTTCATTCTTTCAACAAATCCAAACTACATAACCCTAATTTAGCCCATCGAATCCTCACAACAAAGAAATCAGTAAAATTCTGGACTCCAATTGATATTGCTAATTTCTATTTCCAGCATTCAAGAGATACTATGAACATTCAACAATTAACTACATGTTAAATCAAAAGAATTCCCAACCCAATTGCTGAGTGTAGAAACTGATTTTCCCTTATATTATTTATATGATCATTATACAATATATATAAAGTATGTAGAGAATAATCTACAGTTACAACAAGTCATTATCACAAACATAAATATGAAGTTATGGCCTAATAACAACGTAACTAACAACTGACCATTTCCTATCATTAGTAGGATTAACTATTGTAACTGAAATACTATTGTAACTCCATAACACTCCCCCGCAAATTGAGCGCGCACAGCATAGCAAGATTTGAATGAAGAAACTACATGGTGATGGAGATGGCAGTAGCAGTCGTTTGTAGTAGTCTAGTAAGGGAAACAAAAAAGAAGAACTCCATAGGTGCAACAACGGCTTGAGAGAAACAAAGTAATAGAAAAATAAAAATAATGCCCATTGAGAGGCAGCAAGTGAAGGAGTGCATGGGCTCATGGAAGGAAGGAATAAAATGAAGGGCTAACATACAAGTCTAATGTACCTAGGGAACAACTCTAGGCACCTGAGAAACATAACTCTACCTAGGAATCACCTCTAGGTAGGATAAAGAGCATGCGATAAGCGGGAAAATAAAGGGATGGGGAAGTGAAACCCATCATCAAGTGGGAAAGGCCAGAAAGTCGTGCACAAAGAGAGAGAAACACAATTTTAAAAGTAAATGGATGGGGAAGAAAATAAAAACCACAAAAAAGAGAAGAAACACTTGCCATTGGACATAGATAAAAAGGAGGGGGGGAAAAAACCATGTGAGAGTCTCACGGTGAGATGGAAAAATTAAAAGGAGAGTGAGAAAGAAGGCTCTTGAGACAAGTACATAAATAAATTACATTTTTTTTAAGAGAATAAATATTTGAAAATAAGAGAAAAACCCAGCACGTGGAAAGCATAGAAATATAGAGCTCAAGAGAGAGAGCTAAGCACAGGGATATCAGTGGTGTGCAGAGAAGATTACAAAGATAACAGTGAAAAAGGTTGAAGAGGGAAGAGAGAGAAAAGAGAACTCCTTGACAGGGAGGGAAAGAGTCTTTCAGATAAACATAGAAAGATGTGTCAAAGAGAAAAGAACAGTAGATGATAGGAGGTGAAACCAATTTGGGACACAGAGAAAAGAAAACGAGAGCATGGACAAGGTTGAATTTCAAAGCACAATAGAGACAATAAGGTATGGGGAAGAAAACCACGGGGGAACAGAGAAATAATAAAGAGAAGATTATCACAAGAGGATAGAGGCCCATATAGATTAAAATAAAGAGGGATGATTGACCCAAAAAAATAAAATAATAAGAAATAAAGGAGGAAACCAAGTGAGACAGAGAAATGAAAAGAGAGTGTAGGTAAAACACAGAGTTAAAATCCTTTCAAAATAAAGACGGAAAAAGGAGAGAAAGAAAGAAAGGAGAAAAGGTAACACCCATCAAAAGGAGAAAGTAGGCAAGAGATGGAGAGAGAACAAGATGCAAGAGACAACCCATGAAAAGGAATGGAAACTCAAGATGCCAAAGACAACCCATGACAGGGAGATAGACAACACAATTGAAAAGAAGAGAAGAGAATATCCCAGTAACATAAAAGAATTATAAAGAAAAGAAGACAATACCCTTGTAACAGAGAAGAAGAAAGGCAGGGCAAGAGAGCATTGAAGAAGACAGAGACCAACAGTAAAATCAAATAAAGAGATTGGGCTGAAGAGGGGAGGAGAACACAAGTTGAGCATAGATAGAGCGTGAGAGGCCGATACCAAGGCAACAACACAGTAATAGGGCTTAAGTGGCCGATACCAAGTCGGCAACACAGAGGAAGAAACAAGGGCTGTGCAAAGGGAACATTGGCTGTGTAGCACGGCAAAGAAGGCTCGGCAAGCGTTGATGAGGCTTACGGAGAAAAGAGAGACGGCTCGTTGAGCGATGACAGATAACATCAACAAACAAGGGGAAAGAATGGACACCACGATAGAGAAACCATTAGAAATACATGAGAGAGAGAAACCATAAAAAATACATGAGAGAGAAACCACAATTGCAGACTAGGAAAAGTGAAAGGAAAGGAAGTTTTTATTTTATTTTATTTTATTTATAGATATGGGCTTCTAATAAAAACAAAATAAGGAAGGGAAGAATTAAGGTGAGGAGCACGAGTGTTTGGGCAGGAGAGAGAGATGAAGCTTAAGGGAATGAAGGGGAAGCATGCGTGTAGATAGATATTGGAAAAATGGGGGGCTCATGACACCAAAGAAGGAGTTTCTTATATTATTCATATGATCATTATACAATATATATAAAGTATGTAGAGAATAATCTACAGTTACAACAAGTCATTATAACAAACATAAATATGGAGTTATTGCCTAATAACAACGTAACTGACAACTGACCATTTCCTATTATTAGTAGGATTAACTATTGTAACTGAAATACTATTGTAACTCCGTAACACTGAGGAGCCTAGTTTATATGCTAAAAGAATCAGTTTGGTTTCAAGACTCGCACAATCAATTTGATTGCTGAATCTTTTCATCAGTTTCATGCCAAATGTCTTCACTTTCTCCGCTGTCTTCCGAGTCAGCTAGACGGTTGAAAAAAGTATCAAGGTACCAGGGGCAACGCTCATCCAAATCACCCCTGTTGGCATGGGCTCGCCACTTTTGGTCAGCTATCATTTCAGGGGAGAGACCCCATTCTACTAGTTGTTCCTCACTGTGATGGATTGCTAAGCTGTATTCTCCGCCCTTTCCTAATTGCATCACTTGAAATTCGCAATTTCCAAGATTGTTTAGGTGCTCGAATTGCTCAACCGTCCACTTGAACCACTTCATGAGGAAGACGCGTGACGTTATCCCGTGTGATATTATTATAAGATTGAGGTCATGGCAAGGGTCATGGCGAAGCCTGTTCATGTCAATGTCCCTCCATAATGATTCAAGAAAACCTGCAATTATCTTTGTTATTAGGCAATATATTTATTTCGATATAGAAAGCTGTAAATCCAAAACCTTTATCCAACAATCAAATACATACATAAGCAAACTTTTCAGAACCTCCATATATTCATCTCATCAGCAAGTGTGATTTCACGTTTACATTACAAATCTAAAGCTGCATTTCATTGGAATCTAGTTTCACAAATTTAAAATTGAGAAAATTCAAAGACTAGTGGTCTGGTTCACAAAACTGCAGAGAGTGAAAGCATCTTATAGCGGTTACTTTATTAAATTGGACTTCCATGCCATCCACCACTTTCTGTGTCTACCCATGGATCATTACCTCTTCTTCAATAACCTCTTCACTATGTGTAAAGCACTACTTCAATCATCATTAGACACTTGGACAATACTTTTTGGTTCCAAAGAAAAGCATTATTCACAGAATGCAATTTCCAAATGGAAAGCCTCTTTCTAAAGATCCAGAGGTACTAAAACGTCAAGCCAAGCTTGAACATATTTAAGATTCAACCTCAAACCCTGCTAATTATCTAAACTTTCCACTTAAGGTTTCATCAAATTCGAAACCACTCCACTCAGAATAAAAAATGGAATGCAAAATAAGCCGACAAAACAAAGTAAAGTTTTGGACTTTACCACAAACACAAACAAACTACCAAATTCCCAATTGGGTTATCTTGTAAATCCTAAACCATCACTTCTTAAGTTTTGGACATTGCCAAAATGCTCATCAAAACAAAAACAAACAACAAAAGCAAAAACCCAAAAAGAAAAAAACGTACTTGAAACACGATCGTAGACATCAGCGGCGGACTCTCCCTCCGGACTCCGAAAGAAGAAGCGGCCAAACTTCTCCTTGGTCTCCTTAATGGCCTTGATCTGATCCTGCGCTTGAAAGTTGCCGAAGTCCTGCTCCCGTAGCCGGCACTCCTCGCGGACGCCGATGACACGTGTCCGGGAGAAGGACCGTCCGATCTGACAAAGCGTGGAGCGCGTCCTCTCGTAGGGAGAGACGTAGAAGTAGACGCGCCAGTTGGGGCTGTTGGTGTCGATGTCGGAGATGACGCGGAGGAGGTGGGCGCCGGCGAGGTGGGCCTGGGCCAGGCCCACGTCCGTTAGTGGGATTTTGTTGTGGGGGGTGGTGGAGTAAGTGGCGATGTCTATATTGGCCTGAGACTCGCCGTGCCGCATTAAGATTATCCGCTTCGGAAGAACTGGCTGCGGTTTGCTCTTGCAATTTTGCTGCTGCATTTTATGATCCTCTTCTCTTGTCTTTGTCTTCTGGGTCTTGAGATATTGGATTTCAATTTCTCTTTCTCTTTAGCAGTCTGAATGTGAATCTCTCTGTCTCTCTCTCTCTCGGATTCTCAGTCTGAGAAATAAGAATGTGAAATGTGTAATTTCTAGGCTTCCCCAAATCTCCTCCTCCTTTTTTTCTTGGAAAGAAAATATTAATTTCATAGTTGTATTGAATTCTGTATTCAAAACACGTCTGAATTGAATTCTTGACCTGAATTGAATTGGTAGACTCCTTCTGTCTTGCCTTGGGCTCCGTGCTTGTCGGTTCTGCTTGCCTTCCTGACCTGCGTGAAGACTAGAAGCAAAAAGCAGTGAATAATCTCCCATAGCACTCCCTTGAATGAGACCTGTTAGTTATAAATATTTGGTACTTTTCTTTTATTCTAATTGTTGCCTTTTAATGATGGTTGAACCTTGTACTAATTTTAATAACATTGTGACAGTTGATAATGCATGGACATCCCCAACGGCAAGCAAATAATAACAGGATATATGACTTTAAAATCCAAAGAAGATTCAAAGAGAGTCATGCCCATAAACCAAGAAATCTTCCACTCTGAGAAAAGTTTGAGCAAAGTGTACGCTGGGTTGTACATATCCTTCCACACGTCAAATGTTTGTCAGCAACTTTTGCTAGTTGTACAAGTCAAGACATTCACTGTTCACATAAGAATGCCGCCCCGATGGGTGCGTTTTCCATGTCCTTTACCCCTTTTATTAAGGAAAAAAGAAGAAGAGTAAGGGCACTTTTGACTTTTCGGGTTTCATTTGTGCCGATTTTGCAACATGTTTCAAGTTGATGAATTTTTCAGTGAATCCAACGGTGCAGGATAAAAATAGAAAATGAAACAACATGATGGAGACGCGGGGAATCGAACCCCGTGCCTCTCGCATGCGAAGCGAGCGCTCTACCATATGAGCTACGTCCCCGTCGATGTTCAATCTCGTTGAACTTTAATATTTAAACGACACCGCATAGCGTTTGAAAGTAAAAGCTTCGTCGATGGCTTCAACATCACATCGGGAATTATATCTCAGATAAATTTGATCCCTCCTCCAGCTCCAGCTGACTTGTTAGCTAGCCTACTTTAAGCATTATATTAATTTATTGTCACTTGTTTTCTCAACCGCTTCAACACACAACAATTAAGGTTGGCCATTTCAAACTTTTGATCGGTCATATCGGACCCAATTGACTGATCTATATTTGCTCCGCTGAGACTTTAAACTTCCGGGTAGATGGTCGGTTTGGGCTCAAAACCCAGCCCTAGCTCAATCCACAGCTGTGGCATAGTTTCCTCCCACTAATTTGGATAACTGCCGGTAGGATGTTCAAGCTAACACAAGTGTCGATATGTCCGAGTGGTTAAGGAGACAGACTTGAAATCTGTTGGGCTTCGCCCGCGCAGGTTCGAACCCTGCTGTCGACGATTTTGGTAGAAACCTTTTTTCACTTTGCCCTTTGATTTGCCCTCTCTCATAACTATACTCTTTCAGGTTTTTTCGACCAAATAACATGCAAACTGCACTGGGAAAATTCTGAACCAACTTGTACTCTATATACAATTTTTTACATTAATGAATACCTATTAAACCAAAAATTATTGTGTGATAAAGCTACGTTAATTCATGTTTATAATATGAGATGCAGAACGAATTTATACATTAATTCGAAAATGTAATAAACAAGTATATACATATGGGTCAATTAGATCTTAACCCAAATTTGAAATACTCAGCCACCTAAAATTTCACTTTTTTTTTAATCTATTCAAATATTAACTTGAGTGTATTTTTAATTTTTCAGTTGTAACATCCAGACGAAAACATCTTGTAATTAATTTGACATCTTATAATACGTGTGTGCTAGCGCAACAATATAGAACACAGGGATGTATTTCTATTCATCATCTGCACATGATCAAACAAAAGAGATGCATCAAACTTAGGGGTGGCATTTTAGACCGAAAAACCGCAAAAACCAACCGATAATTTACCGCAATGGAACCTCAATCATGAGAAACCGAACCGCATTTGCGGTATGAAGAACCGAACCACATTTGCGGTTGCAATTACGGTATTTGATTTTCAAAACTTGCGGTTACTGCAAATCGCGATTATATATATTTTTTTATATGTGTTTATATGTGGTGTTAAGTGATCTGCATTCCAAAGACTTCCAAAGACTGCAAACTTTGTGCTTGTCAAACATAGAAATCAATCATATTTTGAGTCTTGGATGCATAAAGGTCTCAATTATCAATTTCCAAAACAATATTTTGGCCGTTGGTTCAACTAGTAAAGGTTCAGGGTGTGGTGGGTCCAGGTCTTTCCTTCGAAGTTAAACGATTGCAATTGGAAGAAGTATCCTATGAAATTTCTATACTTAGCCACATAGGTTTTCATTATATTCTTCCAAACCATGTTGATATTTATTTGTATGTGTGTATATCTGTTGATATTCTCATATCCAATGCTAAAAAATTAAGCATAATAAGATTACCAAGTATTTTACCCATAGCTTCTCATTTTCCAGGAGCTTACTCAACCACTATGGAGAATTTCTTGGATTGGATTCCAAAAGAGTTCCTAATAATCCTGCAGCCAGTCAGTTTGTAGAGGCTTTGGCTAAAGCTTGGACGGAATACAATGACCCAAGGTTAGAGCTGACACAATGTCTCATTTGTTCCTTCTGCTGCTGCCACTTTCAGCAAAGTGAATAAAGGTACGATTAACTCCAAATATATGTGCAGGGCTGTAGTCATGTTCGTGGTTCAGGCTGATGAACGCGACATGTATGACCAACACTGGCTTTCTGCTCTATTGAAAGAAATATATCCTTTTTAGCTTACAACAAGCTTTATATTGGAGGAAGTGGTATCTCTAGGAAAATGTATAGTTATAGTTATATAAGCTTTTATCTTTGATAAGACGCTAGTTTACAAAATTCATAAATAGTCATGTTCCTTAACTGTATAACACACATAATGTATCAACTCTTCGGAAAACATTGGCAGAAATTGATGCAGAGGGGGAGCTTCTACCAGATGGAACACTTGTTGTGTATGTAGCTTTATTAGCTGTGGAAAGTTCATTATACTAATCTAGATTTGTGGATCTAGCATGTTATATCTTCGACTTTAATGTCTTGAAATGCCTTTAACTTGCAGGGGTGGCCAAGCAATTGCTGTTGTGTATTTCAGAGCTGGGTACACACTAAATGATTATCCTTCTGAATCAGTAAGCAAGTCTTACTTTCCTGCTATGCAAATACTGATTCTTTTTTAAGAAGAATGTGACATTCTTTCTTGTAGTGGTGAGCTTCTGTTGTTCAGTAGCAGAAAATGTAGTTACTCATCTACAAAAAGGGTACAAAGTAGAAGAGTAAATCTCAAGTCCATAAAGGCATATGTAGATTTCTTCTATATCTGTTGGGTGACTTTGGTGGGCTAATCCTGCATGTGTTTTTATTTGTATGATTGGACATGTAAGTGTGAATATCTCTTGGATGTTGTTCCATGCTTTTTACGCACATGATCATTCTTGGATGTCTTTATTTCGTTGACTTAACTTGAAATATGCTTAAGATGATACTTAAAACGCTACTTATAAAAGAAATATGACACTTCGATTGCAAAAATGTGTCCTCAGAATATGTTGTCTATTGTATGGCTTTTAGTACCATGTTTTTTTAATTTGTAGGAGTGGAGAGCAAGGCTACTCATGGAGCAGTCATCTGCCATCAAGTGCCCCTCAATTTCTTATCATCTAGCAGGGACCAAAAAGATTCAACAAGAACTTGTGAAGCCTAATGTTCTTGAGAGGTTTACTTCTGGATTTAAGTTCCATCCATTGTCACATTATTATCCTAACCGTTTTAATACTCTGTTTTTGGAGCTGGTAGCTACAAGTATGAATTGTATGAATCATGTATTTGTTTCTTTGAGATAATGAGAAGCTCAGTGTGTGCTTTTCTTGACTTTAAGAAAGAATGGTTACTGTTGTTACAACCAGTAACCTCAAAGCTTTCTATCATCTTCATGTGAGCAGGTTCGTTGACAATAAAGAGGACATTGCGAAATTGCGGAAATGCTTTGCAGGATTGTGGAGTTTGGATGACTCGGATATCGTAAAAGACGCAATAGAAGGCCTGGATTATATGTTATGAAGCCCCAAAGAGAAGGCGGAGGTCCGCGTTCCTAAACTTTACTCTGCTGTTGTAGTAATGACAAGTATTATTAACGAGTAATCATTATACTTCAGGGAACAATATCTATGGCAATGACGTGAAGGAAGCCCTCATGAGATTGCAGAAAGAAGGATCAGAAGCAGATGCTGCTTATATCCTAATGCAGAGGATATTCCCTACTGTTTCGCGCACATTCTTGATGCGCAATGGCATTTGTTATAAAGATGATACTGTATCTGAGCTGGGGATATATGGTGCTTACTTGAGGTATATGACTTTTATGACTATTTTTTTGGGTTTTTGTTTCTTTCTTCTCTTTATTGAGGCCGGGTCGTCCTGTCAAATTGTTCTGTTGGCATTGTTAGTAGGGTGCTAACAACGCTGTAGCCGAAGTTATTGAATCATAGTGCCACATCTTTCATACTTGCAGGAACAGAGAGAAAGTGATCTTGAATGACCAATGTGGCTACCTGATGCGGACCAAGGCTGCTTCATCAGATGAAGGTGGAGTCGCTCTGCTCTGGGTCCAAGTGGAACAAACAAGTAGTTTCCAGCTTCAGTAGGCCGTTGCTTGTGCTAGTTTGCACCTGAATTTTTCACTATTTTAATTTAGCCCTTCAAGAAAAAGCAATAGAGAGAGGCCAATTGTGTGCGGCTTGTGCCCAAACTAAGGACCACATGTTTGATTAGTTTGCCATCTAAAATGTCATTTGATGCCCATTTCGGAAAAGCCCTGTTTGCCATGCATTCACATCGATCTCCTGTCCAAAATCAGTCAAGCATGCAAATTTCATTCTTTCAACAAATCCAAACTACATAACCCTAATTTAGCCCATCGAATCCTCACAACAAAGAAATCAGTAAAATTCTGGTATCCAATTGATATTGCTAATTTCTATTTCCAGCATTCAAGAGATACTATGAACATACAACAATTAACTACATGTTAAATCAAAAGAATTCCCAACCCAATTGCTGAGGAGCCTAGTTTATATGCAAAAAGAATCAGTTTGGTTTCAAGACTCGCACAATCAATTTGATTGCTGAATCTTTTCATCAGTTTCATGCCAAATGTCTTCACTTTCTCCGCTGTCTTCCGAGTCAGCTAGACGGTTGAAAAAAGTATCAAGGTACCAGGGGCAACGCTCATTCCAATCACCCCTGTTGGCATGGGCTCGCCACTTTTGGTCAGCTATCATTTCAGGGGAGAGACCCCATTCTACTAGTTCTTCCTCACTGTGATGGATTGCTAAGCTGTATTCTCCGCCCTTTCCTAATTGCATCACTCGAAATTCGCAATTTCCAAGATTGTTTAGGTGCTCGAATTGCTCAACCGTCCACTTGAACCACTTCATGAGGAAGACGCGTGATGTTAACCCGTGTGATATTATTATAAGATTGAGGTCATGGCAAGGGTCATGGCGAAGCCTGTTCATGTCAATGTCCCTCCATAATGATTCAAGAAAACCTGCAATTATCTTTGTTATTAGGCAATATATTTATTTCGATATAGAAAGCTGTAAATCCAAAACCTTTATCCAACAATCAAATACATACATAAGCAAACTTTTCAGAACCTCCATATTCATCTCATCAGCAAGTGTGATTTCACGTTTTCATTACAAATCTAAAGCTGCATTTCATTGGAATCTATTTTCACAAATTTAAAATTGAGAAAATTCAAAGACTAGTGGTCTGGTTCACAAAACTGCAGAGAGTGCAAGCATCTTATAGCGGTTACTTTATTAAATTGGACTTCCATGCCATCCACCACTTTCTAACCATGGATCATTACCTCTTCAATAACCTCTTCACTATGTGTAAAGCACTACTTCAATCCAGAGGTACTTAAACGTCAAGCCAAGCTTGAACATATTTAAGATTCAACCTCAAACCCTGCTCATCTCAACTCAACTCACAACTTAGCATCACCACAATTCAACCTCAAACCCTGCTAATTATCTAAACGTTCCACTTAAGGTTTCATCAAATTCGAAACCACTCCACTCAGAATAAAAAATGGAATGCAAAATAACCCAACAAAATAAAGTAAAGTTTTGGACTTTACCACAAACACAAACAAACTACCAAATTCCCAATTGGGTTATCTTGCAAATCCTAAACCATCACTTCTTAATTATGCCTCACATTGCCAAAATGCTCATCAAAACAAAAACAAACAACAAAAGCAAAAACCCAAAAAGAAAAAAACGTACTTGAAACACGATCGTAGACATCAGCGGCGGACTCTCCCTCCGGAAACCGATAGAAGAAGCGGCCAAACTTCTCCCGGGTCTCCTTAATGGCCTTCATCCGATCCTGCACTTGAAAGTTGCCGAAGTCCTGCTCCCGTAGCCGGCACTCCTCGCGGACGCCGATGACACGTGTCCGGGAGAAGGACCGTCCGATCTGACAAAGCGTGGAGCGCGTCCTCTCGTAGGGAGAGACGTAGAAGTAGACGCGCCAGTTGGGGTTGTTGGTGTCGATGTCGGAGATGACGCGGTGGAGGTGGGCGCCGGCGAGGTGGGCCTGGGCCAGGCCCACGTCCGTTAGTGGGATTTTGTTGTCGGGGGTGGTGGTGTAGGCGGCGGTGTCTAGATTGCCCTGAGACTCGCCGTGCCGCATTAAAATTATCCGCTTCGGAAGAACTGGCTGCGGTTTGCTCTTGCAATTTTGCTGCTGCATTTTATGATCCTCTTCTCTTGTCTTTGTCTTCTGGGTCTTGAGATCTTGGATTTCAATTTCTCTTTCTCTTTAGCAGTTTGAATGTGAATCTCTGTGTGTGTGTCTCTCTCTCTATCAGATTCTCAGTCTGATAAATAAGAATGTGAAATGTGTTAGCTCTTTGGTTGTGTGGGGTTTCTTTCTTTGCTCTTTGGTCTATTTTGATGGACTGCGACAATGAGACAATGCGACAATGCGCAGTGGGGCATTTTGGCTTCTGGGTTTCTTCTCTTGCGCAATTTATAGGCTTCCCCAATTCTTTTTCATTTTGGCCTTTTCACTTGTTTTAAATAAATATTTTCAATAAAACCTCCGCCTCCTTTTCTCTTGGAAAGAAAATGTTAATTTCATAGTTGTATTGAAATCTTTTTTCTTTATTCAAAACATGTCACATTTGAATTGAATTCTTCACCTGAATTAAATTGGTGGACTCTAGTTATAAATATTTGGATCTAGTTGTATAATTTTGACATGGGATGATCAATAATAATGCAACGTGTGCAAATGGATATGCATCTTTTTTAGGCAAGTTTGTTGCCTTTCGATGATGGTTGAACCTTGTACTAATTTTAATAGCATTGTGACAGTTGATAATGCATGGACATGCCCAACATCAAGCAAATAATAATAGGATATATGACTTTAAAATCCAAAGAAGATTCAAAGAGAGTCATGCCCATAAACCAAGAAATCTTCCACTCTTTGAAAAGTTTGAGCAAATTGTGGGTTGTACATATCCTTCCATAGGCCAAATGTTTGCCATCAGCTTTTGCTACTTATAGTTATAGGGGTCTTTTTATTACAGCAGCCAGATGAATGGGCTTGGGTTGTCAAAAAAGAGAAACATGTTAAGCTGTACCTATGTATGAGTTCAAGGATCAGGCCCCAAATGTGTTTTGAAAGGGTAGCTGAGTCTTAGAAAACACTTTGGTCTTCTTAACCAATGAAACCAACAGTCGCTTACAGATAAATTCTTGGCTTGGCATGAGAAGCTTGTGGCATAGGAGCTGAGCACTCACGAGTTTAGCATGAAAGAGAGAAAACTGTGATTTCCTATGAGAAACAGAGGTTCAAAGCAAGGGAAAGGGATTCTAAGATGGTTTGTCGAAGAGAGAGAGAGAGAGATGGTGGTATATTAGGTGTGTTGAGTAGTTTCCGGCAGCTCGACGAAAACTTTGTCAAGCTTTGGAATAGTTTACCAGAAGGGAAAATGAGGGAGATGTAAGGATGAGGCTTAAAATTGCAGAGATTTCAAAGGTGAGAGATAAAGCTTGCTCTATCTAGATGTGGGTTTTGAAAGAGAGAGAAAAAAGATGGAAGAACAAAGCATGAAATTGAAGGGTTCCATAGGGGATGCTTGCCTTCGATGATTTGTCCTGGTTGCTGGGAGGCTTGCAGCAATGCATGTGAGTTTTGAGATCAGATCTGAGATGTGTTTGCTGGGTAGAAAGTGCTTCCTTTTATAGGCACTGAAAACCTTAATTTTATCAAGTCAGCCTCTCTCCTTTTCCTTCACTTTCTTTCATTCCATCTTATTTGATGAAACTTCCTTAGCCTGAGCATGTAAGCCTAAAGCTTTTTGGAGTTCCAAGGTCCTCATGCAACTGGACTTCTCCATGTGGGTGAGGAGCCACCCACTTTTGTTTCTTGTTTTCTCACTAAAGCTTGAAGAGGAAATAATGGGTAAGGATGCTTGGTCAAAAAGGTAATCAATACGTGGGTTTGCTTGGTTTTGGTGGTTTGGCTGCTATCTGGTTTTAACAGAGATGCACGGTGTTAGATATTTTATAAGGTGCTGGGTTAGGCTGTTTTGTTTCCAGCGGCTTGTGAGTTTCCTTTGATTTCGTCAGACTGCTGGAAGCTTTGGTTGATGTATGATTTTTTATAGGCTATGGCTATTAGATGTTTTTTTAAGATGGTTGGGCATTTTCTTAAGGTGATAGGCTATTGGGTTTTCTCTCATACTTACCCATATGTTTGGGCTCAATGAATTGGCTTAAGTTTTGGTGCTCCCAAGTAGCCCAAAACTTCCACTCCTTGGACCATCAATGGGTCTCGTGAACGCTCGTAACCATTCATACCACAACCTGCTCAGCAAGCCTCATGTATTCGGGTGGCTTAAGCCCACTTAAGCTTGTAGTGTAGCATGTTGTTTAAATAAGAATTTTCTGCTATGTGTTGTATTGGGCCGAAAATATATTTGGGCCCAATCTTGAATTTTTTTAGGCCTCAACAATAGTCAAGACATTCACATAAATGTTTAATATATATATATATGGATTGTGTAATGGGTTTTGAGCTGGATGTCTCCTCCTTCAATAGTGCCGCCCGATGGGTGCGTTTGGGGCAAAACAAAAGAGTAAGGGCACTTTTGACTTTTCACGTTTCATTTGTGCCGATTTTGCAACATGTTTCAAATTTCTGAGTTTAAAAAAAGAAAAAAACAAGCGCACAACTTGATGGTTGTTTGTCTGGTCAGTGAATCCAACGGTGCAAGATAAAAATAGAAAATGAAACAACATGATGGAGATGCGGGGAATCGAACCCCGTGCCTCTCTCATGTGTATCTACCATATGAGGTACGTTCCGGTTGATGTTCACTGTCCTTGAACTTTAATATTTAAACGACATCGCATAGCGTTTGAAAGTAAAAGCTTCGTTGATGGCTTCAACATCACATCGGGAATTATATCTCAGATAAATTTGATCCCTCCTCCAGCTGACTTGTTATGAATTTGCAAACTGTTGATCCGTCACATCGTTGTTTATGAATTTTGGATTATAAATCAGACCCAATTGGCTGATCTATATTTGCTCCGCTGAGACTTCCTGGTAGATGGTCGGTTTGGGCTCAAAACCCAGCCCTAGCTCAATCCACAGCTGTGGCATAGTTTCCTCCCACTAGTTTGGATCACTACCAATAGGATGTTCAAGCTAACGCAAGTGTCCATATGTCCGAGTGGTTAAGGATACAGTTTTTTATATTAATGAATACCAATTAAACGAAAAATTATTGTGTGATAAAGCTACGTTAATTCACGTTTATAATATGAGATGGAGAACGAATTTATACATTAATTTCAAAGTGTAATAAACAAGTATATACATATATATATATATATATTTATTTATCTATTCAAATATTAACTTGTGTGTATTTATAATTTTTCAGTTGTAACATCCAAATGAGAAACATCTTGTAATTAATTTGACATCTTATAATACATGTGTGCTAGCGCAACAATATAGAAATCGGGATGTATTTCTGTCCATAACGCACATGATCAAACAAAGGAGATGCATCAAACTCATTGATTAACATGAACCGAACCACGATTTACTCGTTAATTAGTCCCGCGAATGCCAGTCGCTTTGCTAATAAGCATGGTTATTGTTGTAAAGTGATGATTTAGCTTTAATTGTTAATAAAATATTATGAAACACCAATGTTAATTAAGCATGTGTAAAATGTGCGGCGGTAGGTGCATGAATCTGTTACTCTGCAGCAAACTAAAAGCTGAAATAAAATTAGAAATAACCTGAAAAGTGAAGATTAGATTTTAGCCCTTAATTACCACATAAAGTAAAATTAAAAAATAATTAGTATAGTACTAGTAGGATCTTTCACTTCAGTTGGCATATATATGGCAATGACTTTTGTTAGTGGAAAGTCTTCCTTCCTTCCCACCTGTTAATGATATATAGCAGTACGTGGCAGTCAACAAAACAACAGCTCCACGTCCCTCTCATTCATTTTTCAGTTCATTGGATGATTAGCTCTAGCTTATCTGCATGGTTTATACAATTTTTTTATTTACTGGTTTGGGCTCTAAACTTATTATTTAGATTTTAAACTTTAAAGTGTTGCCTAAAATTTGATACATAAAATGGGAGAGGAATTTACATATAACGGGATGTTATAGTGGAGGTATTGCACTACTATGTTGAAAAGTTACATGACAATGAATGATTGATTTGGAGTAGCGTCACGGTAACATCCCATATGTATAGATAAATTGTTCTCCAATTATCTAGTCAAAATTATAATTATTTTTTTCCTCTCGGACTAATGCACGCGTCTTAAATAACTTCAACAAGAATCACATGAAGCTCATGACTAGTTAGGTAATAGCTTTTTACTTTTGTTTTACATGAAAACATTGAGTGTGTGATGTTTTGAAAATTCAAGGCCAGCAGACGATATAATATAGAGAGGATATATATATGATGGTGATGTATGTGGAACACTGGCAGAATATGTACACATACGACAGAACAGAAAGCTCCTATATTTGGCAAACGCAACTGGTCATCTCATCTGTACTGTATGTGCATGTGGGTGTGTTTGTATGCTAGCCTAGCTATTTTTGCTTGTTATTTTCTGGCTTCTGGGCTTGCGTTTCATCATCTGCGCACTTCCTGCCTGCAGGCAATTGCAGAGATTCCTCACCGTCTACTTGATGTAATGACTCTGGACCCTCAAAATTTGTTGATCATACACACATCATCAACAACTGATCTCTTGGACCACAGGGAGTCTAAAAAGATTGTAGTCACCCACCGTTAGATGTTAATCTAACGGTTTAAAAAAGTTTCTTAAGAAGTGCAAGAGTGAGTAAACCGTTGAATTTACCCACAAATCTCTTGAACTCATATAGTCCAAGAGATCGAGACTGTCATCAACATTATAATATACGCTAATTATTCAACCTATTAACGTACTTTAATCACAATAGTTAAATCGTTGATAGAAAGAAACAGTGCTCCTCCACTGCAAACATAACATGACTTGATAGCTAGCTACCTTCGTAATTAATTGCCTCTCTCTCTCTCTCTCTCTCTCTCTCTCTCTCTCGATTAATTGACTTTCCCTCTCTAATTCATTAATTAATTACTACGAAACATCTCGTCCTTCTTCCTAATTAAACTACACGTAGAGGCAGTACAGTTGTCTCTTTCTTAACGCGGCCACTTGAACATCATGCCATAATATTCTCTGCTATGTTATCATCACCTGGTTGTCACACAATGCTGCCGCTGGCTCCACACCCCAAAGTTTCCACGGTGGTGATGGTGGCCGCCGCTCACCAGATTCTGACACCTCCGAAACCCTTCTCCTCCCACCGCCAGCTTCCTCTCCTCCTCCTCCTCCGCCTCCTTCACATTAATTATACTCTCTTTCTCATCAATAACGTCTTCTTCTTCTTCATTTTCTTCTTGTATGCCTTCTAGTTGTTGTTGTTGTTGTTCTTCTTCTTCTTGGAGATCAGGTTCGTGGGTAACAAGATGCAATCTCAACCGTCCATCTTGACGATAAGCACGCAAGATCTCAGGCCTGTAAATCCTGACCTCCGTGAGCTCCAGCCTCCCGTCTTTCCTGACAGGCCTGAGGTAATACCTGGGCTGCCCATTCTGGTTTAAAGAAGAAAGCGGCGGTGGAAACTTCTTGGCTTCCTCTCTCTTCTCCCCCGTCCTCTTCCATTTGGACACTCTCCTCATCGACTGCCTCATCATCCTCAAACAGGCGTCCTCCTCCACAGGATCATCATCTTCATTCTGATGATGGTGGCCGATTGTTTCAATGATCTGATGGTCATCCACTCGCCTCTCGTCCGAGCTCTCAAACCCTAGGCTCTCCGTGCACGACATCAAGCCGTCCACGCCGCCTCCTATGTCGTCTATGAACCCAAACCCACCTGCATAATCTTTCTTTGCCTCAAACTCAATTGCCGGAGGAGGAGGAGGAGGAGGAGGGGGAGGAGAAGGAGAAGGAGAAAACAGTGGTGATAATGATGAATCTGATGAGGAGGATGAGGAAGAGGCGGAGGAGGATTTGATGGAAGAAGACTCCAAGAGGAGGGGTTGGTGTTTGATGTGATGATAATCTGGTGCGTTGACCAAACCTAGCAACCCTCCTCCTCCTGATGCTCTACAACTTAGGGGAGAAATGCAGTGGTGGCATTTGAAGGGGAGCTTTTCATGGTGAGCATCTATGGAGGTTGATGCAGCAGTTGAAGTAGTGGTAGTAGTAGTTGTTGAGGTGAGGCCGAGGAAAGAGTGAGGGGCGATTTTTCTACAAAAGCTCATAATCATAATTGGAAAAACAGTGTTATTATAAGAATAACAAGGGAACTTCTTATTAAAATATAGCAGAGAGAAAGTGAAGAAGAAGAGGATGGAAGATAATAGTGAGAAGAAAAATGGGGTCATGAAAATGTTGGGTTTTTGTTAAGTGAAGGGAAGGGAAAAATATTTGGGGAAGGAAAGAGAGGAGTGTGAATCGTATTAATAATAGAGACCTCACGCCAAAGATAGATATGCATATAGGAGCCAAATGTGAGAGAGAGAGAGAGAGAGAGAGAGAGAGAGAGAGAGAGAGAGAGAAGTGGGTACTGGGTACGTAGTGGGAATGGTGAAGAGAGTGCCAGCGTGACAAAAGAAAAGAAAAGAAATTGTAATTTAGGACAGATAAAAGAATGAAAAAAAGAGGAGCTCCAGCCTCTAGCTAGCTAGCTCTAAAGTGAGATGAGAGATAGATAGATGGGAAATGAGGAGGAAAGTAAGCCGGGTCCCACGTAAGATGGCCTCAGACTTCGCTCACATCTGCCTTTTTCTTCCACTCGTCTTTCCATAACGCAATCCTATCATCACCAGTCACCAACACTTTTTTTTATATAAAAAAGTTGATATTCTGTTTTTGTGTGTTTGTGTGTTTGTGTGTTTGACTTTAGGTCAACTCAGCGAGCCCTTCAAACTTTAAAGTGAGGGACAGATGTATAAATGTTTCAGATTAGTTATTTAGGGTGGCAAGGCTATGGTTGTGTTACCTGGCACTGCCACTGGCATTTGCAGCTGGGGGCTTGCCTGGGCTCTCACCTTCATTACTTTCATTTTCTGTTGGATGCGTAATTTGATGTGATATGCCAAAATATCTCACAACCCAAAACGGTTCCCATGAATATTGTACGGTGTACGTGCAATATTCTACGACATTATTAACAATCTACTTAATTAGCAACTAATAAGCATTGTTTTTGTTACAATACATTTTTCTTTTGATAAGTTGATATTCTAAGCTACCTTAATGAATCGAGAAGGAAATCAAATTCAGGTGTAAAAAGACGGACATAGTATTTTAATTAACTAACCTAATTCACGTATACAATATTATAATAATTCACTTAAACAATGTAAGTTATACCATAGTACATAGTAAGGTAGATCGATGTGGTTTTGCTCCGTCCACGTGCGTACGATGTCGTGGGGGTGGGGGGGCCTTGTTGATTTGAACTTTGGTGACTTGATAAAGATATTCTTAGGAACATGCATATTGAAGAATCTTTGGTTGATTTTGTTAACTGGCTAATAATAATAAGTGACTTATCCATGCATTATATATATATATATATATACTATGGTATATATAACATGAAAATGGTCAATTGCATTGCATTCACTCTTTTTAAATGTATAGTTATTTTGGCTTGGCATAATAAAGTTGCACAACTCCATTGCCAATTTGCCATGGGCAGGGTCAGTCTCTATCCACCGAATGCGACATTGCCTCGACATGAATTCCAAAAAAGGGTTCGTACCAAGGTCCCATTTCCAAATTTAAATATCCAAAAAGGTAATGAGCATAAAAAAAATATCTTCAAAGCTATATGCATGGGTGCCAAATACAAAGTATTTGATTACAACTTTTTATTTTTTGTTGGAGAGCGACTAACAATAAAACGAGAGTCAAACTTTTATCGTGAGTGCAAGATTATATGGTCTTTAGCCAAAATTATAAGCACCCACATGTTCCATGGATAATGATTTGTATGTTTCTGGATCTCAGTATAATTTTGGGAGGGTTATTTACTGAAATGGTCCCCCAATTTTTGTCCCAATATCATTTTGGTCTACCAATTAAAATTTTTATTTCAATAGTCCTTCACCTCTTTAGTTGGTATCAAAACGGTCCAACCGTTAAAAATGGTTAATATTACCATTAAATTGAAGGGTAAAACTGTCCATATAAAATTAAAATATGGACCTTCAAGCCCATTTCCATGGCTGCCATGGGGTCTACCATTGCCTCCAACCCCCTCTAATTCCTATGACATTGTACGCCTTTATCCAAGCAATTTCCCATAGCTGTCGAATCCAAGCGAAAACGATCTCTCTGTTTCGGTGTTTCTGACTTGGCTCACCGCTCCAATTGCCCCTTTTGAGGCAAGCATGAGGCTCACGACCACGTGGTTGGCTGCAAACACGACTTTCACCTCACCTATGCTGGAATGCGCGGCCGCCAAGCCATGAATTTGGAGGAATGGGAATGTGAGGAGTGTACGAGTAGTGGGGTTAGGAACAAGCACTGGCCGCTTGGAGTTTTTTTAAAAAAAATTGGTCGAAATGCCGCTTGAAGTTAAGTTCAAGTAGATTTTGCAATATTTTACTTTAATTTTTAATTACACTTTTTTTTCCAACAAAAAAAATACTTTATTAATATTTTAATTTATATGGACGGTTTTACCCCTCAATTTAACAATAAAATTGACGTACTTTGACGATATGACGAATTTGATACTAAATGAAGAGTTGAAGGACCATTGAAATGAAAATGTTAGTTTATAAACCAAATTGAGACTGGAGCAAAAATTGAGGACTATTACCCATTTTGGGAGGTTGAAATGTTCACAAAACCCAACCCACGTAAATTTTCCATCAAAGTGTACTGGACCGCGTTTTGTTGATCAAACCAAATCAGCAAGCCAAAGGTTGAGAAGGAGTTGTCGATTTTGCTCAATTTTGATTTTATTCTCTTGTGGGGCATTGGTCAACACAATTCATTCACCTCATCACATATCACTATTCTTATTCATTTATATTATAACACATAAATTGAAATATTTAATGAAGGATTATTTACTCAAATGGTTATCAAATTTATACCCAATTTACATTTTGGTCCGTAAACTAAATTATTTGTTCAAATGGTCCACCAATTCTTTATTAATCGGCGCTTTAGTTCTATCGTTACATTTTCTGTTAAATTTAGCCATGTGAGCAGCACATGCTACAATTGTGCTCTCTCTCTCTCTACCTCCCTCCCTCCCTCCCTCCCTCTGTATTTTCTTCCCCCCAACGACCACCCCAGCCTCATCCATAACCCACTCCTGTAAGAAGAATGGGGAACCTCTCGCTGGTTTTTGGAATTCGACATAAGGAAGTGTTTTCACACCATTGACCAACATCGACTCATCCTAATCTTTAAGGAAGAGATCAACGATCGCAACCCAACCCCCGCTACCTTTTCATGTGCTCTCCCTTTCCCTCTGTATTTTCTTCTCCCTATAGACCATCCCAGTATCAGCAGCAACCCACCCCTGATCCTTACCCGCGACCCAACCTCGCGACCACTTCTTGAACACAATCGCCAGAGCTGATTTCTCGACCTCCGCTCCTTGATGATGATGTTGTAGAGGGGGAGGATGGGACATGGAGGGAGGGGAAGATAGGGTAGGCTGTGGGGAAGAAAAGATGGGGTGTTGTGGCAATGGGTTTATTGGGCTAGGGGTTTGGGGGTTGGGAGTTGGGAAATAGGTTTTTTTTTGGGGGTTAATTACCCAAAGGTAAACACAAACATCAATTTCTATCACCCATTTATCACCATTGTATCACATATGTATGACCACTTTATAACCTATTTAGGGAACATATGACGGTTATAGACGGTTTTACCCTTACATTTGATGGCAACTTTGACATAATGTAACGGTAGGACCAATTGACCGAATAATATATAGTTGATGGACCATTTGAACGAATAATTTAATTAAGGGACCAAAATGTAAATCGAGTATAAGTTTGAGCACCATTTGAGTAATTAACCCTTTAATTAAAAAAATCAAATCAATATTAAAATAGTGGGATTTTGTGTTGGAATAAGCTTGATGTTCTTGTTAGTTATGTAAATTTGTCAAAGTGATCTAGCCCAGTGAAAAATAGCATTTACTTGCAGACTTGTAGTATTATGTTCGAACCTTCATGACACATTAGTAATATGTAAGAAACCTTCATCCTCCTTGTAGTTTAGACTATTGCACTAAAAAAAAAAAATTAATTTATGCCCATTTGGCATCACATTTCGGATGCTTGATGTCGAAAATAACATTGCATCTCGCGTAGTTGAAAATGACGATCAAGATTTCTAACATTTTTGTTGTGCGTTTAGAGTCTTGTTTATATCACCCATCAAGAATTTTAAAGAAGGTGGGGCTTTTATTTGCACTGAAGTTGGAGCAAGGGGAATGTAGGAATTATGAAATTCTCTGAATGCAGTACTGAAATTGAAAAATCAAAGAAATTGATTAATTTCTCGCATTGGAATTTGTAATCAATGAATATTGATGTAACTTGGGAAGGGAAATACAATGAGTCAGTCGTTCACAATCTCCACACCCTTTCACCTTAAATGCCATATTGACTCATCACGTATCTTCTTCATCATTCTACTCTTTATAAATACAATCTCTTCCATGCACTTTCCACCATCATTTTCTCTGCTACCAATCACTACATGGAAAAAGAATTAACAAATTTGATCAATCAATGGCTTCTTCAACCTCTTCCCTCAGCTTCATCCCCTCCTTTGTGAAACTTGCCAACCCAAGGCTGCTGCCATCCATTCCCAGTAAGCCATTCCTACCCTTCAAGCTCCAAAATCCATCTGATCTCAAACTCCATACTGCCACCTCTCATTTGAACTGCTTTCCATATACCAAAACATCCCCATTGTTCACTTGCAGAATGCAAGCCAACCCATCATCTTCCTCTGAGCAAACAGCACCCACTGAACAAGCTCCACAAGTCCTTCATGTCTACGAGATCAATGAACTTAACTGCGCAAGCCCGGCTTACTTGAGGTTAAGTCAACACACTCAGTGATCTCGTCCCCTTTACTAACAATTGTACACTGGTGATTTGCAGAAGCGCATTGGAATTACAGCAGGGATATCCACTTTAATCCAAAACAAACCAGAAAAGAACGGTGACCGATATGAGGTTGCTTACAGCTTTTACTTTGGAGACTATGGTCACATATCTGCGCAGGGTGCCTATTTGACTTATGAGGACTCTTATTTGGCTGTGACTGGTGGGTCTGGAATTTTTGAAGGTGTGTATGGTCAAGTAAAGTTGCACCAGCTTGTGTATCATCCTTTCAAAATATTGTACACCTTTTATCTAAAGGGTATCAAGGACTTGCCTGAACAGCTTCTTGGGAACCATGTGGAGCCTAGCCCTGATGTTGTGCCCACTGCAGCTGCTAAGGCATGTGAGCCCCATGCCACCATTTCCAATTTCATTGATTAAAAGTTTAAAACATGTTAAGTTGATGACTGGTTTTTACTAGTTATAGTGAAGGTTGATTCTATGTTTTTGTGGTTGGCCTTGAAATGAAAGATGATAATAAAGCTATTTTCAGTCCTATAATCTTTTCTTTGTTCTCAAATTGTTAAAAATAAGTTACCTAATAATGAACAGTAAACATAATTTGCAGTATAAGGAGTTCATATCAACAGCCAAATCTCCATAATTTTGTTTTCTTTGGAATGCACATCTACATAATTTATGTTTTACAAAAGCTACTATACATTATGCTTGGGGCACCATGTCTGTGTATCCGATCCCTCTACGAGCAGTTGGAAAGATTGTGAAGAAGAAGCTTGATAAAATCCCAGCCCCTAGTGGCAAATTCATTGCTAACTCACTGTAGTTTATTCCCACGCCAGATAAGAAGCAGCTTTGCACATGGGAGTTGCTAAGAGCAAAGATCAAGAACACAAAGAGCGACATAAAGGCTTGAACAATATCTAAGAATTTGATCTTATACTTTTCCAAGTCCGTGTTAATGTTCTCAAGTTTACTGTAGTTAAAGATGTAGAGGCCTTTGAATGTGGCGATGCCATAATAGAGTTTCCCATCCGTATCATTGTCCTTGAAGCTATCTGTAAATGAAGATAAGAAACAAAGGAGAGCACAAAATATAATGACAGATGCTGTAAGGAACTTATTGGAAAGTTGGCAGGACCCATTGTTGGAGAAAGTAGGAGTGAGGGTCTGAAAGGCGAGGACTGTGCCGGTAGGTAGAAGGTTAGCAAGATTGGCTGCACTGGCTAAGGTCTGGTGGACAGGGTAGTTCGAGCCACCTTTGACCATCGTGGAAGGGGACGATGGTGGACGTGGTTGTTCGGGAGATGGTAATTCAGCCATGGAGAGAAAGAAGAAGAGAGTTTGTTTAATGGTTATATTAGTTGGCTTTGTGTTGGAGCTGATACAGGGCACTCCTTTATGTAGGAAATTAGGACACTGGAGTTTAGGTGGCTTACCTCAGAATATTAATGAATATAAATCATGTAGGTTGTGCCTTGGGAGAGGGATAGCGTCAGGGACTAAAACAATGGCCAAATTTCCGTGGCATAAGAAACATGAGAACATGGGATTCATGTATTGCATGTTACCTAATATGCCTAGAGATTCGGGAAAAGTAATTCGTTTGCTAGCTAGTTTCTTATCTTTCAAAAGTTGTGGACCGTCTTAGAGGCTGTAACCTAACTTCGTTGCAACTGAAAAAGCTTTCACAAGATGACTCTCTCGCCGTGTATTCATGCAATTCTTTTTACCCTTTCCATCTTAGACATTGATGATTTGTTCAAGTCATGTCTCCTTAGCTTGCGGTAATGAAAAGCTTTTATGTTCCTGTTCTCAGAAACTTTTAAGGACCACACAACCACAAAGGCAAAGCGGTCACAAACCTAAACAATCAACCAACAATAAACTTTAATGTCTTATTGCTAATCTTCAGGAGTTAGAACTACATCATCAAACATTTAGAGATGCTTCTCCTTCGTGCCATACCAACAGCACTCCTGTGGAGCAACTGAAACTGAAATACACAATTGGTCTAAGGTGCTGATCATCAACAACAGGCTAAATACAAAGAGAAAGAAATTGTGTGATAAGTAACTGTCTGATGGACCAAAGCTACAGGGAAACTTTGAATTGCAAAATTTGGCTGCAATTCAGAACATACTTCATCATGCTGCAAATGACACTTGAAATGGATTGACAATGTCATGATGCAGGCATACCATTTATCTTTTTTCTGAAAACCGATTCATCGATGTTTGTATTTCTTCTAGTGTTCGCCCTTTTGTCTCTGGTACCAGCTTTGCAACAAATAGAATGGTTACACCAGATACGCATGAAAACATGAAGAAAGTTCCTGGAAGAAGGAAATAAGATGAAATGTGTGAGACTCTCTCTCATTCCAGGAAGAGAAAACTTTGTGGCATTACCTGCTGAGTTCCAATCCATTAGGAAATTAAAAGCATATGAGACAATCCAAGAACCTAACCAGCTAACCAATGTTACTAGGCTACCAGCTGAGCCCTTCATGTTTATGGGAAATATCTGAAATAGAAGTCACATGTATGCAATGACTGAAATTAGCTTCTAATATTTCAGTTAAAATTGTGGAGATCATGCTTGTGAAACATAACCTACCTCTGACATTATAACCCAAGGAATTCCTCCCATGCCCAATGAGAACGATCCTGTAAATACCTGATTATGGGTTTCAAAGAGGTTGAGCAATACTTTAGGTCTATTGGCACATTACAAAAAAGAAAATTGGAGAAAAACAACTTTCGAGATTCAAGTCAAGTTGCATTACCAGTACGCCAACAAGCGCCAAGATGGGAGTGACCTGCTTCCATTGTTGAAGGTTCTACACATGGTAGACTTGGTTCTCTCAAGAAACAACTAAAAATTACAATAAAATTGAAAGAGGACTAGATTGTGCTCTAGACGGAACCTGCAACAAGAATGACAACCCCACAAGGAGGCAACCTAAGCATGTTCCTGTTGAAGATACCTGTAAGAATTATCAGACTTCAGTACTAGATTTTCATTTAGTATTATTATCACTACATAGACCAGAATTCTCACTCTTCTTTGTTCTTACCAGAAGAAGTGGACGTCTTCCAGATTTATCCATCAAAATTACACCCAAACCAGTCATTGGAATCTGCGGAAGAGAAATTAGAATTACAATGAGTAGGAAGTAATAAACAGAAGCCAAATTGGAATTACACTGAGAGCATCAAGCACCTGAACAGCAACCATAGCTAAAGTCCCGATACTATCTGAAAATCCTGTCATAAGCCATAGATTCATTTCATTCATCATCTGCTTTCTTTTGGCTCTTGTTAGATAAATGAAAGAAGATCTAAAAAGATCTAAAAAGGCCTTTCACATACCAGCTGAAATGAATATAGTACTTGCATAAAAGGCAATGCCATTAACCCCTCCGAATTGTTGCAGTACCATAAGACCAACTCCTACCTAACACAATTATAAGTTATGATACAATAATAAAAAAAGAAAGGCAGGATGTCACAGAAGGGACTGATTTAAAAGCTCACTATGAGGGAATACGCATATCTTCTTTGAAATAAGTCAAGAATGCTCGCTTCTGAAAGCCGCTTCAGAGTTTCTGTATAGTCCTATAAGAGAATACAAACACATATTAGTCCTTTTTTTCATCCTACTCAAAATACTGGTTGTTTCCAGCAGAAGCAGAAGAGTTACTGTGTCATTAATTTACTGTTGTAATTCAAAACTTACTCTAATCTCAGAAATTTCTTGAGAAATATCAGCATTCTTCCCCCTAAGGTTCTGGAGAGCATCTTCACACTTTTTCTCTTGACCAATCTTTGCCTGAAAATGGGCTCACAATCAAGCATGTCAAAAGTTCCTCAAGTTTTCCATATTAAAGGACAAATGTTGACATTATTGGGGAAACCATGTTTATATAATTAACCACATGACTCACCAGCCATCTAGGAGACTCTGGGATGAAGAATAGACCTAAGATCTGTATAACACAAGGAACAGTTCCTGAATTTTGGACAAAAGAAAACACTGTCAATTACTTCGGTTTATATTTCTCCTGGTTTTCTTTTTAAATCCATTGGCAGGTAGATTTTTTTTTTGCGGTATCTCACTGGTATAGAGTCATTTTTATATCATTGAGGAAGAGCAAGTTACCTATGAGAGCCAAAGCTCGCCAGTTCAAAAAAGCCCCGATAAGATATGTTAGTGACACACCACAACAAATCATAAACTGCAAAATCAGTGAGAAATGGTAAGCAATAAGTGTATATCTAATGGTTTCCAAATTTGTGAATCATGATGCTTATGCTTACCTGATGAACTGTTGTAAATCCTCCTCGCAGATTCTTTGGTGTTATTTCTGCTATGTATATAGGCACCTGTTTTTTATTGAAACATAAAAACTTTTACCTGGAACTTTAATAACAATCTCTTATGAGTTGCATACATTCCTAACAAAAATTACCACATAAGAAAGAAGTCCCATTCCACATCCTACCAACAGTCTTCCAAGCTCAGCCCACCAAGCAACCTTTGAAGAAGAACAAAGGTGAAAACATGAGCTGAAACCAAGAATTCCACTTTTTTGAATATAAAGAGCAACTAAAGAGAGAAACCATGGAAAAACCTTAGAGAAAGCTATGGCTAGCCATCCCAATATGCAGAATATCTCAGAAAAGGCCATTGCCTACCTCCCAAAACAACCCGAATTGAGCAAAATTGAAGAGATCAGTAGTTGGTTTGGAGTTAAAATATTAGAAAATTTATAGAAATAACAAAAGGGTAATGGCAGAAACTTACACCTCTTCTACCTATGTAATCTGCTATTCTCCCACTCACTACTGCTCCTATCATTGCTCCAATTGTCAATATTGAACCAAAAACCGAGTACTGCAAAATGGCTAGTGCCCATAAGTTGAAGTATAAAGAAGACATATACATAACTACATTGATGTATATACATACATACATGTTCCCTTCCTATTTGCTGCCATTATGTAATAGGCTACATAACATGATAAGATGAGCAAACATAAGATAGCAGGGTTCGGGGATACATTATCACCAAACAAGAGAAAGAAACAAAGGGGGCAAATTTTCTAAAATCTATACAAACCTCAGCCACAGTGAGGCCCAAATCATCCATGACCCCAGACCGAGCTGGTGAGGAATATCCCACCTGTAAAACAATCATACACGTGGCAATGGCTCAGTCCGTTAGTAAACCAATCGAACGGCTAGAAATATTTCAAAGACACACCAACGACCATTTGATCCCATGCCACTACAACAAATTTTTAGTGTTGAAAACAGGGTCCAAACAGAGCGCGCATATCATCAGATCAGACATAAAACTCAAACTTACCGCAGACCCAAAAACATAGGAACCAGACACAGCAACCAGAGAGCTGAGCACAACCATGGTCGTGGCCGACGATGAGAAAGTTCCACTTTGTTGTTCATTACCAGCACCACTGTTTTCACCTCTACCACCATAGCCATAGATTTGAGATTCAGAATCAATATTTTTGACAAGCAGAGGATTTGATAATTTTCCTTCTTCTATGCTTTCCCTGCCCATATTTTTTATTTTGGGTACTTCCCTTCAAATCAAAACCAACAAATAACATGGAACTGAGAATTGGACAGAAATATGCAGAAAACAAGAAAGAGTAAAGAGATGTGGAGATAAAAATATGAACTTGGGGGCTCTGTTGTCGTATTGTTAAGGCCTTGTTCCATGTAATGAAGTAAAAGTTGTCGTTTTCTAGTTTATTACTCTTCGGTTTATCAAAGATCGTCACTTAAGACAGTGAACTCCTTCTGTAAAGGTTTTGTCTTTGAAGTTTATTACTCTTTGGTTTTCCTTTTTTTTTAAGTTCCTATTTGGTCACGTGCAAAAATATTGGGCCACTGAAGGAATAAAAGAAAAGAAAAAGCCATTAAGCCCAATTTGGTTCGCGAAAAAGATTTTTAATTGAAAATAATTTCCCATATCCTAATACTTCAAATTTCAAATTAATTGCTCTGTTTTAGAAGCAAAGCGCGTGCCTTTCTTCTTCACCCTCCCGCGCGCTCTCTCTTTCTCCCGCAATCTCCCAGCACCAAGTTGTGAGTCCAAGCAAACTGCAAGTTTCTCAGTTCGTTTCGTTTATTTTGTTGGTGCGTTTCTCTCTGTCTTGTCTCGCACGTCAAACGTTTGCTCTGCAAAGCAGCCATGAGTTTAGACTCTCCAATCGAACCCACAACGTATGACCTTATTGTGATCGGAACAGGCCTCCCTGAAACAGTCATTGCCGCCGCAGCCACTGCTGCTGGAAAAACCGTCCTCCAAATTGACCCCAACGACTTTAACGGCAGCCACTTTGCCTCTCTTCCCCTCCATCAATTCACCTCCTTCCTAAGTTCCCATTTTACTGCTAAAAACCCTACTTGCAGCGGCCATGCTCATGATCACCATGATTTTGTGGCCTTAGAGCTCATCCCACGGCTACTATACTCCGACATTGAAACTACCAACTATGCCCTTGAAATCCCTTCTGCGGATAAATTCAACATTGACCTTGGCGGGCCCAGGCTTTTGTTCCATGGTGACAAAGCCGCTGACTTTATTATCAAATCTGGTGTCGACCTATATGTGGAAAATGGGATCTTGAAATTCAAAAGCATCGATGGAGTTTGCGTTTTTTATGAGAGCAATGGGAAGTTACATATCTTTCCATATTCAAAAGGAGAAGTATTTGTGGACAAGAGCCTAAAGCTTGTAGAGAAGTCCAAGTTGAGGAGTTTCATCAAGTTTGTTCAGCAGCAAGACGAAGAATGGAACCAAATTTGTAGTGAAAGTTTCAAGATTTCGGAGGAGGATTTGGAGATCCCTTTTGTTGATTTCTTAGATGGAATGCAGTTGTCAGCCAAGATTAAGTCGTATGTACACATTGATCACTTTTTTTTTTTTTTTTTTTTTTTTTTATTTTTTTATTTGCTTTGGATTAGATGTTCTGCTGCTAATTTTTTTTATTTGGAAATTGGAATGTGCTGACAAAAATTTGAAACTTGCTGTCATTTTTTGCTCTGTAAAATAGGTTTTTTCTGTACATTGCCATGGTAGATTATGATGAAGAAAATTTCAACTTGGAAGTTTGTTAAAGTAATCTGAAGACAAGAGCTGGGATAGAGTGTTTAGCACTTTACGACAAATCGAGGTTAGTTAGTTAGTTTTCTCCTCTCCGTTTTCTGCTCAGTAATTACAGTTTATCTAATGAATTTTCAGATTTTATGTATTATTGTTGTGGTGATGTTCTTCATTGTGCTTGATCTTCTTCTCACAAGGTCTGAAAATGGTCCTGGCCCTTGGATTTATCCTAAGTATGGTCATGGGGATTTATTAGCTTTCTTTGGCCCTCGTGCGGCTGTTAAAGGTTGCATTTGTGTAAGTTCAAGTAGAAGTATCTGTTTCTTGTTTTTCAAGGAAAAACATCCTACACCATTGCTGGCCTGTACATACTTCTTTGCACACGTGTACCCTTTATTGTTTACTTATTTATTTTGGGCCAATTTTGTTTGGTTTTGCTTACCACTTTCTCTTAGTTCTCTTGAAAATTCTATCATGCAGGCTATGCGAAGGCCAGTGACTGCTGTGCTTATGGACAAGGTATAAGAGTGAATATACTTATCGATAAACTAACATATGGTTCCTGAAAGTTGCAAACTAATTTTCATATGTAAATTGGCTTGAGAATTTTGCAGGATAGTGGGAAATATAAGGGTGTCAGATTAGCTTCAGGTCAGGATTTGTTTAGTCATCATCTAGTTTTGAATCCAGCCTTCACCGTCCCTTTGGCACCAGCTCCATCTCCACCAGACTGTCTGAGAGAAGGCCTTCAAGGTTTAAGTCTTAAAGATACTAAAGGAAAGGTGGCAAGGGGAATATGCATCACAGCCAGTTCTGTGAAGCCAAAAACATCAAACTGTTTGCTTGTATATCCTCCTAGAAGTAAGACTTAATTTAGGGTATGCTACTGTACTTTGTTGAGAAAATAATAATAATAATAAGTAATCATTTCCTTTGCTTTCTTTTCCTCCCTAGCTTTGTACCCTGAACAGGATACCTTAATCTGGGTTATCCAAATAGCTGGCGGTTCAGGAATGGATGCTTGTCCAAAGGGCATGTCTGTTGATGGCACATTCCAGGTTATCCAGACAGAAGGTGGCAGTTCGGAAGCAGATGTTTGTCCAAAGGGCATGTATGTTTATGTTAAATATAAAAAAATTATGCTCAAGAAATAAGCTCCCTCACTCTCTTGAAGAAGCTATTAAATTTTGACCTTGTTTACCTTGGTGTGTCTTCAGGTTTGTGTTGTATTTTTCTGCTTTCTGTGATCATGCGGAACAAGGGAAAAGGTTGCTACACGCGGCCATGAATTCTCTTCTCACACTTCCTGGTCCTGGAAATCCTGAAAATGGTTCCACAGTTGAAAGTGAAGATGCACAAATGAAAGTGAAACCCAACTTACTTTGGAGCACATTGTAAGCTGTATATGGTGTGCCACTCATGTTGGCTTTAATTTTTTTTGCACTCTACTTTGTTTCTCAATAATTTTCTCGCATTGATTTACATGCAATTTTTGACTGCTTTTTTACTCATCCCAACCTTTGATGTCCATCTATGATGATTTTGTTTTTGTTCTCTGGTTTACATTGATTTCAGGAGCAACATGAACATCTCATTTCAACTCCCATGCCAGATGGAAATCTCAGCTACGATGGTCTGTTAGATGCAGCTGTGGTGGTATGATCATCTTTTTATTGGCATCATATTTTGTTTATAATGCTTCATTTCTTGTTACTATACATGGCTCGATAATCACCCTTATGAAATTTGGTGTTAATGCTTGAACTTGACAGCTTTTCCAGAAGATGTATCCAAATGAAGAATTCTTTCCGGAGACACCCTCGCCTGGGAATTTGGAGGATGATACTCCAATCAATGTAGAGGACTAAGAGTTTGTTTGTTGTACTCAAATAAGTGTGTACAGGTGATGCTTGTATTTCTTCCATTGTTCACCCTTTATATGGTGAGATAGAAAGAGGTTGGTACCAAATTTTTTCAAGACAAGTTTCAGAGTCTCCATGAGAAAATCTTTGAACTTTCAATCTTTCATTACCTGTGCAGAAAACCATTTGCAAACTTTTTTAGAAAAGGAAAGTCATCATTTTACAACTTTTGAAGGCCACACATTTCATCCATTCCAAGTCAGACAGGTTTAACTAATGTAGTGTACCTACAACATAATCCATCAAGATGCATTTTTCACTTGCTTAGCCAAAAAACGAGATGCATTTTTCACTGTAGTAAATTGTTTACCCTCTTTAGCTAACTGCTTCACCTATATAAATATATGTTGTGGGGTTTCAAAGCAAGTAGTTCAGTGCAAACAGTAACACTAATCATTCCTGGTCCAGCTTGTAAGAAGTTTCAAGAATGCTTCTCCCATTGACCCATCAGCAGCATCAACTCTAATTTCAGGCGCACTTTACATGACATATGACATGTTGATGAAGATGTTAGTGCAATCAAATTGTAAACCGAACAGATTTATATAAATATATTGATTATAAATAAAAGCTCTGAATTAATTCTCTAGCAAAACACAACTTCTATGATCCTGCTACATTAATCTACCATCTCAACTTCTTCTCCCATATATACGTGCATCGTTTGCCTACATGAGTAGTAGTACAAGATGTTCGTAATTTTTTAGTTTATTTTCAGGCGTATGATACTTTAACTTTCATCCTAGGCCTAAATCGACAGATTTTAAAATAGGATGAAAAAGATAAAAACACAGTTTCTTTTTAGAATTATGGGGGAGATTTGACAATCCATACTGACTCGAACATGGTGTAATGTAACTAATGCTGGTACAAATGCATTTCGGCTTACTTACCAAAAGATGAAAGATGCTTTATTTTCCTTCTTTTTTGCGCAAGAATTTGTAGCTCAAGTGGCTAAGAGCTTTACCCCACCCGAGGTCCCAGTTTCGATTCCCCCTCCCTCAATACCAATTGTATCAAAAAGTTTAATTTTTTAAATGACAATTGAAGGGAATAAAACTTTTGATCTAACACGTCGCCACTTACCTTCACCCCTTTAGCAATCAATACAACACAATCCAATAAGATGCGTTTTTCGCTTACTTACCAGAAGAGAAAACATGTATTTTTCTCTATATTAAATTTCTTATTGTTACAATAGAAGGGAATCAAACTTTTGATCTACAACATGTCACCACTTAACTTCACCAATTGGTTTGACCCCGAGGTTTACATTTCTGACCCATTTAGCTAATTCCTTTCGCAATCCACACAACAAAATCCAACAAGATGCATTTTTCACTTACTTATCAAAAGAGAAAACATGATTTTTTTTCTCAATATTAAATTTCTTGTTGTTACAATGGAAAGGAATCAAACTTTTGATCTAACACATTTCCCCACTTACCTTCACCAATTGGTTTGACCTCGAGGTTTAGATTTATGACCCTTTTAGCTAATTCCTTTAGCAATCAATACAACACAATCCAACAAGATGCATTTTTAGCTTACTTACCAAAAGAGAAAACATGAATTTTTCTCTATATTAAATTTCTTATTGTTACAATGGGAGGAAGTCAAACTTTTGATCTAACACATGTCACCACTTACCTTCACCACTTGGTTTGACCCCGAGGTTCAGATTTTTGACCTTTTTAGCAAATTCCTTTAGCAATCCATACAACACAATCCAACAAGATGCATTTTTTGCTTACTACCAAAAGAGAAAACATGAATTTTTCTCTATATTAAACTTTTTATATGAATCATAACTCATTTAGAAATTCATAAAACACAATCCACCAAAATGTATTTTTTTGCTTACTAATCAAAAGAGACAAGATACATTTTTCTATGTATTTTAGATTTCTTACCTTCTTCTTTTCGCTATTCCATAAGGGAGTCGAGCCCTTTGCCTAATCAAATTCTAACCCATTTCCCAACCTACCCTCTCCACTTTACCTAATTTCTTAGCATTTTAACTAATTGCTACACCTATATAAATCACGTATCATTACAGGAACTTCAAGTACTTGAGCGCAGTAGTCAATTTCCTATATATTATATACGTATCTTATACATTCCTGCTATCTAATTGCTAACTCAAAAAGACATGGACAAGTCTTCATCAAAATTGGCTCTTCTGGTTGTACTCATGGTCATTGCATCTGGTAAAATCTCTTATTCTCGTTTCGCCATGCTTGGTGTTTAAAATTAAGTTAAATTTGGATAACTTCCAAGATTCAATAACGACTAATATCACAATATTCTACTCATTATATAAGTAAATCAATAATTAATTGTTGGCAGGTTTGGAGTTATGTGTTGAAGCAAGAAACATCGCAGTCATAAAGCCTGATTGCTTCTATGATCCAGAATGTGCGAATTTTTGCTGTGCTAACCAGAAAGTAGAGGCGCATCACACCATTCCTCCTCCCCTTTCTCCCATGTCCATGAACTGAGTTAATTAATTTCAAGCACACATGACATGGTGTTGTTGCCTTGTTTACTCAATAAAATTGTAAACCATAGTTTACAGAGATGATGAAGAATTAATAAAAATATAGCTGCTATATTTCTCTTATTAATTTATTTTTATGATACAAGCGATATCTGGGATGGGGACATTGAACCTAAGGTATAACGGTAAATGCTCTTAACCACTTGAGCAACAAACCTCTTGCATTAATTTATTTATTTTTAGTACAAACAATAATCGGAATTCCTTGACATTTATCTTAGTAATTCATTTTAATATTTGATTAAAACTCATAACGCACTTTGAAACATGAATCATCGGGCTGATGCGGCCCAAGCAGCTTATGGCCCTTTGTGAAAAGTGAAAGTGAAAATAATAGGGGAAAGACTTTGGGCCTCTCCCGTTTGTGACTTCTATGAGGGCTTTCCGCCGCCCTATAGTGGCACCCCCCACCCAGACTCTATATCACTCCCTCCATGGAGACGTGTCCCTCCTTTGGGTCTTGTCATGCCTTTGCTGCTTTCTTCCCCCGCAACAAACGGGATGCTGCTTTTTTTTTTTTTCTTACCAAAAGAAAAAATATGTATTTTCACAGTATTAATTGTTGGCCCTCTGCAGCTAATTGTTTCACCTATATAAATAATAATTATGGGGATTCAAAGCACAAGTACTGAGGCAAAAACAACAACGCCATTACAAAATTATACCATTTCTCCTTGCTATCTAATTGCAGACTCCTGGCGCCGTTGTATACCAAATGGCTTTTTTTGTTCGTCTCTTGGTCTATTGCATCGTCCGCTCTCTCCTCTCCTTCCGTTTCCTTTGGGCCATCTCCTACTCTATCTCTCTCGGTTAAACGTTTCCCTTTCGCTTCCACGCTCTGCGGGTTTAGGGCCTCCTAGTCTCCGCACTCGGGCCGTTTTCGCCACTCTGGGCCTCTCTCACATTATGCTTATCCATTCTGCAACTCTGTCCTGCAAACTCGGCTCGACACTGCGCTCAACCCCTTCTCTGTACGGGCGAGGCATTGTTTGGTCGTTTATCCTCCAGTGGGCCCTCCCCTGTGTTGTGCATTTTGGTGGTTGGCGTCGGTATCTGCCCCCCCGGCTGCCGCAATTAAGTGTCTTTGCTCCGCCGAGGTTCATGTTCCGCACTGTCCCATGTGGGCAGTCCTGCCGCTTGCCAGCCACACCACCTCCCACTCCTGCTTTCGGCTTACTGCCTTGCGTGCGGGGGGTGAATTTGCGCCCTTTCAGGATTTGTCGTTGCCTTTCTTTTTCCTCTCTGCGTCTTCCGGGGCAACCTCCTTTGGGGGTCCCCCCCCCCCCTGCTATTCCTCTTTTCCCGAGGTCGCCGGGCTGCCTCTTTCTTCCCCATCCTCTCCTCTTTTTCCCTCCCGTTCTCTTCCCCCTGGTTTCGCTTTTTCGTTCCTTAGGATCATCTCTTTGCATTCTTAGAATTCCTCTCTTCAGTTTGTCCTTCGTTTCCCTTTCTTCGTGAAGTCCTTCGTCTTTACATCCTTTTTCCTCCTTTCCTAACCGTCATCATAACTCGTCCGCATTTGTTTCGTTCTTTTGTGCCCTTTGTTTTGGATTTTGTTAAAGTCCAAAATGAGCTTTACGGGTGGTAGCCCTTGAGTACCTAGGTGCATATAGACATTGGCGTCACTTCCGTTCCCAATGGATGACACCGAGGTTAGACCCTTTAGTAAATTCCTTTAGCAATCCATACACACCAAATCCAACAAGATGCATTTTTCGCTAACTTACCAAAAGAGAAAACAAGAATTTTTCTCTATATTAAATTTCTTATTGTTACAATGGGAGGAAATCAAACTTTTGATCTAGCACATGTCACCACTTACCTTCACCACTTAGTTTGACCATGAGGTTTAGATTTTTGACCTTTTTAGCTAATTCCTTTAGCAATCCATACGACACAATCCAACAAGATGCATTTTTTGATTACTTACCAAAAGAGAAAACATGAATTTTTCTCTATATTAAATTTCTTATTGTTACAATGGGAGGAAATCAAACTCATATATGAATCATAACTCTTTTAGAAATTCATAAAACACAATCCACCAAAATGTATTTTTTCGCTTACTCATCAAAAGAGACAAGATACATTTTTCTATGTATTTTAGATTTCTTACCTTCTTCTTTTCGCTATTCCATAAGGGAGTCGAGCCCTTTGCCTAATCAAATTCTAACCCATTTCCCAACCTACCCTCTCCACTTTACCTAATTTCTTAGCTTTTTAACTAATTGCTACACCTATATAAATCACGTATCATTACAGGAACTTCAAGTACTTGAGCGCAGCAGTCAATTTCCTATATATTATATACGTATCTTATACATTCCTGCTATCTAATTGCTAACTCAAAAAGACATGGACAAGTCTTCATCAAAATTGGCTCTTCTGGGTTGTGCTCATGGTCATTGCATCTGGTAAAATCTCTTATTCTCGTTTCGCCATGCTTGGTGTTTAAAATTAAGTTAAATTTGGATAACTTCCAAGATTCAATATCGACTAATATCACAATATTCTACTCATTATATAAGTAAATCAATAATTAATTGTTGGCAGGTTTGGAGTTATGTGTTGAAGCAAGAAACATCGCAGTCATAGAGCCTGATTGCTTCTATGATCCAGAATGTGCGAATTTTTGCTGTGCTAACCAGAAAGTAGAGGCGCATCACACCATTCCTCCTCCCCTTTCTCCCATGTCCATGAACTGAAGTTAATTAATTTCAAGCACACATGTCATGGTGTTGTTGCCTTGTTTGCTCAATAAATTGTAAACCATAGTTTACAGAGATGATGAAGAATTAATAAAAATATAGCTGCTATATTTCTCTTATTAATTTATTTTTATGATACAAGCGATATCTGGGATGGGGACATTGAACCTAAGGTATAACGGTAAATGCTCTTAACCACTTGAGCAGCAAACCTCTTGCATTAATTTATTTATTTTTAGTACAAACAATAATCGGAATTCCTTGAAATTTATCCTAGTAATTCGTTTTAATATTTGATTAAAATGCATAAAGCACTTTGAAACATGAATCAATCGGGCTGATTAAACATGTAACAATAAGCATTAGGGCCTTTGTGAAAAAGTGAAAGTGAAAATAATAGGCAAAGACTTTGGGCCTCTCCCGTTTGTGACTTCTGTGAGGGCTTAAGCTTGACCCAATTATGGGTGATAAACCCCACAAGCAAAAATATATATCAATCCATTCCGAGTGAGACATGTGTAAATAATTTGGGTACTGTAATGCATTTGATGCTTTCTAAAAAAAAAAAAAAAAAAAAAAAAAAAAAAAGAAAATGCATTTTTACTTACTTACCAAAGAAAATATGTATTTTTCACTGTATTAAATTTGTTACCTTCTTCAGCTAATTGTTTCACCTATATAAATATATACTATGTGGGATTCAAAGCAAGTACTTGAGTGCAACAAACAACAAACGCCATTACCAACATTATACATTTCTGCCTTGCTATCTAATTGCTTACCAAAAAATACATGGAGAAGTATGTATAAAAAATGGCTTTTTTGGTTATACTCTTGGTTATTGCATATGGTAAGATATCTCATCCTCATCATTTACTTTGGCGATAATAATACTACATATATCTGTTAAATTTAGGCTTTAACGCTTAAGTGTTAGGTACCCTAAGTCCTACCAAAACTTGAAAGTTAGAACCCAAAATATGGCCGCTATCAAAACATTATGTATTCTAAATTGGCAACTATGTCATGCAAATGGATCGAAACTAGCAAAAATATCATGAAAACACATTAAGAATAAGTTGGTAAGTTTATAACTAAAATGGGAAACTCAAATGTGTTGGCATGGTAGGTTTGGAGCTATATGCAAAAGCAATTAATGTGTCTTGATCCAGCAAGTTCATGTTTACGAAATGCATTTGGTCAGTCAAGCATTGAAAAACAAGATTAGGATTCTAAAATTCGTGAGGTTGAATTTGTAATAAGTGATTTGTTATTGACTTTCTTTTTCAACTATGCCTCTCAGAGGATAACCTAATTCGTGATGACAACAAAATGATATTAACATTTAAAGAGTATAGCCGGGCTGCTATATTCTTCAAATATATTCTAATATTTTAAAAGTATATCCCAAATGGTTTTCTTTTTTGTAATTAAGTAATATCTTAGCATTTTATAATTACTTTAATTAGTAATTATGTTTATTTCTTTAGTGAATAATTAGTATTTAAATATTTTACTAATTTCATAAATTACATAATAAATAGTAATGAATTGTTTTAGATTATTTTGTGAACTTTGTTTTTTATTTTTTTTTATACAAAATTAGTTTTATTTTTAGCCTTTTATACCATTTTCATATAGCACATGTCGTCACTTACCTTCACCAATTGGATTGACCCCGAGGTTTAGACCCTTTTAGTTAATTCCTTTAGCAATCCATACAACAAAATCCAACAAGATGCATTTTTCGCTAACTTACCAAAAGAGAAAACATGAATTTTTCTCTATTTTAAATTTCTTATTGTTACATTGGGAAGAAATCAAACTTTTGATCTAAGCACATGTCACCACTTACCTTCACCACTTAGTTTGACCATGAGGTTTAGATTTTGACCTTTTTAGCTAATTCCTTTAGCAATCCATACGACACAATCCAACAAGATGCATTTTTTGATTACTTACCAAAGAGAAAACATGAATTTTTCTCTATATTAAATTTCTTATTGTTACAATGGGAGGAAATCAAACTCATATATGAATCATAACTCTTTTAGAAATTCATAAAACACAATCCACCAAAATGTATTTTTTCGCTTACTCATCAAAAGAGACAAGATACATTTTCTACGTATTTTAGATTTCTTACCTTCTTCTTTTCGCTATTCCATAAGGGAGTCGAGCCCTTTGCCTAATCAAATTCTAACCCATTTCCCAACCTACCCTCTCCACTTTACCTAATTTCTTAGCTTTTTAACTAATTGCTACACCTATATAAATCACGTATCATTACAGGAACTTCAAGTACTTGAGCGCAGCAGTCAATTTTCTATATATTATATACGTATCTTATACATTCTTGCTATCTAATTGCTAACTCAAAAAGACATGGACAAGTCTTCATCAAAATTGGCTCTTCTGGTTGTGCTCATGGTCATTGCATCTGGTAAAATCTCTCATTCTCGTTTCTCCATGCTTGGTGTTTAAAATTAAGTTAAATTTGTATAACTCCCAAGATTCAATATCGACTAATATCACAATATTCTACTCATTATATAAGTAAATCAATAATTAATTGTTGGCAGGTTTGGAGTTATGTGCTGAAGCAAGAAACATCGCAGTCATAGAGCCTGATTGCCTCTATGATCCAGAATGTGCGAATTTTTGCTGTGCTAACCAGAAAGTAGAGGCGCATCACACCATTCCTCCTCCCCTTTCCCCCATGGCCGTCAACTGAAGTTAATTAATTTCAAGCACACATGACATGGTGTTGTTGCCTTGTTTGCTCAATAAAATTGTAAACCATAGTTTACAGAGATGATGAAGAATTAATAAAAATATAGCTGCTATATTTCTCTTATTAATTTATTTTTTATGATACAAGCGATGTCTGGGATGGGGAGATTGAATCTAAGGTATAACGGTAAATGCTCTTAACCACTTGAGCAACAAACCTCTTGCATTAATTTAGTTATTTTTAGTACAAACAATAATCGGAATTCCTTGAAATTTATCTTAGTAATTCGTTTTAGTATTTGATTAAAACTCATAAAACACTTTGAAACATGAATCAATTGGGCTGATTAAACATGTTACAATAAGCATTAGGGCCTTTGTGAAAAAGTGAAAGTGAAAATAATAGGCAAAGACTTTGGGCCTCTCCCGTTTGTGACTTCTGTGAGGGCTTAAGCTTGACCCAATTATGGGTGACAAACCCCACAAACAAAAATATATATATCAATCCATTCCGAGTGAGAGAGGTGTAAATAATTTGGGTATTGTAATGCATTTGATGCTTTTTTACAAAAAAAAAAAAAAAAAAAAAGCATTTTTTACTTGCTTACCAAAGAAAAATATGTATTTTTCACTGTATTAAATTTGTTACCTTCTTCAGCTAATTGTTTCACCTATATAAATATATACTATGTGGGATTCAAAGCAAGTACTTGAGTGCAACAAACAACAAACGCCATTACCAACATTATACATTTCTACCTTGCTATCTAATTGCTGACCAAAAAATACATGGAGAAGTTTGTATAAAACATGGCTTTTTTGGTTATACTCTTGGTTATTGCATATGGTAAGATATCTCATCCTCATCATATACTTTGGTGATAATAATACTACATATATCTGTTAAATTTAGGCTTCAACGTTTAAGTGTTAGGTACCCTAAGTCCTACCAAAACGTGAAAGTTAGAACCCAAAATATGGCCTCTATCAAAACATTATGTATTCTAAATTAGCAACAATGTCATGCAAATGGATCGAAACTAGCAAAAATATCATGAAAACACATTAAGAATAAGTTGGTAAGTTTATAACTAAAATGGGAAACTCAAATGTGTTGGCATGGTAGGTTTGGAGCTATATGCAGAAGCAGTTAATGTGTCTTGATCCAGCAAGTTCATGTTTACGAAATGCATTTGGTCAGTCAAGCATTGAAAAACATGCTAAGGATTCTGAAATTCGTGAGGTTGAATTTGAACTAAGTGATTTGTTATTGACTTTTTTTCAACTATTCCTCTCAGAGGATAACCTAATTCGTGATGATAACAAAATGATATTAATATTTAAATAGTATAACTGGGCTGCTATATTCTTCAAATATATTCTAATATTTTAAATGCATAGTTGCACGGTTATACTTTTAAAATATTAGAACATATCTCACGATTATGGCCATGCGGCTGTACTTTTAAAATATGTTAATATTTAACAAGTATAGCCCCGTGACTATACTGTTAAAATATTCATATATATATATATATATTTAAAGTGTATGGCCACCCGTATATACTCGTTAAATATATTCTAATATTTTAAAAGTATATCCCAAGATGGTTTTCTTTTTGTAATTAAGTAATATCTTAGCCTTTATAATTACTTTAATTAGTAATTATGTTTATTTCTTTAGTGAATAATTAGTATTTAAATATTTTACTAATTTCATAAATTACATAATAAATAGTAATGAATTGTTTTAGATTATTTTGTGAACTTTGTTTTTTATTTTGTTTTATACAAAATTAGTTTTATTTTTAGCCTTTTATACCATTTTCATATAGCACATGTCGTCACTTACCTTCACCAATTGGATTGACCCCGAGGTTTAGACCCTTTTAGTTAATTCCTTTAGCAATCCGTACAACAAAATCCAACAAGATGCATTTTTCGCTAACTTACCAAAAGAGAATACATTAATTTTTCTCTATATTAAATTTCTTATTGTTACAATGGGATGAAATCAAACTTTTGATCTAACACATGTCACCACTTACCTTCACCACTTGGTTTGACCCCGAGGTTTAGATTTTGACCTTTTTAGCTAATTCCTTTAGCAATCCATACGACACAATCCAACAATATGCATTTTTTGCTTACTTACCAAAAGAGAAAACATGAATTTTTCTCTATATTAAATTTCTTATTGTTACAACGGGAGGAAATCAAACTTTTGATCTAACACATGTCACCACTTACCTTCACCACTTGGTTTGACCCCGAGGTTTAGATTTTTGACCTTTTTAGGTAATCCCTTTAGCAATCCATACGACACAATCCAACAAGATGCATTTTTTGCTTACTTACCAAAAGAGAAAACATGAATTTTTCTCTATATTAAATTTCTTGCCATGGGAGGAAATCAAACTCTTATATGAATCATAACTCTTTTAGAAATTCATAAAACACAATCCAACAAAATGTATTTTTTCGCTTACTCATCAAAAGAGACAAAATACATTTTCTATGTATTTTAGATTTCTTACCTTTTCTTTTCGCTATTCCATAAGGGAGTCGAGCCCTTTGCCTAATCAAATTCTAACCCATTTCCCAACCTACCCTCTCCACTTTACCTAATTTCTTAGCTTTTTAACTAATTGCTACACCTATATAAATCACGTATCATTACAGGAACTTCAAGTACTTGAGCGCAACAGTCAATTTCCTATATATTATATACGTATCTTATACATTCCTGCTATCTAATTGCTAACTCAAAAAGACATGGACAAGTCTTCATCAAAATTGGCTCTTCTGGTTGTGCTCATGGTCATTGCATCTGGTAAAATCTCTCATTCTCGTTTCGCCATGCTTGGTGTTTAAAATTAAGTTAAATTTGTATAACTCCCAAGATTCAATATTAACTAATATCACAATATTCTACTCATTATATAAGTAAATCAATAATTAATTGTTGGCAGGTTTGGAGTTATGTGCTGAAGCAAGAAACATCGCAGTCATAGAGCCTGATTGCCTCTATGATCCAGAATGTGCGAATTTTTGTTGTGCTAACCAGAAAGTAGAGGCGCATCACACCATTCCTCCTCCCCTTTCTCCCATGGCCGTGAACTGAAGTTAATTAATTTCAGGCACACATGACATGGTGTTATTGCCTTGTTTGTTCAATAAAATTGTAAACCATAGTTTACAGAGATGATGAAGAACTAATAAAAATATAGCTTCTATATTTCTCTTATTAATTTATTTTTTTATGATACGAGCGATATCTGGGATGGGGAGATTGAACCTAAGGTATAACGGTAAATGCTCTTAACCACTTAAGCAACAAACCCCTTTCATTAATTTATTTATTTTTAGTACAAACAATAATTGGGAATTACTTGAAATTTATCTTAGTAATTCCTTTTAATATTTGATTAAAACTCATCAGGCACTTTGAAACATGAATCAATCGGGTTGATTACACATGTAACAATAAGCATTAGGGCCTTTGTGTAAAAGTGAAAGTGAAAATAGGCAAAGACTTTGGGCCTCTCCCGTTTGTGACTTTTATAAGGGCTTAAGCTCAGCCCAATTATGGGTGACAAACCCCACAAACAAAAATATATACCAATCCGTTCCAAATGAGACAGGTGTAAATAATTTGGGTATTGTAATGCGTTTGATGCTTTCTTACCCAGACAAAAAAAAATACTTTTTTTTCTTGCTCAACATAGAAAAATATGCCTTTTTCACTGTATTAAATTTGTTACCCTATTTAGTTAATTGTTTCACCTATATAAATACATACGATGTGGGATTCAAAGCAAGTGCTTGAGTGCAACAAACAACAAACGCCATTACCAACATTATACATTTATGCCTTGCTATCTAATTGCTGACTGAAAAATACATGGAGAAGTTTGTATAAAAAATGGATTTTTGGTTACACTCTTGGTTATTGCATATGGTAAGATATCTCGTCCTCATTATTTACTTTGGCAATAATAATACTACATATATCGGTTAAATTTTGGCTTCAACTCTCGAGTGTTAGGTACCCTAAGTTCGACCAAAACTCAAAAGTTAGAACCCAAAATATGGCCTCTATCAAAATATTATGTATTCTAAATTAGCAACAATCTCATGCAAATGAATCGAAACTAGCAAAAATATCATGAAAATACATTAAGAATAAGTTGGTAAGTTTATAACTAAAATGGGAAACTCAAATGTGTTGGCATGGTAGGTTTGGAGCTATATGCAGAAGCAATTGATGTGTTCATGTTTACGAAATGCATTTGGTCAGTCAAGCATTGAAAAACGTGCTTAGGATTCTGAAATTCATGAGGTTGAATTTGAACTAAGTGATTTGTTATTGACTTTCTTTTTCAACTATGCCTCTTAGAGGATAACCTAATTCGTGATGATAACAAAATGATATTAATATTTAAAGAGTATAGCCGGGCTGTTATATTCTTTAAATATATTCTAATATTTTAAATGTATAGCCGCACGGTTATACTTTTAAAATATTAAAATATATTTAACAATTATGGCTGTGCAACTGTACTTTTAAAATATGTTGATACTTAACAAGTGTAGCCTCGTGACTATACTGTAAAAATATTCATATATATATATTTAAAGAGTATAGCTACGCGGATATACTCGTTAAATATATTCTAATATTTTAAAAGTATATCCCAAAATGGTTTTGTTTTTTGTAATTAAGTAATATCTTAGCCTTTTATAATTACTTTAATTAGTAATTATGTTTATTTCTTTAGTGAATAATTCGTATTTAAATATTTTACTAATTTATAAATACATAATAAATAGTAATGAATTGTTTTAGATTATTTTGTGAACTTTGTTTTTTATTTGTTTTATACAAAATTAGTTTTTTTTTAGCCTTTTATACCATTTTCATATAGCACATGTCGTCACTTACCTTCACCAATTGGTTTGACCCCGAGGTTTAGACCCTTTTAGTTAATTCCTTAGCAATCTATACAACAAAATCCAACGAGATGCATTTTTCACTAACTTACCAAAAGAGAAAACATGAATTTTTCTCTATATTAAATTTCTTATTGTTACAATGGGAGGAAATCAAACTTTTGATCTAACACATGTCACCACTTACCTTCACCACTTGGTTTGACCCCGAGGTTTAGATTTTTGACCTTTTTAGCTAATTCCTTTAGCAATCCATACGACACAATCCAACAAGATGCATTTTTTGCTTACTTACCAAAAGAGAAAACATGAATTTTTCTCTAAATTAAATTTCTTATTGTTACAATGGGAGGAAATCAAACTTTTGATCTAACACATGTCACCACTTACCTTCACCACTTGGTTTGACCCTGAGGTTTAGATTTTTGACCTTTTTAGTAAATTCCTTTAGCAATCCATACTACACAATCCAACAAGATGCATTTTTTGCTTACTTACCAAAAGAGAAAACATGAATTTTTCTCTATATTAAATTTCTTATTGTTACAATGGGAGGAAATCAAACTCTTATATGAATCATAACTCTTTTAGAAATTCATAAAACACAATCCAACAAAATGTATTTTTTCGCTTACTCATCAAAAGAGACAAGATACATTTTCTATGTATTTTAGATTTCTTACCTTCTTCTTTTCGCTATTCCATAAGGGAGTCGAGCCCTTTGCCTAATCAAATTCTAACCCATTTCCCAACCTACCCTCTCCACTTTACCTAATTTCTTAGCTTTTTAACTAATTGCTACACCTATATAAATCTCGTATCATTACAGGAACTTCAAGTACTTGAGCGCGGCAGTCAATTTCCTATATATTATATACGTATCTTATACATTCCTGCTATCTAATTGCTAACTCAAAAAGACATGGACAAGTCTTCATCAAAATTGGCTCTTCTGGTTGTGCTCATGGTCATTGCATCTGGTAAAATCTCTCATTCTCGTTTCACAATGCTTGGTGTTTAAAATTAAGTTAAATTTGGATAACTCCCAAGATTCAATATCGACTAATATCACAATATTCTACTCATTATATAAGTAAATCAATAATTAATTGTTGGCAGGTTTGGAGTTATGTGCTGAAGCAAGAAACATCGCAGTCATAGAGCCTGATTGCCTCTATGATCCAGAATGTGCGAATTTTTGTTGTGCTAACCAGAAAGTAGAGGCGCATCACACCATTCCTCCTCCCCTTTCTCCCATGTCCGTGAACTGAAGTTAATTAATTTCAGGCACACATGACATGGTGTTGTTGCCTTGTTTGCTCAATAAAATTGTAAACCATAGTTTACAGAGATGATGAAGAATTAATAAAAATATAGCTGCTATATTTCTCTTATTAATTTATTTTTTATGATACAAGCAATATCCGGGATGAGGAGATTTAACCTAAGGTATAACGGTAAATGCCCGTAAACTCATATTTGATAGCAAGCCACTGTAAAAGTTTTTTGGTTTTATTTTTATTTTTCTAATAAGCCGTAAACTCATCCCCCATCTGTACGCCCTTGGATTTGCTGATCGCTTGTTTTCATCATTAATGTCCCGGAGCGACTTTCTTTTCACTACCAGTGAAAATTGGTCTTCATTCTTGTTATCGTAGGATCGAAGCCTCCGACGATTGCCACAAGCTGATGTTGAAGAAGATAGTGAAGACATCGTCGCTTTGCTGCTACTAGATCTCATCTTGAATCTGGATTTGGCTGGCGAATTATCGCTTTGCTTCTTCTTGCTCCTAGATCCTAACTATTATTATGATTCCAAGCTGATCCGGACACGTATCAGCTTTGGCTTCGCTCACTTAAAGCCTCACTGGAGCTGCTGTACACGCACGACGATTTTGTGGTGTCAAATCCAAACGACTCCGTTGCCGAAAATCTAAAAATCGTCTTTTAGGTTGATTGGGGCTTTTGAGCGACTTCTCTAAACAAACTAATTAGACAATTCGAATTGATTGAACAAGAAGAAAATTCAAATCAGATTAATCCGAGGGTTTAGGATCCAGATTAATTTAGCAAGTTGTTGAATTCACATGAATTCAGCCAAACAACAAAGTGAGGATGCAATAAAGTGAAATGAGGGGAGCGACGATTTGTGCAAATTAGTTTTCTTCTGTTTGTTGGGTTTTTCCACCCCAGTTCACCCCAAAAAATAAAGAGTGCTACTAAACGAACACTAAATTAACCAAGTTCATCAATGGTGTACTCAATTAATTTTAAGTTCATTTAGCATTGCTCAAATAAAAAACTAAATGGGAACGACAAAATAAGAAAGTGGAATATAGAGATGAGACAAACGGCATTAAAGTCTCAATTGTGGGGAAAAAAAGTTCTAATTATGATGTGGGTTGTTTTTAAACATTAGATTATTTAGAGGGCTAAGATGTTCCGAAACGCACTTAAATGTACGTAATATAAATGAAGAGGCTCAAGATCTAGGGGGAATCGAACCTAAGGTGCAACGGTAAATGCTCTTAATCACTTGAGCTACAAACCCCATGCATTAAATTATTTATTTTTAATACAAACAATAATTTGAATTACCTAAAATTAATTTTAGTAATTCGTTTGAATCTATGATTCCAAAACTAAAACTAAAACTCATGAGGCACTTTGAAACATGAATCAATCGGGAGCTATTACCAACATTTGAGTCCTTGAGTGCAAACTACAAGCGCCATTACCAACATTATACATTCCTGCCTTGCTATCTCATTGCTAACTAAAAAAGACATGGACAAGTTTGCATAAAAATGGCTTTTTTGGCTGCACATTTGGTTCTTGCATCTGGTAAGATATCTCATCCTCATTTTTTACTTTGGGATAATAATACCAAGGATTGAAATATCGGCCGATACACCGATATATCTGCCGATATGTCGGTATTTTCAACTATCGACACCGATACTGGGGGGGTAAGGCCATATCTTCCCATGTATCGACGATATATCCCCGATAAGTGCGATATCCCCGATATTTTGTCAATATCCCCGATATTTCCCGATACCCATAACATAACCCAAAAAAAATTCAAAATTTTTCAAGGCAATTGAAGCAAATTGAAACCCAAAAATAGCTAATTCTTGCCCAAAACCCTATAATTTATTAATATGAAGAATCTATACACAGTCCGCTGCCTACATACCTCCAATCCATCTGAAGAGGACATGGCGATCAGTTTTGGATCTATGAGCATAGGAACTAAACCTAGTACTAACTCAAATGAATCTTATGAAGACTATGGTTGTCATGTCTGATTATAGTGGAACTCGTTATGGAGCTCAAGATGATAAAACAGATTATGGACCTACTAGTTGGTTAATCCTAACTATCTCATATATGGGAGGACAATAGGGAGCTCAAGAGAGACCTATGCGCACCATGTTCAAACATGGCTTACAAATTGCTCGGGTTACATGACTTGGTATGACTATTGTATGAATCTAGATGGTTGTTCCTCATTATTTGAACCTCATAGGAGCTCTTCATTTATGTAGATTGACACTTATCTAAATTGTAATCCAATGTTTAAACAAACTATGGATTTATGCATGGTTTATTCATTCTAATTAACATTTTATTTTCAAACTTTTCATTAACGCGCATTACATACCACTTATATTTCATCATATGTATATCTTATTATTAGTAAATTTTGAGTTTTATTTGTTCAATACATTCATTGATAATGTACATAACATCTATGAAAGTTTTACACCAAAATGATATGTTTCAATGCCTATATTTGTCATTTTTGTTGATTTTTTCCCGATACCTAAAACGATAACGATATATCCCCCGAAATATCCGTAAATTGGAGGCCCGATATTATCTGCATGGCCGATATTTTAATCCTTGAATAATACTACATATCTCGGTTAAATTTAGGCTTCAATTCTAGAGTGTTAGGTACCCTAAGTCCGACCAAAACTCGAAAGTTAAAACCCAAAATATGGCCTTTATTAAAACATTATGTTTTCTAAATTAGCAACTATGTCATGCAAATGGATCGAAACTAGGAAAAGTATCATGAAAATGCATTAAGAATAAGTTGGTAAGTTTATAACTAAAATGGGAACTCAAATGTGTTGGCATGGCAGGTCTGGAGCTATATGCTGAAGCAAGGGTGCCTGTACAAAATCTTTCCTGCCGCAATGCTGAAGATGCTACTCGTATTGACCTATATGCGTTTATTGCACTTGCGTTATGAAGCAGTGTCACTGCTGCTACAGACAATGATGCCAACTTCCTACCATGGCCATGAGCTGAGCTCTAATTTCAGGGACACATGACAGAACATGTTGATGATGTTGAACTTGTTGCCTAGTTTGTTTAGTAAAATTGTAGGTCACAATTTACAGAGATGATGAATAATAATTAATACAAATATGGCTGCTATATTTCTCTTACTAATTCTTTTAATCTATGATTCCGAAAGATAAACCAAAACTCATGAGGCACTTTGAAACATGAATCAATTAAACCATTTCTCACATGGGATATGATATTTACATTTTTGGTCTGTTGAGTTGCATTTGTAAATACAAACCATTGAAGCTCCTTGAAGATCTCTCTGCATCATCAGTGTGTGATAAAAGAGATAATGGACGGTCAGGGATGGAGGGAATTGGAATAGTATTTTCTAGTATTTTCACAATTTGGTCCATTGTTGGCCTGACATATGCTACTGGATGAGAAGCAAGCACAGCAACCAAAACATATCTCTCCATTGCTTCTGGTAGGCCTAACTCAGGCATGCCTTCATCAAAGACATCAAAAGCTCTGCCCTCCCTCACTTGTGACCATGCCCAATCTGCCAATAACAAAGGCCTGTTCTCGTCAGTGAATTCAATAACTGCTTTCTTCCCACTCAAAATCTCCAGTAGCACAACCCCGAAACTGTACACGTCAATTTTTGAGATATTTGGCCATACAAAGCATACTCAGGAGCCACATAACCAAGTGTCCCAGCCACCCTTGTGCTCACATGTGTCTGTCCTTCTGGTGTGAACTTTGCAAGGCCAAAGTCAGCCAGTTTTGCCTCAAATGTTTCATCCAGAAGTACATTGCTTGCTTTAATGTCTCTATGAATGATAGCAGGCTGCACTCCATGGTGTAAATAAGCCAATCCGCGAGCCATTCCAAGCGCAATCTTTTGGCGAATCGACCAACTAAGCTTCTTGAATTCTGGTTGAAAAAGATGGTCGTAGAGGCTTCCGTTTTGCATCAAATCACAAGCTAGTATTCTCTGGTGGCCTTCTCTAGGCAATGTTGAAATACAATAGCCTCTCAGAGCCACAAGATTCACATGCCTTACACTGGCAATAACCTCCACTTCATGTGCAAAAAGTTGGTCTCCAACAGCAGAGCAGTTCTTGAACCTTTTCAATGCAACTTCTGACCCATCTTCTAATATCCCCTTATAAACATTCCCAAATCCTCCCATACCAATTATGTTCTCCCTTGAGAAATTCCCTGTAGCCTTTCGAATTTCCTCGAAGCTGAGCTTTAATGAAGAAGAATTTCTACCACAGGATTCCAGCTCCACACTTGAAAATGGTTCGATTTGAACCAAATTCTCCTTTTTCGTCCTCTTCCATTTCTTGTGCCATATCCAAAGAAACCAAAGCACTATAACTGCCCCAACAAAGCCATGGAAACAACCCGTCATGATCCCCCACATCACTGCATTGGAGTTTTTAGGCTTTTTCCTAGATGGAGAGAAATCAAGCAGAAATAAACACTTGGCAGTCCCTATATCAGTTGGTCCAAACCTGTTAGCAAAAGCTGCAGCATATATAAATGGGTACCCGTTGGGGTCCGAAACATTCCCATCATTAGGGGTTTTGAAATAAGAGGCACGAACAGTCGACAAGCGTTCCACGCAGGAATTACAAGCAGAATTATTCTTCAAAGACTGATCACAAGAACCCTTCATTTGCTGCAACTCCTGTGCTGAAACCAAGCTCTCAAAATCAGACTTTGTTGTGATGTTCATATAAGTCTGTGAAATGAAACTGGACTTCAAGCCACAGGTGGATTTGATGTCAAACCCTGGTATGAATTCATTGACTAGATTCTCATATGAATCCCAGCAGACATCCAAGACATTAGGAGACAGTGAAAACAATCCACTGGTTCGAAGATATTCTGATCGAATCAGACGCATTCCTTGCAGCATGTACTGACATTCAGTTGCAATATCCTGCTTGGGGAATGGTAGAGAGTTCTCCCTGATGAGTTTTTGGAGAGCATTGATATTCAATGGACATGAAACATTACCCAGTTTTCTATGTGAGGTTTCATGGCTACCGGCTATAGAATTGGTGAAGCCTAAAACCAATCCAAGGAGGAAATGAAAAAGAGGCATATGATAGCTCATTAAGGTTTTCATGAGATTTGCAGAAATGGGGATGGCCCTTTTGGTTTTTTGGAAGGGAAATGGGAAGTTTGACTTCAGTCATTGGGAGCTCACAAATCGTTAAAGTCTTGAAAGTTAAATTGGATTTTGGCAGTTATTGTTGGAGGGAAACAATTTAAAATCACTTGTGGATGTGATCCTAACTTCTAACTGACTTTTAAATATGGGGTCTTGTTAGCGATTCCTTACTTAGTTAGGATTTTGGTTCCTCATTATGCTAGGATTTTTGGTTACTTACCTATATTTCTAGTCCTATTATAATTGAGATTTATTTCTTATTGTAATTTAGATTTATTTCCCATTTTATTTAAGGTTATACTTCCTTATAACTAAATCCATATTGAAGAAGAATATCTGAGCATATCTGAAAATTTGCCCTACTTTGTTTGACTTGGTATCAAAACCAGGTTCCTGGGTGTCTATTTGCTACTTTTTTACAAACCCTATTTTTTCCTTCGTGAGCCCAATCACAGCTCACCGCTTATCCTTAATTTTTTATCTTCTTCCAAATCTTGATCCTCTGCGAGCCTCGGATTTGTGGGGGAGATAGACACAATGTGCTTGCGACGTAGGTTTTCTTGTGACATGTGCTTGCATTCTCCTTGCAATTTAAGTGCTCTCCTCCCCTCCACTTCTTGGCTCCAACAACCCATTCTCTTAAGGGGGAGAGGGAGAATGAAGAGAAGTTTCCGCTAAATTAGAAGGAATTCTCCTTTGTCATTCTTTTGTCATTGTCGATGTTGTTGCTGTGTTTCGATCCATCTCTACAACATTAAAAACCCTAACCCTAAACACTACCTATTTCTTATGCAGATAAAGAGCCATTAAAGTTTATGGGGCATTTGAATAAAAAGCATTAATAAGTTCAATGCATGAACTTTTTGTTTTGGCTTCTAATAAATTCCATATAATTGGAATGGAACAGCTAGAGTCGTAATTATTTGGATGGGGCTTAATGTATCTGAATTAATGGGTTAATTAATTTAGGTGCTAGTTCAATGTATGCAATGAGAGATTAAGTCTGTAAATACTTGTATGCTCATATTTCTCCAAGGGTGGTTGTTGATAATTGAAATTGAAAACAAAGAGAGTGTTCTCTCATCTTTGCTCATAATCTGGGCTTGGTGGTTCGTGGTTCATGTTTTCCAACATCCTTGCTCGAGTGCCGCTGCATCAATTGGTATTAGAGCTTGGCTACGCTCTTGGGCTGTTTCCATTCTAATGGCTCTTTATCTGCATCATGCACTATATACCTATCCTATAATCCTAGCCCATCGTCGTCCCCTACCTTGCCACTGTTGTCACCGCATATCTTGCTACTACCGCCACTACCGCCATCCCGCCCCATCCATTACCATGCCAAATGTTGATGCCTTTATTTCTTCACCTGCTTCTGGTTCTACTTCACCTACTGCTTCTCCTCCCCCTATTATGACTGTTCATATTGAATCTTCCACCAACCTACTCTTGGGATTCAAATTGAATGGAAGGGTTTCTGTGTTCTGCCATGCTCATAGGGTTTCTATGTTTTGCCTTACCTACTGTCGTGCTCATAAGGTTTATGTGTTCTGCTATGTGCCCTATTTGTTAGGGTTTGCTCTTGTGTTTCTGCTGCGAACTTTGATTTGGTTTGTCAATTGTTTCACTCATGGTTTACGACAAGACCCTCTCTATAGTTGTTCGATTTGGTTAATGTTGAGTATAGTGTTCTATGACTTGCTTCTCAAGTTGGGCATGCAAAACATCTTTGCGCCAACTTGAGGAGGAGTTTTAGCAAGTCCTTAGAAGGATTTTGGTTTCTTACTATGTTAGGATTTTTGGTTACTTACCTATTTGTCTAGTCCTATTCTAATTGAGATTTATTTCCTATTGTAATTTAGATTTATTTCCAATTTCATTTAGGATTGTACTTTCTTATAAATACCTCCATATTGGAGAAGAGTATCTGAGCATATCTGAAAATTTGCTCTACTTTGTTTGACCGGTCTTGGGTATGTGTAGTACACCTATAAGCGCATTTCCTATGTGAAGTTGCCTTGTGATCAAAATGAATATATATTTTTTTAATCAAAATGAATATTTTAGACGTTAGAACTTATAATCATGAAAACCAAAGAATTAGTCTAACAGGAAAAACAAAAGAAGAGTTGCCAAAAGAGACCTGGCATGTTTGTCTTCGTTTTTATGGTAGATCACCACATGATGCATCAATATTATATACCTTATGTAGGCCTTAATTATTAGATTCTTCCTATGTTCCTTGGTTGGATTAGAATGTAGTCATGTCCTATTCTAATTAACATCTTCCAATTGTCCTATCCAATGGAATAAGTACTATGCAATCAAGCTGACAAAAATATGATCTGTTTCTTTGAAAACTCTACCATCTGTTTAAAAATATGGGAAGATTATGGAGCTTAAATCGACCGGCAACGAAGAATCTAATCGAGAAGCAAGATGAAATTATTAAATACTAGGTCAGCATTGAAAGTATCATTTTAGTATTTAGTATAATTACAGTCTATGTTCAGTTAAGTTTCCATTTGAAACGATCAAGTCAACACATATGTGTTACACCACCAGTGTACTTTCTTTACTTATAAAATACACCAGTATGCATATGACCAGTTTGTCCATGCTCAAAGTCAAGAAGTTACATGGGTAAGTTTCAGCACAAGAACTTCTCAGTTTAAGTGATGATGACAGAACAATCTCAATAATAGTAACACATAATCAGAAAAGATTCTGTAGCCAGAGCAAACCAGTGTCAGGTTCAGCAATTGTTAATTACCAAAATTTGAGCTGAATGGCTCCATGAATCAAAGAATTTTACACCTTCAGTAAAAAATGTCTTTCTCTATAATGATTCAAAAGAATTGGAACACTATCTTTACATGTGTTTTTGTGAACTTCCCACTTTCTCCAAATCACTTAGAATGGGATGGTCACTCTCATAGCTACATGGTTGCTGGCCCTCAGGGCTTGAAATGTAACTTGAGCCACTAAAGCTAGCTGGCTGATCTATTTTAACCATTTCATAAACAAGAGGGCAATCTGGGATTGAGGGAAGTGGAAAATCTGATTCCAACATCTTCACAACTTGGTCCATTGTTGGCCTTGCATATGCTACTGGATGAGAGCAAAGAGCTGCAACTAAAACATGCCTTTCCATAACTTCTGCAAAGCCCAATTCAGGCATGTTTTCATCTACAACATCTAATGGATTGCCTTCCCTCACTTGGGACCAAGCCCAATCTGCCAACAACAAAGTTCCGGTGCCATCAGCTTCTACAACTGCTTTTTTCCCACTCAGAAGCTCAAGAAGTACTACCCCAAAACTGTAGACATCACTTCTTTCTGATAATTGCCCATACATGGCATATTCAGGTGCAACATATCCTAGTGTCCCAGCTACCCTTGTGCTCAAATGTGTAAATCCTTCTGGTGTGAACTTTGCAAAGCCAAAATCAGCCAGTTTTGGCTCAAATGTTTGATCTAGAAGTATGTTACTAGCTTTAACATCTCTGTGGATGATGGCAGGCTCTACACCGTAATGCAAATAAGCCAATCCGCGGGCAATTCCACTAGCAATCTTTTTTCGAATTGGCCAACTGAGTTTCTTCATCCTTGAATCAAAAAGATGATCATAGAGACTTCCGTTGTGCACCAATTCACACACAATTATCCTCTGGTGGCCTTGCAAAGGCACTGCCACAGTACAATAGCCTCTCACAGTAACAAGATTCACATGCCTAATGCTTGCAATAACCTCCACCTCATGTGCAAAAGCTTCATCCCCACCAGCAGAGAAGTTCTTGAACCTTTTCAAAGCTACTTCAGACCCATCAGCTAATATTCCCTTATAGACATTCCCATAGCCTCCCATCCCAATTATGTTCTCCCTTGAGAAATTCTTGGTAGCCTTTTTGATTTCCTCGAATGGGAACTTAACCAAACTGGTATTTTCACCAACAATCTCCATGGCTGAAGCAAAACCCATCTCGGTTAACTCCATGTTTCTCTTCCTTCCCCTGTGCTTCTTGTGCCTTCTCCAAAGAACCCAAACCACCAAAACTGCCACAAAGAACCCACTAACACATCCTACCAACACCGCCCAATGCATTACCTTGGTATGCTTGATCCTTTTAGTATTTACATTAAAGGCATTGAAATCTAGTGAAAACAAACACTTGACTGTGCCCAAGTTTGTAGGCCCATACCTGCTAGCAAAAGCTGCAGCATACATAAATGGATAGCTATTGCAATCTGATTCATTCCCATCCACAGGCCTACCAAAGTTAGAAGCACTCACACGCCACAACCTCTGCTTACATGAATCACAAGTTGAATTATTCTCCAAAGACTGATTGCAAGAGTCCTGAATTCCCTGCAGCTCAGATTGAGAAATCAGGCTTTCAAACTGTGACCGGGTTGTGATATTCATGCAACTCCCTGTCATCAAACTGGCCTTAAATCCACAAGTGGATTGAACCCCGAACCCGGGTAATGACTCATTGCTCAAACTTTCATAGGCATGCCAACATGCCTCGGAGGCATTGGAAGGCGGGGAAAAGTAGCCGGTGGTTCGGAGATATTCTGATCGAAGTAACAGGATTCCTTCAAGCATGAACTGGCACTCTGTCTGGACGTCAAGAAACAAGATGGGTTGATCACCTTCACGGATTATTTTACGGAAAGCATCAATGTCCAATGGACATGGAGCATTGCTCAATTTTCTATGTGGGATTTCATGGCTGCTGGCAACGCAGGAGCCAAAACTGGTGAAGCTTAAGCACAACCCAAGATAGAGGAAGAAGAAGAGAGGCATTTGAAGCTAAGTTTTTCATCAAAAATTTGAAACTGATGGTCAATTCAATTGAATGTGTTTGCTTTTCAATGAAAACTTTTGCTTGAATAATCTCAGAAGTCAAATGAATTATATGGTAAGCTTGCAATTCTCTTCCATTTCTATATACGAGGTTTGACAGTAAGACTTGGAGGGAACCAACATGGAAGTAGACATAACCGATTTTTAAAAGTGGGAGCCTTGGATGTGTTTGCTCACACCTATAAGTACTCTAAGCTTGAGAGGAGTATTTTGATCACAGGATTGTAGACCGTCGGATTTTGCTACAATTGTGACATTTTTGACAGGAGTTCAAGCAGTTGCTTGATAATAATTTGTGAAGCTCTCTTATGATTTCCGTGGTGGTGTTTGACCTTGTCAACTTTTGAGAGTGGCGTAGAAGCTGCTTCAATCATGCAATCAACATTCAATATAAGTCTTCTTTTATGACGCTAATCTTGGCTAAAATGCAAATGCTCTCCTTTGGAGTTTAGCAAACATTTTTACAGGTCGGTATATGAAGCTCTAGTCAAACCATTTTGGGCCTTGAAGATATTGGGTTAAGTTAGTTAAAGCGGGTTGCTCGCTCCTTTACACTCAAGTTCAAAATTTGATCTTTTGCCATGAGTGACGTAAAATTTGTTCTGTGGACTTCTTTTGGGCATGGACTTTTTTTTTCATCTTGTTCAAGAAGCCCTTTGTTTTTTTTAAAAAAATCTTTTTATCTTTGGCAATTAAGAAGCCCATCACTATCCGGACCTTTCTCCCTCCCGTTATGTTGTGGAGAGGTTTTCCCTCCCAACTTTTGTTGGGTTTTGTCTGCTCCTTACTGTTGCAAGGGTTTGTTTCTTCCCTCTTTTCTTGAGGGTCTGGTTCCCAATCTTTTGGGGCTGTTTTTTGGCTGATCTTGCTAGATCTGCTACTTGTGTGGTAGATCTAGTGTCGATCTTTCTATTTTGGAGGTGGAGCTGCTGATTTTGGTGGATCTACTTTGTTGTGCTTGTGGATCAAGGGGGATTAGGAGATCCTGTGATATTCTTTGGAATATCCTGGTGGAAGTTGAGCGGTATTGCCCTCCATTCTTGGGGTATTTTCTGTCCCACGAAGTATGAGAATTTGTTCTCTATCTTGATCTCTCAAGCACTGGTTGCTGCAAAAATAGGATCATCATCATCTATAACTCCTTGCTAGATGGGCTTAAAGTTGTACATTTGTTTTCTAACTATCTTGTAATACTTGAGCTTAGTTGGTGGTGTTGTTAAATTTTGTATTGCAAGAACCTCCTTCCAGGGCTGTGTTCTTATTGTTGTAATCTGGGTTTATGCCCTGTTTCTTCAATTGAAGTGCTACTGTTTCCAACCCAAAAAAAAAAAAAAAAAAAAAAAAAAAAAAAACACCTCATTCAATTGAATCTTTTGTCTTGTTTTCATTTTACTTTTATTTTGCATATTTTGTCAGAAAATAGGAAAGCCCTTACACCTATCGTCCACTTGATGTGCTTGATTATGACCATGAAATCAAGCAAAAACAAATTTAATGTCTCTAGCTTGGATGTCCACATCTTCATGGTCAAAAGTAAAAGTTACAATTCATGCATAGAGCCATGATGACTGAGACAGTGCACATGTTAACACAGGGTCCATCTGATTTTGATTTCACAACTCAAACAGAAACAGATCTGCCTAACTTGTATAACCCAATAGACCATACTCTCTGTAAACGTTACTCTGTCAGTTCTCTTTCATGAATTATTATCTAGTAACATATGATTGTACGTTGATATTAAATGATCGTCTCATCAGTCATATATGGATGTACAAATTCATCTCACCTCTAACTAAAAATTCATGATGACCATCCTTTGGATGATGCACATGAAATCCTACTCCTTTTTTTTTTCTTTTTTTTTATGTCGGCAAGTGTTGTACAAGTAATTTTTCATGTCATTGTTTTTCAGGTTTAACGTGGATGTTTTCTGGCAGAATTGTATTGACAAAAGTATGGAAAAAGGAAGCCTTTACACCAATCCACCACTTGATGTGCTTGATTTTGACCACCAAATCAAGCAACAACATATTTAATGTGTTTAGCTTGAATGTCCACATCTTCATAAACTCAGACAATGCACATGTTAACACATCAACCGGCATATCAGGCTCCATCTCTGAATTTGATTTCACAAGTCAAACACAATACACACCTAATTAATAACAATACGCCAATCATTTCTCACACAAGAAATAAAAAGTGCATGCTTATGTAAGTGGTTAAAATAAGCTTGTAGATTGCCAGAGAAGGAGTGTCATTGCAAATTATAATATTTCGTGTAGTGTAGGTCACGAAGGTGTATTTTATTATAATGTATCATTTTTTATTGATGCTATCCCCCTTTGTAATGGGTTAATTACTTTATGTTGGGACCGTACTGGGTTGTCTTGCGATGGGACAGAACAACATTCTTCTATAATCTACATGTGTGGGTCTCCCTCACATTGGGGATGACGTCGGGTCAGTGTTGTTTACCAATCCATGCATAGGTTTGCGTTCTATACCCTTGTGTTTTTATCTATGTACTCCCTTTCTCCTTTATGTTTTTGCCTAATCAAACTTTCATGATATAATGCGATTTTTACTATAATAAGGTCTATCTAAAATAATCCTTGTGACTCATAGATGAAGATGATCATATATTTTTGAGCTTCATCGTGAGTATTTTCATTACCCAAATAAATAATATTGGGTTGCAACTTATGCTCAAGTTACCAATGAGCTATTTCCTTTTATTTCAAAGAGGTCAATTCCGCTAAATTTATGCTTGGAAGTACTTCATAATAGTAGATATATATTTTTTGTTAATAAGGAAATGAAATTCATAAGTTCAATTGAAGCATTTTAAAATATTGAAATTAAAGTGACTACTTTTGGATAAAGAAATCCGTCCAAAGTTAATGGTAAAGTTATTCAACACGAGTCAAGCGTACATGTAATGGTGGAATTATTCGCGCTCTATCTGAGGACTCTTCCATCTAGCGGAACACTTTTTTAGATACTATTTGTACTTTCTGAATCCCAACATAAATGAAGAAACGCATAAAGAGCTCGTGAATATGCTTTCTCGGAAATAATTATTGAAAGTTAAATTTGGTTGGCATAATAACTTTTGCCCAATGATGCAACATCTACTTTTAGTAAAATGTGGCCTCGAGCATCCACAATGATGCTCTCTATTTCTTAGCTAAAATTTAGCTAAAAATATAAGAAAGCTATTTTATGAGCTCTCTAAAAAAATTCAACTTCAATCATACTCCTTAATTTAGAGAGTCATAAATGCTATAACTTTTTTTTGATTGGTCTATCTCTATTATAAAATAATAATAAAATTAGTTAGCATTAAATAAAGGTTTGAAATACTCATTAAATAAAGCAGTATTAAATTATAGGGAGCCACTAGGAGTTCTTTCTTTCTCTTCAGACTTAGGAGCACCTAGAGGACTCCATATTTTAGGAGGTGGATAGGGAGCATGGTTGGAGTTATATTTTTACAATTCCTCCCTAAAATTTGTCTAAGGAGGTGGTTTAGGGAGCCCATTGTGGATGCTCTTATGTAGTTTATTGCACATTTTAAAATTCTTCCCCTCACATTATGTATAAAAAAGAAACTTGTTCCCTTACATCTATATAATGTTACACAATACCAACAAAAAAAAAAAGTATTTCTATGGAATGAAATAAAAAGAAATGCATGGATTTCAAATATTTTAGTGCACTTAATCATTTCAAAATCCTAACATTTTTATTTGTATTAATAAAAAATAAATTTTCTTAATCTTTTTTTTTTTTTTTTTTTTTTTTTTTTTTTTTTTTTTTCTTCTCACAAAATGAAACCTCAATATCAACCCAAGTAGATTGCACATATTCCGAAGGGAAGATCAAAAAATGGATCATCCTTCCTTATGGGAGGATTCTGTGGTAGATTACCCAGTTGAATTTTGAGCAAATATAATTACTTAAAAAACAAATTAAGAAGCCCAAGATTGAAAAGCTTGGCATTTTAACTGTGCCAACAAATCAGTGAGGATGTCTCACAAACCAAGGCCAACATATTAAATTTGTGGAAAGACCCAAGAATTTAATCAAACCACGACCAACGTCCACTCTCTCTCTCTCTCTCTCTCTCTCTCTGAAACTTTCTCTCACTCGGTTTAAGGTTGAGAGCAGAAGTCGCTGTCGAGCTTTGGACACTTGTCAGTAACCCAGTTCGACGCAGCAGCGACTCTTTCGGACCGATGTAAAAAATGCAACGAAAGCGAGAGAAAACAGTGTGAAAAAGGAAAGAGAAAGAGTAAACAAACTTAAGACAATAATGAATGCGAGGCTCTTCCATATTTAGTTTCTAGATTCCCTTCTCTTTTACTTATGGATAATAACAAGAAGATTTTGTAGCTTTAGAAAAATAAAATATTTTTGCCTTTAAAAGAGAGATTAGCAGGGCCTCCTTGTTGAGAGTATTTTGTATTTTGCTTGGCCAGGCTAGTGGTTCTTGCTGGTTTATGACAGTGTTCATGGCGGATGGTGAAGAGCAGGGACCTTATTGTCTATGGTATGTGTGCTTTCTCCTTCATGTTCTCTCATTTGGGTATACCTTATACCTTCATGTTTTTAAAATTTTACCATTTTGTAATGTTTTATGTTGAGGTTCAGCTTGTGGGTCTTGTGGATTATGTATGCCAATGTAAAAGCTGTGGTCTTTTCTGCATAACTGAGATGATTTTTCTTTCTTTTGTTTATCCTTTTCTAAGCTTTTCTATTGGTTTTTTGGCTTGGGATCTTTTGGATTTTCAATGTCTGTGCAATGGCAAGAATGGCATAAAGCTCTTTCCTTTTTGGCACTTTGGCAAGTTTGCAGCATCATTCAGTATTAGGAACCCTTGGAAATTCTTGTATCTTTCCTGTCCTGTTTCAAGTGGTGGATGATATATTGATTTTGAGTCTGAAATTGAGGAAATAACTTTTAAGGGAATGTCTTGGCCTTTTTAATCCTTCACTAGAGCCGTGATGGCTGGCTTATATCTGCCCTTTCAGAGATGCAGATTCTGATTTTCACTTCCTTCATTTTTTGTGATTATAGATTCTTTGCCAACATTTTGATTTACTTCTATCCAGGGGGGCTGGAAAGGATCCTGAAAACTTAACGGTGAAGGCACCAGACGAGGTTTCTAAGGTGAAACAGAAAAGAAGAGGTGTTCTACGTCCTTGTGCTTCTGCCCAAGGCAACTTCCTTTCCTCTTTGTGTTTATCTGTTTCCATGTTCTAATTCTTCTGTCATAATGCTTGGTTTCTTCTCTGTAGATTTGAGATGTTTGGACATAGAAAAGGAGAAAGAAGATGCCCAAACTCCTAGAGGAGTTTTAGAAGTTTGCATAAGAAGCTTTGAATCTGAAACTAGTGTTTCTGAAAACAGCACAACAGAATCAGAAGCTCCTTGTCCAAATTCAAGTTCACGTTCTCACTGGCGCAAATTTTTTAAATTATGGAGTAAAAGATCAATTAAGCGCTTAGCCTCCTTCCCTCCTCTTGGTGTGCCAAAGATATCATCAAGAAGAAGGATCAGGAGTGCAAGAGAGAATCCAGGACTAGCTAATATATACAACTTCAAGTCTTCGCTGGTGACCTTTACCTTCTCTGACCTCCAAAGGGCGACCAATAATTTTAACAATGGTCAGTAATTTCGTCCACAAATTTAAACCCACTATCCAATATGATACTCATTTGTTTCACATTTATAGCAGAATTTACAAAACTGTAAATGCAAGACTACTGACTTGAATTTAATCCATATAGAAACTTCAAATGGAAGTCTTATTTTTCATCTTGATTATGAAATTTTCTTCGTGGTTCCTATTTCTTGCAGAAAATACAATTGGTAAGGGTGGCTATTCCGAAGTTTATAAGGGTTGTTTGAAAAATGGGCAGCTTATAGCAGTAAAGCTGCTGACTAAAGGAACATCAGATGAGAAAACAGCAGGCTTTCTATCAGAACTTGGCATTATAGCTCACGTAGATCATCCCAACACTGCTAAGTTAATTGGATGTTGCGTTGAAGGAGGAATGCACCTTGTTTTTGAATTATCTTCACTTGGGAGTTTAGGATCTCTCCTGCACGGTATGATCACAATTTGTAAATTCATGTTCTTAATTTAAACTGCTTATTGGTTTATGGATTTCTTAAGTATTCCACGTATTCCAGGTCTGAAGGCTAACAAACTGGATTGGAGTAAAAGATATAAAATTGCTTTGGGGATAGCAGATGGTCTGCTGTATCTTCATGAGAGTTGTCAGAGGCGAATCATTCATAGAGATATTAAGGCTGATAATATTCTACTTACAGAGGATTTTGTGCCTCAGGTATTTCCTCTTTCTGCTGTTGGTTTGTTTTTATCATAATGTGTAGCCAAGGATAACAAACAGTAATGGCAATGCAGAAAACTGTGAATGATGATTGCCTCTTTCGTATTGGCAAAGAACAATTAACACTACTAAACTATGTCTCGTTTTTATTAATCGCTTTAAATTTGACTTACTGATCAGTATGCCAATTTATACCAGATATGTGATTTTGGGCTTGCAAAGTGGCTACCCAAACAATGGACTCATCACAATGTCTCAAAATCTGAGGGCACATTCGGGTATGTATGGTAGCCTGTTTCATTTTACAGTTAAATAACGCTCTTTACAGTTCAATTTCTTCATTATACCCTTAAATGGCAGGTATTTTGCCCCTGAATATTTCATGCATGGAATAGTTGATGAAAAAACAGATGTTTATTCTTTTGGAGTCCTACTTTTGGAGCTTATCAGCGGGCGTCCAGCTTTGGATGATTCTCAGAAAAGTGTTGTAATTTGGGTAAATTTGCTTCTGCATAGTTTGAAACATATCATCTCATGATGTCAATATATACAAGTCCTGGCTCCCTTTTTAATTTTTTTTTTCTCTGTTGTAGGCAAAGCCTTTGCTTGATAACAATGAGATCAAGGAGCTTGTTGATCCTTCTATTGGTGACAACTATGACCAGAAAGAGATGGATCATGTGGTTTTGACTGCATCTTTATGCATTGAGCAGTCTTCTATTTTACGTCCGCGAATGAGTCAGGCAAGTACAAATTAAAGATGCATATCTATTATAAAGCTGTGCTTCATATTTTCATGGTTTGTGTAACTTCACAATCAGAAGAAGTTATGGCAGAATATGACTGGCCTGAATGTGATCTAACATTGTGTTGTGGCAGACTATAAAATTGTAAATGCATTTAAAACCAAAAGAAAACAAAAAGAAGGATTAGAAAGGAGTTCATACTACCTACCCTTTAGATGCTTTGAAAAATGTATTGTATGGGATGGCAGATTGATGAACAATTCTTTGGTTGGGTGCAGATTGTGGTACTTCTAAGAGGTGATGAATATGTATCGAACTGCGCAAAAGAATCGAAAAGGAGGTCTCATCAAAGAACATACTCGGAAGAACTGTTGGATGCACAAGAATATAATTCAACCAAGTATCTGGGCGATCTCAACCGTCACAAGCAGGTTGCTTTTGGTTCTTGAAATAGGTGGAAAGAATATTTGAACAATGTTTAATTATAGCAGCAGTTCTCATAGACTCTTTTCTGGGGGTGCTTGCAAGTCCCATGGAAGTCAACTGGTTTTATATTGATCTTCATGGTGCTTGAAAGCGCACTCTCATCACTGAAACGGTGGCTTCTGTCTATCATGTAAATTCATGTCAGATGCCATGATCCATGTTTAAAAAAAAAAAAAAAAAAAAAAGGTTTTTTTTTTTCCTCCCGAATGGCACCTCTTTTGTTCTTCCATTGCTCAAACTTGTTGGATTTTTTACTTTGTTTGGAAGAAAAATTTCAGCCTCAGGGGATGAGTTCTTCAACTCTACTTAATATTTGCTTGTTTAATGGATTTTTTTAGGTTCAAAATATTTGTTCTTTGGTCTGAAATGAAGAGTTGGTTTATTTTTCTCATGGGGGTGGGTCGTTAAAAAAGGTCCATATCCAAAATGTAACTGGCCCAACATAATCTGGTACTTTTTCTACTTTAGATTAATTTTCAAACATGAAAAAAAAAGTCAATCTCAGATTTCTTTCTTGTTTAACCTGTTAAGAGATGACAGCAAATAATCATATCACCGTTGTCCATTAAAAAAAAACAAAAAGAAACAAACGTGTTGTGTTCCGCATGGTGGCTTAAGATATTCTCGTCCCTTGTCGTAAAGGAACCAAATGTCCCCTGTTTTTTCAAATTATATTATTCCTTACGTTATGTCTATAATATCATAGGTCTCCCCGAGAGTTCCCACTAATCCCGTTTGGCCCCCCACACTTTCATCAAATACTGATATTGACCCTAATTGGCCTTCAATGCTTCAAATAAGATTCAAAAAGACTAGTTTGACCCCATATTATGTGATTCAAGAAAGGGAGAAAACAACGAATTCCTAAAAAATTTAAGGAAGACTTTGGAAAAATCCAAATGAGAGAGAAATTTTGTAAAAGAAGCCAAAATAGACAAAATTGCCCTTATTTATTTTTTGATTTATTAAGGAATCCTTTACATTTGCATGTCTTTGATTTTAAAGTTGAGAGGTTTTTCTGTCTTTTTTGAAAAAGCTTTGGCTTTTTCCAAAAGTGAAAATTTTTTTTATGGCTAAAACCTAAATTTACTAAAATTTTAAATATGGGAACTTCTTCAATTTTGGATTAAATATTATATCAAGTGAAATTTAAATCTTTTTTTTTTTGGTTGATACATTGACTCACTAATCTATGAATTTGTGTAAAAAGATAAGGAAAGTTTTAAATCAATTATCATTATCACTTACCAATACATGTTTTTTGTTTTGTTTTTTTGGCTATACAAGATTAAATGGATAAATATGAAGGAAGAATTTCTCACCCAATATAAAACATGAAAAATTCCAACTACAACAACAACAAAATTAACACACGAAAGATAAATTGTTTTCCCAAACGATAGCCTAAATTAATATGATTTACGAGAGGTAAATTCAAACTTTGGTGTAAAGGATCTCATCTCTTTACTCTGACCAACTGGCTTAAACTCATGTTTAGAGGGTTTTGTTTCAAACAGAAATACGCGTGAGGGCAAAATCGTAAATTTGCAACCATTTTCGTTTTCATTTTAATTGTCAGTAAATTCCATAGGGAACCAACGAGATTATCCAAATCCTACTGGGATACATTCGACATTTCCCCAAATTAGCTTACAGTGCAATTAACACCAGGCAAGCACAGAGAGAGAGGGAGAGAGGGAGTCTAAAGCAAAAACAAAACTAAAAAGCCAGATAGAGAGAGAGAGAGAGAGAGAGAGACAGAAACCCACATTTCCAGTACAAACCGAAACGAACCGTCTCCATTTCAAAGCCTTCCAAGGTCAAAACTCAACCACCACCACCACCTTCCCTCCCTCCGTAAAAAACGACGCCGTTCCAATCCCCCTCCTCCTCACCCAACTATCTTATGCTATTGCTGATCGCCTTAAGTCGGCGACCGTCGTCGGCGGTGGGGTCCACTCCTCCCACTCGCGGTAACTCTCCGGTGGCCGGTTGCATTCCCTGGGCTCTTATTGCCTGACTATGAAGAAGAACCAGAAAAACAATAATAGCAAGCTTGTTCAGACTAATCATCACCATCATAGCAATACTAATGGCTTCCTTCCTAATTCTCTGAAATTCATTTCTTCTTGCATTAAAACCGCCTCTTCCGGTGTCCGGTCAGCCGGCGCCTCCGTCGCCGCCTCCATCTCCGCTGATCCTCAAGATTGCCGCGACCAGGTTTAATTTCGTTTTTAAAATTTGTTTATTTGTTTATTTGCATGTTCCTTGATTAGGAAGTTTGTGGAATTGGAGAACAAGTTTAGCAATTGATTTTCGGGAAATTGTGTTGTTTTTTTTGTTTGGTAACAGGTAAAATTGAAGGATAAAGGATATGAAAACGAAATTTTAATTTTTACTTAGTTATTTGTGTTTAGTTGCTGAGGCAAATTTGAGGGAAAGACAATTAGAAAGTGAGGGAGTTTTGAGTTTTCTTTTTTGTCTTCTTTTTGAGTTAATGTGATTTAATTTGGCAGAGAGTGAAATGAAGAGCTCAAGCTTTGTGCTCGATTGTTGAGAAAATTGAAGGAGAACAATTAAAATGTGAGGGGATTTTGAATTTTCTTTTGGAGTGAATGGTTGGCTCGTGAAATTGAATTTTCTTCAGTTTAAATATGTTTGGTTGGTCGGATAATGAGGGTGGAGAATGAATGAAGAGCTTGGCTGTTGTGCTTCATGTGAAATTGAGTGTTTTCGAAAGTGGACACTACAACTTAATTGTTGTGCTTGTCTGAACTGATGTTTTAGAGTGGTTAGTATTTTGAGGATGGGAATAAATGAAGTCCTGATTAATTAATTAATAAAGAAGTTGAAATTCAGCCAATTTATGATCAGACATATATTGATGGTGATCAGATTGATAATCTGAGAATGTTGATATTGGATCATATTGGATATGGATATGGCCCGGGGAAATTTAAGAATGTTGAATGGTAATATCATTTTTGGATGATGGCAGCCATTATTATTTATTGATGGTGATCAAATTGATAATCTTATGCTGTCTGAAGGATATGGATATTGTGGAACATTATTATGTAGTCCATGAGGTTTTGATGTTTTTCATTGAAACAATCATCCAATTAATGTCCAGTAGACCGTTACCATTTCAAACCTAGCATATACATGTAAGAAAATCCTGGAGTATATTGTGTCCAAATTCTAAGATAGAAGTCAAAATATAACAAAAACATGCTTTTGGAAACCGGGAATTTTCTGTATGATGATGGTATATGTTTAAACTGTGAGATGTATGAGTAAATGTGAGCTGTGGATGGTTGTAAAATGGTGAAGCACAGAATTAGTGTGGCATTGCTTTAAAAAAACCGGAAGTTGTAAGAGCCAGTGTGTACACTTTCAACATTTTCTACAGTCAAATGCTTTGTTTGCCTTATGATATAGGATCAACAAGAACATACATGAAATGCAATTGATTTAATGGGTTTGAGTAACTTCTTTGTGTACAATCTGTTATTAGATTCGATGTATCAGTGTAGTTTAATTTGTTGTGGCAAACAGGTGCTGTGGGCTTGCTTTGACAGAGTAGAGCTTGGTCCATCTTCCTTCAAACATGTTCTACTACTCGGTTATTCCAATGGCTTTCAAGTCTTGGATGTTGAAGATGCCTCTAATGTCAATGAACTTGCATCGAGGCGTGATGATCCAGTTACATTCTTACAGATGCAACCCCTGCCTGCAAAGTGTGAGGGTCAGGAAGGATTCAGATCTTCACATCCTTTACTCATGGTTGTTGCTTGTGATGAATCAAAGAGCTCAGGTATGATGCAAACAGGGAGGGAGGGGTTGGTCAATGGTCATACTGAGCCTCAAACAGGAAACTCTCCTTTGTCTCCTACAGCTGTTCGGTTTTATTCGCTAAGGTCTTGCAATTATGTTCATGTTCTGAGATTCCGTTCAACTGTGTATATGGTTAGATGCAGTCCTCAAATTGTAGCCGTGGGTCTTGCATCACAAGTAAGCATTAACTTATCCCAAGTATTCATTAATATTATATGCATTTGGGAATGCATTGCTTTACTTTTTTTCTCTTCTCCTTCCAGCCAAACTGTAGAGGCTGAATAACTGTATCATCTTATAGATGTTTTTTTGGGTGTGTGTGTGTGGAAAGTTCACCATGATCCTTTAATAAACCAGAAGAACCAGATTGGATGGTTGTAGGTTACTGGTTTCAGACATTCACTGCAGAAGCTACATCATTTAGATATGAATGTTATGTAATTCGTATGACTAAATAGGTAATGAAAAGTATTCGAACCTGGCTTAAGTTCTTTTTGTTTTCCAACTGTTTGTTGGCAGATATACTGCTTTGATGCTGTCACTCTTGAGAACAAATTCAGTGTCCTTACTTATCCTGTCCCCCAGTTGGGAGTTCAAGGACTGGTTGGGGTCAATATTGGATATGGTCCCATGGCTGTTGGTCCCAGGTGGTTGGCTTATGCTTCCAACAACCCTCTGCTGTCAAACACAGGCCGCCTCAGTCCACAAAGTCTTACTCCTCCAGGTGTTAGTCCATCAACTTCACCAAGCAGTGGGAGTCTGATGGCTCGATATGCAATGGAATCTAGTAAACAGTTAGCAACCGGTTTACTGAATCTGGGAGACATGGGTTACAAAACCTTGTCCAAGTACTATCAAGAGTTTATACCCGATGGTTCCAGCTCTCCTGTGTCATCAAATTCTAGCTGGAAAGTTGGGAGGGTTGCATCACATTCAACAGAAACAGATATTGCTGGAATGGTAAGTTTTCTTTCTAGCTGAAAATTACATTTTAATCTTACACTGGAATCATCATTGTTTCACAGCATACTTATAAAAAAGAAAGGATTTATTATTTATATTTTGAGTTATAAATTCCATTTCCTTGAGACAATCTGTTTGAGGTGAGCTTAAGAATCTACCGGCG